ATAATCAACACCCAGACCCTTTCCATGGATCAGAAAGACTACTAAAAATCAAGAAAGGAACGTTATTATGCCACTGGCCATTCCCTACACCGCAGGAAGTGCCACCCAACAGCACATAAAGTAGGGAAGAGCTCCCCTCACCATATAGTAGAAATGAGGTTGATAGAAGCAGTGGCAGTGGCAGTGACCTGTCCCTCTAAGGAACAGCAGAGGAGACTCTCTGGAGGCAGCTCATCCCTGGCGGTTCCAAGCGAGGACAGATGGGCAAGGTTTCAGGGAGCTGCACAGGGGCTTCCCTCACTGGCTGGTGGGGAAGCTGGACCCGAGTACCTCCACAGTTTCCATCAAGTCCAAGACTCCACAGCTCTGGCAAGAAAGGAGGAGGAGTTTCCACCAGAAGGGCCACGGGAGAGTAGTTCTCACTACAGCTGCACATGGGAAAATGAAATAAAATGCTATGACAAAGATGGGACCCAGTTCCAGGATACCAGCATCCTACCAGGAAATGCAGCTTTGGAGATCATTTAAAGCGGGGTGGACCACCCCTGGCATGAGCATCTCTCCTACAACAGCCCCAACTGGACATTTCTGGTGATGGAACATGTCATGGCACACATGGCCATCAGGAGATACATCTATCGAAAAGCTCTCCCTTTCACTGGATTCAAACACGTCTCCCAGAACAACAGAGTAGGTTCGTTCTTCCCACACTACAACCCCTACTTAATATGGCCAGTGAATCAACTTGAAGATGGTATGTGAAATGAAACAATCCGGTCACAAAGGAAGAAATACAGTAGGATTCCTCTTACCTGAAAGTCCTAGAAGAGTCAATTTTAGAAACATAGAGAGTAGAACAATGGGTGCTAGGGCTGGGGGGAGAGGAGAGTACTCAATGGGTACTGAGCTTCAGCTCAAATGGGGCAAATCTAAAAGTTCTGGAGATGGATGGGGTTAAGGTTGTACAATATGAACATCCTTAACCTCGCAAAATTAGACTCTCAGAAATGGATAAATGGTACATTACTACCATTTGAAAAAAGGGGGCTCCTGGGTAGCTCAGTGGTTGAGTGTCTGCCTTGGGCTCAGGTTGTGATTCCCCGGTTCCGGGATGGAGTTCCACATTGGGCTCCCCGTAGGGAGCCCACTTCTCTCTCTACTTATGTCTCTGCCTCTCTGTGTGTCTCATGAATAAATAAATAAAAATCTTAAAAAAAAAAAAAAGTCTAGGAGAAAGAAATTTAGAAATAGCTACTGTATACCTAAGTCTTCCTCACTCCAACGAAAACACTTCATATTCCTTCTTACCAACCTCAGGAAAGACTGTTCTAAGCTTCCTGAAGTTCATTCCAGAAGCCCCATCTTGAGGGGGGAAGATGGGGGAAGAAGAGCCCTCTGGGTGTGGAAGGCAGAAGACCACTCACCCTCCCTCCCTTCCAGGGAGTGGCAAAGGTGGCTCTCCTTGATGCTCTCTGCTCCTGGCTTTCACCTCTGTGTCCTGGTTGTAAGGAGCAAACTGAGGAGTGGCTCCCAGTGTGAGAAGCAGAGCAACTGCAGAAGTAAGGGAAAGGTAGTCAGGGGAGAGGAAGCAGAGAAGCAGCTGGAAAAAAGTCACAGGAGGACCTGGTCCCAGCAGCTGGTGGCCACTGGCCATTCCCTACACCGCAGGAAGTGCCACCCAACACAACACACACTGCCCCATGGTGCCCACCCTCCACACCCGTGAGTCTTCTCCATGTTTCCTCCAAGTTAATGGTTCTCAATTAAAGGGGGGGGGCTGTGCTCCCCAAGAGACATGTGGCAATATCTGCAGATGGTTTTGGTTGGCATGACTGAAGGGCACTACTGGTGTCTAACAGAGAGCAGAGACGCTGCTACACACTCTACAACACGAAAGGCAGCCTCCCACCGCCCCCCCACCCACAACAAGGAATCAACACTGCCATGGTTGAGGACCCTTCCTTCGTAACATGGGTGCTGATAAAGCCTATTCTGTTTATGGGGAAGAACGAAGACAAAAGAAACCAAGTTTATTCCAATTCAGTCTAGCCTCCGGTGAGCAAGCAAGGAAATTGTTTTCTAATTGTACTGTCCCATGAGAGAAATCTGAACTCTTGCCAGGAGGGAGATCCTTAAGAAGAGATTCAAAAAATTCTGCTAAGTTTCTGTATCACAAACTCTCAAAGTTTGGGTCCCTTTCCAGTAGCAAAGAACCAGGACAGGGAGCAGAGCAGACAGGACTGCGGACAGCACTCTTTCCTGGCTTCTTAATCTTAAGGCTCTCCTCACAGGCTTATTCCTCCAGCTTATCTGCCACCCCATGGCCCTACCTTCAGCATCTGTTTGCCTCATCTCCTAACAGTCTCCCTAGGCCCCTGTCTGCCCGGTCTTCTTTCTCAGGCCTTAACATACCCTCCCTCCCCTGGCACTGGAATTATTGCTACTAAAAGGCTGCCCCCTGCTGGAGTTGAGGGGAGAGGACACACACTGTCCAGGATGCTCACAACAGGCTAGCAGGAACAGGAGCGAAGCCTGTTCTCTGGGGTTCAGAACTCTCAGAAGAAAAATATCCAAAGAATACGCAATCCTAGTACACACTAAGCTAACATTATTTCCTCATTCCATCACCCCTAAAATTAGCCCTATTCCAGAGCAATATGCCTTGGCACAGAAAGGTACCACTATTAACAGAAGTGGAGTCCCAAATTCCCCAACATCTGAGCAACCAGCAACCACCCAGCCCCAAGCCTGTTGGGAGGTGACTCCGCCCTTTCTCTGGATGGAAAGATCCTCCATGCATGGTAGGATAATTCTGAGGCTCAGGAAGGGATGCAAGACCATGTTCCCCCTGCCTCTCTGAGCCATCGTGATAATGTCCTTGGCATGTTTACTGGTTCAGTTCTCAAAGTGCTTTCACACTTTACCTCATTTGATCCCTTCTGCCCACTTGCCCAGTCTTGGGACCCAGCCAGGGAAAACAAGGGAGGATGCAGCTGCCCCCACAGGGGACCCCATGTTCCTGACACACTTATTAGAGACTGGAGAAGGGATGCACAAGCAACAAGAGCCACCCTAAGTACTTGGTAAGTTTTAAGCCCTTTAAAATTTCTCCTTAGAATTTTTAAAATCCTTCACGTAGCAACCTCTTCTCCCTTTCTCTGTTCTCAAGTGGGGCAGCTTTTTCTATCTCTAACCCAACCACAAACAAGGGCAAACTGGGGTCCTTGAATTCCTCAAACCACAACACTAATTTGTCCACTGGCTACAAAAAGCCAGGCCAGAAATCTAGAAACAGAACTCACTTGACTGTAATCACCATATGGGACCGTTTAGGTCCCTGCTCCCCAGGCCACGGCAGCAATGCAAAGTCCACATCTGTCTCATCCCTTCCCAATTACACAGATCTACAACTAGGAAATAAAACTGGAGCTGGGTGAGGGGTGGGTGGCCTGGCACTTCACCGGGAAGACTACAGATGAAGGATCCTGAGAGCAAACTCCCCATCATGAATGGCAAAGGGGATCAGCCTGTTGGTATCCAAGGGGCTTCACATGCAGAGACCATGGGTGGGGAGCCAAGGTGCCACTGGCATGTCAGCTCCAAGGGACAGTGAAGTGGCGTGCAGGCTGAGTTTGGGGTAAGCAGCAAGAAGAAACGAGAGAGAGAGAGACAGACAGACAGACAGACAGACACGGGTGCGTGGAGGAAAGATCTGGCGGACAACTGACTTAGCATCTCCCAGGGCTGGGGCCCAATGAAAGACCAGACCGGGAAGCTTACTAGGAATTCTAACGACTGGGTAAGAAAGAGGGTCTCTTTCAAGTTAACTTGGGGGGAAGAAAAGAAGGCAAAGTGTGAGGGACCGTAGCCAGGAGACTAAGCTGTTAGAAACGGACGAGCAACAGGGAGGAAGGAGACCCCAATGACCAAGCATTAATGTCGCCCGCTGAAAGGAAATTTAGGTGAAGACCCAGCGGAGGTGCTTCGGTTAAGAAAAGCTTCCACGTTGGCCAAAGTCATGGAACGCCTGGACTTTAAGACCCGCAGGGCCCAGCTAATTCTGGTCAAAGCCCGGAGGCTCGTTGGGGGGAGTCTCCGGGGAGCGCCGGGCACTAGGGTCGGGGGGCCGGGGGGCCGGGGGCCGGGCAGGCCTGGCGGAGGATGCGGGTGGACGGGAAGGGGCCGGGCAGGGCTGCCGAGGTGCCAGAGGACGACCGTTAGGAGCGCGGGGGTGGGAAGGAGGCGGGCCGCCCGGGAGGACGGCGTGCCCTTCAGGGAGGGGGCGCCAGGTGCGCGAGGCGAGGGGCGAGGGCGGCCGCCCCCAGGAGGGAGCCGTCCTCCCTCGGGGCCGCGCCGAGGAGGGGCCGGCGGGAGGGCTGACGCACCGGGCGGCGACGGCGGCAGCGGCCTGGGCAGAGAGGCGGGAGGGTCCGTGCTGGCGGCCCGCGCGCTCGCTCTGACTCTCGCAGGCTCCGCGCGGCCGCCTCAGCGTCGGGGGCGGGCCTGCCCCGGCCCGGCGGCGGGCTGGGGTCCGCGGGGCCGCCGAGCGCTTACCGCGGCGGGCGGGCGGCGCGAGGCTCCGGTCCCGGGGCGTTGGCGGCGCGCGACGGGCCAGGGGGCGGCGGCGGCGGCGGCGGCGACGACGACGGCGGCGGCGGCGGGGGAGGGGGCGCTGGCGCTCCCGCGGCGGCCGCTCCTCTCTGTTTGTGTTTGTAGCAAGATGGCTGCCCGCCTCGCACCACGTGACGCGGACGCGGGGCCGCCCCCTCCGCCGCCGCGGCCGCCTCTGCAGCCGCCGCCGCCGCTCCCTCCGTAGCCCCGGTCCCCGGCGACCCGCACGGCCTAGCGCCCGCCCCGCCTGCCCAGTGGGGAGCCCGGGCGCCCGCCGCCCCCGAAATTACCCCCCGGCACGTGACCCGAGGCCTGGCTCGTCACGTGACGCAGGGCCTGCAGCGGGCCGGGGTGGGGGGTGGGGTCCCCGGGGCACTCCTCGGCTGCCCCCCGGCTGCTCCCGGCACGTGACGCGCGACCGTCGCGACGGAGGCCGCCGCAGGTGGCATCGCAGGGCTCGCCTCTCCAGTCGGTTTCCTCCAGGAAGCCCACCTGGATTACGATCCAGAGGTGTGTTAATTAGAAGTCCTAGGATATAGAAAATAAGTGAGGAACTAATGATTTGGAAAGTGTCCGAAGCAGCACTGGCTGATGAGACCCAGAGTTTCCATCTGGCTCCGCCACTGACTACTAGCTTCTAGACCCCGGGGGCAAAGCATTTGATGCGGCCTCAGTTGCACTTTTAGGTCAGGTGTTACGCTGTTCTCCGCCCCACCCCCGACCTCCACCCCACTCCATTCCCGGAGTGCTGGAAGAATTAAAATAGGTGAATGTGAAAGACGGTGAAGAGAGAAATTATTATGCAAATATGAGAAGTAGATTGACACCTCCTTTGTTTAAAAAAGGGGTTTTCAAGAAAGATTTTTCCAAGTCCCTGAACTTTTTAGGGTGAAAGGTTTTTTGTTTGGTTTGGTTTTTTATCCCCTGTGTATTTTCACCTTTTTGGCAGGGTTGGGGGGCTGATTATTCTGAATGTATACTGTACTTTCCGGCTTCCGACAACAGCTGTTAGCAAACACAGTGTAATCCTCAGGACGGAGAAAGGTAAAGTGGGACTTAGGACTTGAGTGTCTTGTGTCGTGCCAGAATGGAGCGCAGACCTCAGGAGCTACCAGAAGGCCCTTTGTTCCCGCACCAGTGTTCCCCAGGCTTCTCTGTCCTAGCAGTTTTAGTTATCTGTTTTTTTTTTTCCAGTTCCCTTCACTTTCATGCAGTCAGGATTTCTTAGTGCTGTTAGTCTCCCCCGCTTGCTGCGAGGCTGGAAAATAGCAATTGTTTAAAGCAAGGGCTCCCGTGCAGATTTCATTCATTACTGCCTGTGGCCTTGGAAATAATCTGTTCCGTCTCTGGATTGTCTGGTAAAGCATTTAACACACTGTTTGGCACAGGGCAAGTACTCCACAAATGTTAGCTGACGGGGGGGGGGGGGGGGGGGGGGGGGGGGGGGCGGCGGCGCGCTTCTGGTTTTACAGGAGAGAGGATATTCAGTTTTGAACACTGTATAAAAATGTATCGACAGAATCCAGGCTTGGGTGAGGATTCTTCACCTAAAGCTTATAAGCTTATGACAGTTTTTTTGTTACAAACTGTTGTTGCTTTTTTTTTTTTTTTTTTTTACTTTTCTAGATTGTGTCCTGGGTGATGGAAGTTCCCAGAAGCCAAATCTCTGAATGAGTAAGGTTTTAGCATGTCTCGATTGTTAATTTAGCAAATATGAGATCGCACATTTTTGGTATAGGAGAAGGAGAGGGGGAAATGTCTGTGGAATGCCATGTGTAGGGAGGGAATCGTGGGGCCCTGTGCTAAGCTGGAAGGAAGGCACTTGGGTAGGTTTAGGAAGAGTGGGAGTCAGCTATACAATAGTCACATTCCTGGCTAATGGGAAAAGAGCACCTGGATTCCTACTTGGGTGAGAAGGGAAGCGAAACTTCAGCTGAGGGCTCTGAATGCCAACATGAAAATGTGTTTGATCTGAGAGTAGCACCCACTAGATGCTGTCTGGCAAGGAGCACATGCTGGACTCCAGGGTACAGGGTTGGAGCGATCACCAAGGGTTCCTTGTGTTTCAGCTTGTGACCCTGGCCCAGTAATCTCCTCCAACTGTAGAGCTGGGGAAAATGTTGCTGCTGCTCCTGTTGCTGAAGACACTGTGGAATTTGAATCTGTGAAGTGTACCTCTTTGAGAAAGAATATTGAAATCAGAACCGTGCATCTCCCATATGGAATGAAAAAGAATTATGAAAAAAAGACTCAGACCTAAAATATTTTTGTTTATTCCGGTGCTATGCTGTTAAATGTCTTGGTCTGTGTTTTAAATTGTTGGGCATTTTGGGGTTGGATGGCTCAGTGGTTGAGCGTCTGCCTTTGGCTCAGGTCATGATCCTGGGGTCCTGGGATCAAGTCCCCATCAGGCTCTCTGCAGGGAGCCTGCTTCTAACTTCTGCCTATGTCTCTTCCTCTCTGTGTCTCTTATGAATAAATAAATAAAATCTTCAAAAAAAAAAAAGGTGGACTTTTGGGCACCTGGGTGGCTCAGTGGTTGTCTGCCTTTGACTTAGGTCATGATCCCAGGGTCGTGAGATACAGTCCCACATCAGGTTCCCTGCAGGAAGCCTGCTTCTCCCTCTGCCTAAGTCTGACTCTCCTTCTTTGTCTCTCATCAATAAATAAATAATATCTTTTAAAAAATAAAAATAAATTGGCGGGTTTTTGAACTGAAGAGAAAGGTTTGGTTAGGTGATTAATCAAAATGAAAGGGAGGTCTGAAGTCTAAACAGCCAAGCACTGCCTTTTTTTCCTAATGGCAGATTCCTCTCTAGTGTTTGCCTAAAACAAAATGCAAAAAGATAAGTACCATCTTATTGTCAAATCAGTTTGTTACAGTGCCTGGCTTCACTCACCTAAATCACGAACCGTTCTACATTATTTGGATGTCAACATTTAGAAAACATTCTTCAGATCTCATGAAAAGACACACTTCTTGAGTAATAGAGTGATAGTTCGTTTTTGGTTTTTTTTAAATAGTTTAACATTTTTTTTTTTAGGAACACCTGGGTGGCTCAATGGTTGAGTTGTCTGCCTTTGGCTCAGATCATGAATCTGGGGTCCTGGGATCTAGTCCCACATCAGGCTCCCCTCAGGGAGCCTGCTTCTCTCTCATGTATAAATAAGTAAAATCTTAAAAAAAAAATAATTAAAAATAATAATTAAAAAAATAATAATTAAAAATAATCAAAAAATTTTTAAATATTTATTTGAGACAGAGAACACGAGAGGGGGGAGGAGGGGCAGAGGGAGAGGAAGAGGGAGAAGCAGACTCCTCACTCAACAGGGAGCCCTGAGGCTGGATCCCAGGACCCCAGTATCATGACCTGAGCCAAAAGCAGACAGCTTAACCAACTGAGCCACCCAGGCATCCCTGGAGAGACAGTTCATAAACTGTTTATTCTTAATTATCACACAAAATGGGCCTCAAAATGAATTTATTGCATTCAGAATTACTTTCTGCCACCAGCTCAGTTTTCCCGTCTACCAAATGTACAGCTTGTCGGGTTATCAGTGACCAGCACGTTCCTGAATCCAGTGATCCACTATCTTATGTGACCTATCAGCTGCATATGACACAGCTGGTCACTCCCTCCTCCAGGAAATGCTTTCTTCACCTAGTTTCCAGGACACCATACTCACTGGGTTTTCCTCTTACCTCACCAGCTACTCCTGAGTCTTTTGCAGGTTCCTCCTTTCTTCCTGCACTCACAGGGCTTGGGCCTTCCAAACCTCTCTGTTGTAACAGGAGGGACTGCACAGTGTATGAGCCCTACTGCTAAACATTCCTAGCTCAGGTTAGCCACTGCTTCCTTTGGAAAACCTTAGATCTCCCAAGGTCATATTGGCTATTCCTCCATGGGACTCCACCAAATCCTGTACATGCTCCCCATTTAGCACAGGTCACTATTTTGCTCATCTCATTTGCCTTCCACACAAAACTGTGAGCTGTTTAGCATGATATTCTGTGATGTAACTAGTATTCCAACAGCCTACCAAGTCTTCTTGATCCGCCTTTTATTGCTGAGAACTTTTCCGTAATATGGATGTGCCATTATGTTTAACTGTTCACCCACTGAAAGACACCTGGGGTGTTTCCACTTTGGAGCTAGTACAAATAAAACTGCTGTAGGAAAACAACAACAACAAAAACCAAAACTGCTGTAGACATTTGTGAATGGGTTTTATTTTATTTTATTTTTTTTTAATATTTTTTTTAATTTTTCTTTATTTTTATTTATGATACGCACACAGTGAGAGAGAGAGAGAGAGGCAGAGACACAGGTAGAGGGAGAAGCAGGCTCCATGCACCGGGAGCCCGACGTGGGATTCGATCCCGGGTCGTCAGGATGGCATCCTGGGCCAAAGGCAGGCGCCAAACCACTGCGCCACCCAGGGATCCCTGTGAATGGGTTTTAAAATACCTTTGAGTGCTCTTGCTGGGTCATAGGCTGACTGTATGTGTGCTTAATTTAATTTAATTTTTTTTAAAGATTTTATTTATTTACTCATGAGAGAGACACACACAGAGAGAGAGAGGCGGAGACACAGGCAGAGGGAGAAACAGGCTCCACACAGGGAGCCTGATGTGGGACTCAATCCCCGGTCTCCAGGATCACACCCTGGGCTGAAGGCAGCGCTAAACCGCTGAACCACTGGGGCTGCCGTGTGTGGTTAATTTTAGAAGAAATTGCCAAACTATTTTCCAGAGTGGCTAGACCATTTAACATTCCCACAAGTAGTGTGTGATACATCAGTTTCCCTGCATTCTCATCAATACTTGGTAGTGTGAAGACTTTTTCTTGCAGACATTCTAATAGGCGTGTAATGGTACCTGACCATAGTTTTAATTTGGGTTTCCTTAATAACAACATTGAATATCTCATATGCCGTCCTTATACTCTCTTTGCCAAAGTCTTTGTTCAAGACTTTTGCCCATTTTCTAATCAGGTTATTTTTTTTAACTCTTGAGTTTAGAGAGTTCTATTCTGGATACAAGTCTTTTGTCTGGTAAGTAATTTGCAAATATTTTTTTCCCAGTCTATGGCTTCCCTTTTCATTATATGAATGTACTCTTTTGCAGAGTGAAAGTTTTTTATTTCCCCTTTTTTGCCACATTATGAGATATAATTGATAAAATATCATTTTTTTCTTTTTTTAAAAAAGATTTTATCTATTTTTTAATGTCTATTTATTCATAAGAGACAGAGAGAAGCAGAGACATAGGCAGAGGGAGAAGCTGGCTCCCTGCGGGGAGCCCAATGCAGGACTCATCCCAGGACCCAAGATCAGGACCTGAGCCTGACAGTGAGCCAAAGGCAGACACTCAATGACTGAGCCACCCAGGTGCCCCTCAAATTTTTTCTTTAATAGTTTGTGCTTTTGGAGTTGTGTCTAAGAATTCTTCCCCTGACCCTATGTTCATGTTCATGAAGATTTTTTTCCTAAATTTTCATCTAAAAGTTTTATGATTCTACATTTTTATTTAGATCTACCATCCATTTTGTGTTAAGTTTTTGTATAGGGCTAAAGTTCGATTCTTGTATTTATCCAGTAGTCTCAGAACCACTTGCTGAAAAGACTTACTCTTTCCCTCTTTCAACTGCTTTTGTACCTTTGTCTGGCTGTATTTGTGCAAATCTATTTTGGGTTCTCTATTCCATCTTATTGATTTGTGTGTTTATCCTTTGGCAGATACCACACTGTCTGGATATTGTGTCTATGTAGTAGTAAGTCTTTTTTTTTTAATTTTTTTTGTTTTATTTATTTATGATAGGCACACAGTGAGAGAAAGAGAGGCAGAGACACAGGCAGAGGGAGAAGCAGGCTCCATACACCGGGAGCCCGACGTGGGATTCGATCCCGGGTCCCCAGGATCGCGCCCTGGGCCAAAGGCAGGCGCTAAACCGCTGCGCCACCCAGGGATCCCGTAGTAGTAAGTCTTAAAGTCAGGTAGCACAGTTCCAACTTTTTCAAAATTTCCCTTGCCCTAAAAAAAAAAAAATTTCCCTTGCCCTTCCATATCAACTTTACAATAAAGTTGTCTACACCTACAGAAATTCTTGCTGGGATTTTCATAGGAATTGCCTTAAACCCAGAGTTCAGTTCGGAGACAATTGGTATCTTTACTATGTTCAGTCTTCAATACATGGACCTCTCTTCTTTAATTTAGATTTGAGTTCTTCATCAGGATTTTGTAGGTTTTTTTGTTTTGTTTTGTTTAGGATTTTATTTATTTATTCCTGAGGGACACAGAGAGAGGCAGAGACCTAGGCAGAGGGAGAAGCAGGCTCCCTGCGGGAAGCCTGATGCAAGACTGATCCCAGGAACCCGGGATCATGACCTGAGCCAAAGGCAGATGCTCAACCACTGAGCCACCCAGGTGCCCCAGGATTTTGTAGGTTTTTTTTTTAAATATTATTTATTTATCCATGAGAGACACAGAGAGAGGCAGAGACACAGGCAGAGGGAGAAGCAGGCTCCATGCAGGGACTCGATCCCGGGACTCCAGGATCACACCCTGGGCTGAAGGCAGGCGCTAAACCACTGAGCCACCCAGGAATCCCCGGATTTTGTAGTTTTCAACGTATAGATTCTATACATGTTTTGTCAGACTTAGACTTAATACTTCTCCCTCCTACCCTCCTCCCCCCCCATTCCCCCCCATTATAAATGGCATTGTATTTTAAATTTCAGTTTCGAATTGTTGTCAGTATCTATACATGGTTGATTTTTGTATGTTAATCCTGTATCTTGCTAAACCTGCTAAATTCATTTATTAATTATATGAGTTCTTTGTAGATTCCTCAAAACTTTTTATGTATACAGTCATGCCATCAGCAAATAGAGACTGTTTTTATTTCTTCCTTTCCAGTCTTTTCTTTGCCTTATTGTATTGGCTAGAACTTTACCAATTGGAGTGGTGATAGATGACATCCTTGCCTTATTACCTGATTTTAAGAAAAAGGTTTCTAGTCTTACAGCATTAAGTATGATTGTAGCTGTAGGGTTTCTGTTAAAGATGCTCTTTAACAGGTTGAGGAAGTTCCTTCTACTCTTTGCTGAAAGTCTTTCTCATAAATGGATACTAAATGTTGAATATTTTTTTTTCTGTATTGATTGGTATCATATACATTGTCTTGCTTAGCTTGTTCATATGATAAATGAAAGTGTTTTTCATATATTGAACCAGTCCGAATCTTTTTTGGTTTTTTAAATTTTATTTATTCATGAGAGACACAGAGAGAGGCAGAGACATAGGCAGAGGGAAGGGCAGGTCCCATGCAGGGAGCCCCATGTGGAATTCGAACCCAGGACCGCAGGATCATGCCCTGAGCCAAAGGCAGATGCTCAACTGCTGAGCCACCCAGGCATCCTAGCCTGGATCTTTGGAATAAACTCTACTTGGTCATTGTTCATAATTCTTTTTAAATACTGCTGGATTCAGTTTCCAAGATTCTTATAGAGGATTTTTGCATCTTTGTTCATGAGAAATATTGGTCTGTAGTTTTCTTTTATATAACCTTTGTCTGGCTTTGGTCTTATAAAATCATTTAGGAAATGTTCCTTCCTCTTCTTCTTTTTTTTTTTTTTTCTGTTCCTTCCTCTTCTATAGAGAAGAGATTGTGTAGAATTTGTGTGGAGTTTTGTTTTTTGTTTTTTCTTATAATTCACCAGTGAAATCATGTGAACCTAGATATTTTTCTAAAGATTTTTAAAAACTAGGACTGTAATTACTTTAATAGTTACAGGACTATTCAGATGATCTATTTCATCTCAGGTAAGTTTTGTAGATTGTGGTTATCTAGGAAATCGGTCCATTTCATCTAGGTTACTAAATTTGTGTATATAGAATTTGTACAGGCATATTTTTATTGCACTTTAAAGATACTGCATTTTTCACAAATTGGAGGTTTGTGGCAACCCTGTTTTTTTTTTTAATTTTTATTAATTTATGATAGTCACAGAGAGAGAGAGAGAGGCAGAGACACAGGCAGAGGGAGAAGCAGGCTCCATGCACCAGGAGCCCGACGTGGGATTCGATCCTGGGTCTCCAGGATCGCGCCCCGGGCCAAAGGCAGGCGCCAAAACGCTGCGCCACCCAGGGATCCCGCAACCCTGTCTGTTAACACCACTTTTCCAACAGCATTTGCTTACTTCTGTGTCTGTGTGTCATTTTGGTTAATTCTCTTGAAATTTCAAACTTCTTGTATTTGTTATGGTGTTCAGTGAGTACAACTCACTGAAAGCTCAGACGATGGTTAGCATTTTTCAGCAATTAAGTATTTTTAGATTAAGATATATACTTTCTTTAGATATAATGCCATTGCAAACTTAAAAGACTACAGTGTGGTGTAAACATAAATTTTATATATACAGAGAAACCAGAAATATTTGACTCACTTTATTGTTTGTTTTTTAAAGATTTTATGTTTTTATTCATGAGAGACAGAGAGAGAGAGAGAGAGGCCCAGACACAGGCAGAGGGAGAAACAGGCTCCACACAGGATGCCTGACATGGGACTCAATTCCGGGACCCCAGGATCACACCCTGGACTGAACGCGCCGCTAAACCACTGAGCCACCTGGGATGCCCCTATTGTTTGTTGTTGTTTTTAAGATTTTATTTATTTATTCATGAGAGATACAGAGAGGCAGAGACATAGGCAGAGGGAGAAGCAGGCTTCATGCAGGAAGCCTGATGTGGGACTCGATCCTCAGACTCCAGGATCATGACTTGAGCCAAAGGCAGACACTCAACCACTCAGGCATCTCTGACTCACTTTATTGTAATATTCACTTTATTGCAGTCATCTGGAACTCAACCCACAAAATCTCCAAGCCATGCCTGTATTATTCTCTAAGTATCCTTTGCATAGGAGGATCTTTAGTGCTATCCCCACTTTTGGTTCTGGTAATCATAATTTGAGTCTTTTTTTTTTTAAGATTTTATTTATTTGTTCATGAGAGACACAGAGAGAGGCAGAAATATAGAGGGAGAAGCAGGCTCCCTATGGGGAGCCCGATGAGGGATGATCCTAGACTCCGGGATTGCTACCTGAGCCAAAGGCAGACTCCGGATCAGAGGATAGAGTATACGGCTCAACCACTGAGCCAGCTAGGTGCCCCGAGTCTTCCTTTTTTTTAAGATTTTATTTTTAAGTAATCTCTACACCCAACGTGGGGCTTGAACTTACAACCCCCATAATTAAGAGCTGCATACTCTACTGACTGAGCCAGCCAGACACTGCACGTTTTCCTTCTCTTGTTCTTGCTTTGCAGTCTTGTTAGATACATACCAACTTTACTGATCTTTTCAAACAACCAGCTTCTATATTGAGTTTCTCTATTGTTTTTGTGTTCGGTTTTATTGATTTTTGTTCTTTATTATTCCCTCACTTCTCTTCCCTTTGACTTTATTTGGTTCTTCATTTTCTAGTTCCTTGAGGTGGAAGCTTAGATTATGTTTCTATTAAAACTTTCAGGGGCACCTGGTTGGCTCAGCCAGTTAAGAGTCTGGGTGGCTCAGCGGTTTAATGCCTGCCTTTGGCCCAGAGCATGATCCTGGAGTCCCAGGATCGAGTCCCACATCGGGCTTCCTGCATGGAGCCTGCTTCTCCCTCTGCCTATGTCTCTGCCTCTTTACCTCTCTGTGTCTCTCATGAATAAATAAATAAAAATCTTAAAAAAAAAAGTCTACCTTTGGCTCAGGTCATGCTCTCAGGATCCTGGGATTGCCCCACTTCCTGCTCCCCACTCTGCCAGGGCCTTCTCCCTCTCCCTGCCGCTCCTCCTGCTTGTGCTCTCTCATTCTGTCAAATAAACACTGTAAAGAAAAACAAATTTAAAAACTATCGTTCAGTGTCCCCAGAATACTCACTGGTTCTCTGAAAAACTGTTTACCCATCAACTCAACTTAAATGTCACTTTTGAGGCAAAATAGGGTTGTAGCCAGCCTTTCCTCCTCACCCCCACATAAACCCCCAAACTTGGTATTAATGAAATAATCTGAAACTAAAAGAACAACAGGATTTAAATGGTGCTGGTAGAGAAGTTCTCAGGAACCTGATCCCCCCTCCAACCTCCAGTCAAACAGGGTCATAACAATGCCAATTCACATGTGTAGGCTTACAGTTTACAAAATTATATTGGGTTTCACAGTTGCAAAACAGGAATTATCATCCCCATCTGACTGTTGGGGAAACTCAAGTAGAGTAGTCCTAGGTTCCCAATGCAGGTCTAACTCATTTTTGAAGGGAAGTCTCCAAAAGCTGCACCAAGCTGGTCACAAGAAACCCCTCCTTATTGGCCGAGGAGCCACGAACCCCCCAGGCACCGCCCCATCCTGCCCGCCAGGGGGCGCACATCCTCGCTGGCGAGGAGAGGGGCAGAGGCCGATGAACTCCCTGGTAGGTAGAGGCTGAAGCGTGAGGGTGGATCAGCGTGCTCTGAGGGAACCCTGAAGACTGGGCCTACGGCTTAAAGTATGGGTCCCCAAGAGCCGACCTGGCGGTTAGCCCTTGCAAGAGATGGGGAGAGGGCGGGTCCCTGTGACCTACAGGGGAGTCCCAAGGCGGCGTCTTTTGCCGAGGGCGCGGCCCCACCGCTCAATTCCCCACTCCATCTCTGGGCAGCGGGGGCCCAGGGCGGGAGATCGGCTCTGCCACGCCTCCTCTGACCAGAGGAATTGCGATGGACGCGGGAGTCCACACTTGCCTTCAGGTCCCTTCACCTTCTCTTGAACGCTCAGCCCTCCCCGCCATCTTTGTAAGCCCCTACCCCAAGTCCTCCACGCCCCTACAATAGTCTCTCTTCCTTCCTCCCTTTCAGGACCCCTCCCGTGAGCCAGTAGCTTGGACTGGCCTAGAGAGGCTGGCCCTCCCCAGTTTTGACTTAGTGTATGCCTCCTGCCTCCGCGCCCCGCCTGCGTGGCGTACACGTGGTAAAGGAGGTCTTCCAGCGCTCTCGCGTTACTTAAACACATTCCCGCGGTCGCGCGCGCGCCCAGAGGGGCGGGGAGAACAGAGGCCGGGAAGGCGATTCGTAGATCGCGGGGGACGGACGCGCGTGCGCAGTGCGCAGCGCTTTCAGGAGCTTGGAGCCGTCAGGGCGCCCGCGATCTCGCGATCCTGTAGCGCGGCCGCTTTCCTTCTCTTTCTGGGACCTGAGCGTCCCGGGCTGCGCGGTCAGTCCGGGCGGGTGGGAACAGCTCTTGAGTAGCTCGGCCGGGACCGGGCCGCGTGCTCGGGAAGAGGGGCGGTGGAGGGGCCCGGGATTGGGGGCGGTGTCCTGAATGAATAGGAACCGGGGTGAGGGAGGTTCGGGAGATTGGGTTGAGTGGGAGGGGACTGAGGCTGGAAGGGAAGAGGCGAGTTGAGTGCGCCCCCTCGTGTCTGCACCTTTTGTCCTGGAAATGGGGTAGGAAAGGCAGCGACGTGGCTGGTCACCTCTCTCTGATCTCCCTTCCCCGCGTCAGGGCAAACGGCATGGCTGAAAACCGAGAGCCCCGCGGGGCGGTCGAGGCTGAGCTGGACCCGGTGGAGTATACCCTTCGGAAGCGGCTTCCCCACCGCCTGCCCCGAAGGCCCAATGACATTTATGTCAACATGAAGACTGACTTTAAGGCTCAGCTGGCCCGCTGCCAGAAGCTTCTGGACGGAGGGGCTCGGGGTCAGAACTCATGCAGTGAGATCTACATTCATGGCTTGGGCCTGGCCATCAACCGTGCCATCAACATTGCCCTACAGCTTCAAGCGGGCAGCTTCGGGTCCTTGCAGGTGGCTGCCAATACCTCCACTGTGGAGCTCGTTGATGAGCTGGAACCAGAGACTGACACACGAGAGCCACTGACCCGCATCCGCAACAACTCGGCCATCCACATCCGTGTCTTCAGGGTTACCCCCAAGTAATCGAAATGAGGGTGGGCACCTTATCCACCCACCCCCACATAGGTAGGCTCAGATATTGGCTCTTCTTGTACTGAATACAGTCATGGACCTCCTACCAGAGCCACATAAGAAAATCCCTGTTACCTTACAGCCCAGAGGACTCTGAATGGAGAAGAAGAGTATTGTCTCTTGTTGGGCCCAAGCAGTGGGTCTTCCTGAGTCTGTGATCTGTAACCATTGTCAGAGACAATAAAAACTACCCAGCTGTGTTAGTATGCAGCCACCCCACTGCCATTGTCTTTCTCCTGTGTAAATTCTGTTTGACATGGAAAGGGAGAATAGGACACTTTACAAGTATTTACATACAGGAGGGAACTCCTAGTGTATCCTGCCTTTGCAGAGTGCATAGATAGTACTACAGCTACAGACAGTGTAACAAAACAAACTTTAGTACAAGCAAAAGCCTGAGAATTCCAGTGTTTGCTTTAAACTTTTTGTACTCTCAGAGGAAGGCTGAGTGGATAAGGTGTACACTCTTGCCTGCTAAAGTAAAGCTGGGATGGAAGCATCAGGCTTTCTGGTGGCGGTTCCCAGGACAAGAAAGGTGAGAATTTGAGGACAAAGGGAGCAAAGACTGGGACCTCCTTTTTGTCAGGCTCTGTGATAGGGACTGACACACCGCTTCACCTGATTCCTGGTCCTTGGGTGTGGGGCCCAAGTTGTCCAAAACCGTTTAGATTCTCTTGGGTGGGCTGCTCTAGTGGGAAAGGAGAGCCTCCAATTACCATGCGCACTGGAGTAAGTATATTTTTGTTTGAATACTTGTAGGGAGATCTGATTTCTCGGGTTTATCAAGCTAGAGTCCTCTAAAGCAACGTTTATCAAAGTGGGTGGTGAACCATTTGTGCATCTTTTTTATTTATTTATTTATTTTTTTAATGATAGTTACAGAGAGAGAGAGAGAGAGAGGCAGAGACATAGACGGAGGGAGAAGCAGGCTCCATGCACTGGGAGTCCGACGTGGGATTCGATCCCGGGTCTCCAGGATCACGCCCCGGGCCAAAGGCAGGCGCTAAACCGCTGCGCCACCCAGGGATCCCCCCATTTGTGCATCTTAAAATCAATTTACTGATTCCAAGTTTTTTTTTTTTTTTTTTAAGATTTTATTTATTTCTTCAAGAGACACACACGGGGGTGGGGGTTGGAGCAGGGGGCAGGCTCCATGCAGGGAGCCTGATGTGGGACTCAGTCCTGGGACTCTAGGATCACACTCTGGGCCAAAGGCAGGCTCTCAACCGCTGAGCCACCCAGGCATCCCAAGTCCAAGCCTTTTAAAAAGCTTTTTCTCGTTACAGAAATGGGCCTGAAATGGTAGTATTTGCTGGTGCCTTTCAGTTATGTATATATGTGTCCAACACATGTACTAGTTATATAAATTGCATTTTTTACTGTTTTTTTTTTTTTTAAGATTTTATTTATTCATGAGAGACACACAGAGAGAGGCATAGAGGGAGAAGCCCGATAAGGGATTCGATCCCCGGACCCGGGATCACACCCTGAGCTGAAGGCAGATGCTCAACTGCTGAGCCACCCAGGCATCCCATTTTGTGTTTTTTACTGTTGATCAAAGTCCTAAGAGTTTGAAAGCCTCTGATCTAAAAGTAACAGGGTTTTACTCTAGTTTGCTACTGTGGGCCAAGGCCAGGGTTGGGCCCTGGAGATACAAAACCAGTTCAAAAGCCCCTGCCTTCAAGGAGCTCCCCCATTTCATTGGGAAGGTAGGTAACACCCGTTTTTGTGAGTGAGTAGAAAGGTGAGTTATGTAAGAAGTAAGAGGAGCCATGATTTGAAAATGTGGGGAGTGAGAGGACTACCTTCCTGCTGGTGTCCAAAATGGCTTCACCTTTGGCTTGGGTATTGAAAGATGAATAGGAGTTTGCCAGGCAAAGAGGAGAGGACATATATGGCAGAGGGGTCAGCATGTGCCAAGGGGATTCATGAATAGGCAGGGTGTGCTATGGGACTCAAGGGTCACTCAGGGTGACTAGAAAGCTGGAGGTACCAGGGAGACATTTCTCTCAGATACCCCCAACAATACTGCCCACCTCGTTACCTTATCAGCCTTGACTGCAAGGCTCTCTTGCCCCAGAGCGTCCAGTAGCAAAATGGGGAGCCAGCAGGGAGTTCACTGGAACTATGTGTCTCCCTGCACGTATGTGTTCTGGTCTCTGAGCTCCTGGCCTGGGCCCAACTGAGGTGGTGGCAAGCAGACATTTTGCATTTGGTTTGTTTTGGCAGCTACCTCTCCCAGCCTGTTTGTTGTTGTTTCTACTCCACTTTCTTTCAGTGCTTGCTGTTGGGGCTTCCCTCAGTGGCAGATCCTCAAAAACAGCCCATAGACATTGCTGTTTGAAGGAAGAAGGGTCCAAGAGCTCACCCTTTTGCATGTGTAGGCACGTAGGGGGCATGGGGAAGGCTCCTGCATCTGTTGGGAGTCCAGGCATGGTGGGCAGGGCAGGGAACTCTTAACTCCGAATCCCTTCAGTAGGCCAAATACCACCTCTATTTCCCTTCCTCCTATTGACTCTGAAATGTCTTCCATCAGGGTTGGAGAAAGGGGAAGGAGATAGGGGCAGAAGGTGTATCCAAATGCAGTTCTCCTCCCTTCTTTTTACACAACATCTACATAAGCCACAGTGAGTTTGAAATGACCTCCAACTCCAAAACCAGATCCCCAGAGGCCAGAATTGAAATGCTTTGTTTTGGAGGAGGGTGCAGACATCTCATCATTCATAGCATTATTGATCATGCATTAGTTTTAGGGATCTGTGTTAAGTACCAGGCCTTCCCATGAAGGTATAAACTGGTCCTATAAAGTCTATAGGGAGTAAGATGTTAAATAGACAAAGAATGGGCATTGTGCTTGTAACTGTCCCTGGCGTTAGTACAGGCTCCAAAAGTTGTAAAAACTACTGTTGTTAATATGAGCCATTTTGTGAAGAAATGGTTTCAGGCCTCTTTGTGGGTTATAGGGAGAGGGGATGAAAGGTGATTTGTGTGTGTTTAACTTACAAGGCCAGGCTTCTAGTTCTGTTAGCTCTTAAATCTGTGGCTTACTCAGCAGGGAAGAAGACCTGCCCTCAGGACTCATGACCTGGCTTGGATAGAGTGATGATCCTCCTAGGGACGTCCTCATACTCTGTCTCAGGTCAGTTTGTAGTGCTTGGTCAGGAGTTGGGGGGAGAGGGGCATGTTCCATTAAATCCTTGAACCTCTGGAGAAGTTGGACTAAAACTCTTGTGCTCGAGGTACTTCCTCAGGAAGCAGATGTCCAACTGCATGGAGGTTTGGGGTGAGGCGAAAATGATCTCACCAAGAAAGATGTCTGGATGTAACTACTTAAGACTCCGCCTTCGTAATGGCAATATGAGTGCTTTTCATTCATGTGTTTTGGTTCAGCCATATTTTCTAGTTTTCAATGATCACAGATCATTTTTATAATAAAAAATTAAATTTTTACAAAGCTTGTTCCTTTGTCCTCTGAGTGGGGTGATCAGGGGAGTTAGTTATCAAACTGATGAGATAACATCAAGGAGAAGTGATCTCATTGCCCAGTCCAGTAACTAATAAATATCACTGCATGGATGGATGGGATACACAGGAGACAGCTTGCTGTCCACTCTATAACAAGCCTCTGCTCCCTTGAGAAAACACCAAATGGCTTGCCACTGGAAGTACACAAAGAGAGGGTGAACCTTCACTTTTATGGGACCTCCTAGGTCTTTTCCAATTCAGAGTCTGAGTTTTGTTCACTGCAAGAAAAATACACTTCTGGGACACCTGGGTGGGTCAGCGGTTGAGCGTTTGCCTTTGGCTCAGGGCATGATCCCAGGTCCTGGGATCTACTCCCGCATCAGGCTCCCTTCGAGGAGCCTGCTTCTCTCTTTACCTGTGTCTCTGCCTCTCTATCTGTGTCTCTCACGAATAAATAGATAAAATCTTAAAATTATATATATATATATATATATATATATATATATATATATATATATATATATATTTCTCTGAAAATCCTAAACTCATTTGCTGGTTCATGAAATAAAATAGGAGCAAAAAAGTTCCCTTCTATACAGATCGTAGGGGATGCCTATGGGGTCAAGCAATAGGTTCTTGATATTTGTTGGTTCTCGGTGAACCACGAACAATTTGAGAATATATTTGCTAAATTTGGATGTTTACGAGTATGTCTAAGTCTTCTATAAACTACCCTTCAGGAGATCTTGGCCTATATTCTTCTAAGTAGAAAGAGTCTATAGGCTTAATACCTGCATCTGAAACCACCGGCAACTCCCACAGTGACTTCATTTCACTCAATTGTGTTCAGGGGCAAGTTTCTCCAAAGTGCAGTCAGTGCATACACCCAGAGAGACCTCCATCCACACCCCACTGTTCTCATGATGTCTTCCGGTGAGTTGCTCGGCCAGGCAGCTAAAACAGCACAGAGCAGTTCCCATGAGTTGTGCCTAGCTGCTCAGAGGGAAAAGTAGAGTGTGCTGGAGGAAGTCTGGAGAATATGCTGGAGATGTGACTCCAAAGTGAGAACAAGTAGGAGGGATAATAAAGCAGAGTTAGTGCAGTAATAACAGCCAGCATTTATTGATCACCTTACTCCAGGTGTTACATAACCCACAATAGTCCTGGGAAGCAATTACTATCACCTGCCATGCATTGGCTCACAGGTAAAGTCACCAGTCCCAGTCGGCTCCTAGTAAATGGCAGAGCTCAGGCCACTAATCTGGGCTCCCTTGTTTACAGGACAACCCCCTTTAAGCTGCTGGGCCACAGAGCCAATGCTTGTTGAGAGAAGACACCTGGATGTCTGGTTCTACTTGGCTACTTTATGACCCCGAAAGCAGCCCTTGCCTCAGTTTCTCCAAATTGGCCTTTGGACAGGACTTTCTTTGGTTCTCCAGCAGGAATCTGTTTTCCAGCATTCTTGCTCCCTTCCCAACTCCCCAGGGGCCAGGAAACCCTCCCCCACCGCACCCTCCACAGTCCCTGGTCACCTCACTTCCCAGCACAGAAGGTCTTCTGGGCCACTGGCTGAACTCTCCAGCCAAGCTGAAAGCCACTGAAGAGAGGCCCAGAGGCCCCCTTCGTCCCCAACACGACTCCAGGCAGCTGGGGCTTCGTGCTGTCTTGGGGGCTGGGGCAGCTCAGGGGAGCTGTAAATTTGCTTCTCCTTGGACTTTCTTTCTGAACTGACTGCCAGGAAGACTCCATGGAACAGAGCCTACGTCCACCCCCGCCATCCTCCTGTCACACCCATCCCTTTTCAGGCCCTGCCTCAGTGGCTGCTGCTCAGGAAGTGGATGGAGGCTTTACAGGCCCACGAGATCCCAGAGCTAGGTTGTCAAGGCTGGCTCCAGCAAGCACTCAGAGGATGAGTGGCTCATTTCCCCACTCTAGGTGTCCCATTCTGTGGCTGAGGTGTCTGTCTGCAGTGGAGGGATCACCTAATACCAGCCACATATAAATAGGCAACATGCTGGGTCCCTGGGAGGTACTGAGGTGAAACAAGACTTACCCTACATTGCCCTCTGTTCTTTTTGATTAACAAGGCTCCTGTGCTGCATGACCCCAGAAACTGCCATTCCCAGTGAATTTATGTGAATGGCGCCCCCTGGAGTTGTGCAGTCCTCAATCTTGAAAACTGTGTACGGTGGCCCAGCCAGTAGGAGCCCTAAGCCATGTGCATAAATGATAGCAGTGCAAAGAAAGGAGACAACTTTCTGCTGGGGGATCAGAGAAGCCTTCATAGAGGTGCTGAAATCTTGGGTTCGGGCTTTGAAGAATGGGCGGGGGAAGGGGCCGGGGGAGATAGTGTGCGAAGATGATGCAGGTAGACAGCACAGGGTGAGCAAAAGGCAGGATGTATCTGAGTTCATGTGATGGAAGGAATGGGAATGAGCAAAGTGGGAGAATAGGATAGAAAGGCAGGTGGATGACAGAACACAGACAATCTTCGTTTTGAGGCAACTGGGAGCCATGGCAGGTTCCTGCTCAGGGGAGTGACATGAACAAGGCTATTCAATGGGAAAGCTAGTGGGGATTGACTGGAGAGGTCAGGGGGGAGACCCTCTGCAGTGGCCAGCACCATGCCGGAAGGACATAAGGAGGCCGATGGAGGAGCCAGTGGCAGGGGGTGGTGGGTGTTGGAGGGGGAGGCCCAAGGAGCTTCCATTTTTCTCTCTGCTTTTCAGAGTATGCAGATATCAAGGGCAGATAGCTGGGCCCTGCTGGGCAGTTACCAAGAGCATCTTTGTTGAAGTTGGCCCCCAAACCAGCCTCTGCCCTCAGCTTAGGGGTTGGGCGTGGGGTGGACGGAGATCCTCTCCTACACCTTCTCTCCCAATCTGCAATCAGAGAGCTCTCTCCAAAAGCCCCAGAGGATGAGCCAGCACCACCCCTGTCCAGCAGGACCTAGCATCTAGGCACTGGTGCTTATGGCCCATCTCCCCTCCTTTCTTGAAGGCAGAGGTGAAAGGCAGGCCTCTCACAAGTTGCTATGAGGGAAGCAGCAGGTCTCACAGCCTGAAAGGCTCCTCCTCTCCTCAGTCTCTTCAGGCAGTGTCTGCCCCCTCCATCTGTCCCTGGCCCAATCTCCATGGTCAGGTCAGGGCAGTGACGCAGGAGTCGGGACTGGAGAGCAGAGGCTGGGGGGGTGGAGGGGTCGGGACAGAACGCATGTGTGGACGTGTGTGGACGTGAGTGTGCGTGTGCTTGTCCCACAGCTGGGATCTGAGAGGGAAGCAGAACCGGGTTCCGAAGGCCAAGCAGGGCTGGGAAGCTGCCTGGGTGCCGGGAGGGAAACTGGGACCAGGGGCATAGTGGAGTGAGCAGACTGGGAGTCAATATACCAGGGTTGAGGAGGGACCCCAGAGCAGGCTGGAGGTGAGTGGAGGGTAGAGGAGCAGGATCGGAGCAAATCCAGGCCCTCAGGACTTCCCACTGGAAGCACAGCAGCCTCTGCCTCCCACCTTTCCCTCTTCTGAACCCCTCTCCAATCATGCCCTCCCCACCTTGTGGTTCCCTCACTCCCTCCACTGACTTTATTCAAGTCACCCTCAGCACAGTTTCCCCCACTGCCCCATCTCAAACTGCAGCCTTCTCCAACACTCCCGGCCCCCTTCATGCATGCTCTCCTTGGTCCTTTATTGCTGTTGGAAATACTTTTTTTTTTTTAATTTATTCATTCATGAGAGACAGAGAGAGAGAGAGAGAGAGAGAGACAGGCAGAGGGAGAAGCTGGCTCCATGCAGGCAGCCTGATGTGGGACTCCGGGATCAGGCACTGAGCTAAAGGCAGAAGCTCAACCGCTGAGCCACCCAGGCATCCCTGAATATTCATTTCTTGAATGAAAGAATGTTTCCTTCAGACTCTTTACAAACAAAATCCAAATTTCTTTAAATAGATTTTTTAAAAGATTTATTTATTTATTTGAGAAAGAGGGAGAGAGCAGACCTATGCATCTGGAGGGGATGAGGGTCAGAGGGAGAGAATCTTTCCAGCAGACTCCTCACTGAGCACGGACCCCATTGCGGGGCTCAATCTCTTGAACCAAGAGTTGGATGCTCAGGCGACTGAACTCCCCCAGGGCTCCCCAAATCCAAATTGTTTGAGTGTCATACAAGGCCCTTCACAACCTGACCCTTCCCTAACCAGCCCTCTGGCCTAGTCTCCCCCACCTTTCCATTCCACACCCACCCACCCTGACACACCTGACCCTCCTTTCCCCTTGATGAATGACTTTCATCCTCACCTCACATCTCCTCCCACTGAAATCCTACCAGCCCTTCAAGGCTGAGCTCCTGTCACCTTCTGCATCAAATCTTCCTGGATTCCCCCAGCTAACAGTGAGCTCTGCTTCTTCCAAATTCTTCCAGCTAGGCTCTGAACACCCCTGTCCTCACACAACTGCTCTGTGTACCCATCTTATCTCTGTTGTAAACTACAAACTCCAAGAGGCAGGAGCTAGTTCTCAAACACATCTTTTTGCCTTGCAAAGTGTGTAGGCAGCTGACTTGCTCGTAGATGGCATTGATTGCAGGAATAATATATTCTTGAATCTCATGGAACTGGGAAGGAAGTGAGGGAATATATATATAACCATTTGTATTTGTAGGACTTTGGAACTGGGACTTAATCACCCCCCTTTGTCAGGTTAGGGCACGGAAGCTCAGGACAGACCACTTTCCAAGGTTTGCGAAGCCAGCCAGGCTCAGACTCCTGCTTGCCTCTCTGCTTCCGAGAAGCCTCAAAGGCTTAGCTGTAAATCTGAACCATCTAACAAATTTTGCCACATAGCCTAACCTACAGCATAGGTCAAAACCAAAAACCAAAAGGATGTTAAAGTGCACACGTGTCCTGCACAACATACCATACGCCCAGTGCCCTTAAAAGTTCCATTTCTGGGTGTTCAGAGTCCTAGAAACTAAAGAGCCAGGAAAGAAGAGCCCCCCAAATTTCTTACTCCGTGGGCCCCCATCAAATTCCTCAACACGAACAATACTGGCGTCTAGAACAAGTACTGGGATTGAGAGAAGGAAGGCAACTTGCCTCTGCCCGCACCTTCCCGGCTTCCAAGGCTAGTTGCCCCGCAGGCACCAGGCACCGGCGCTCCCAGCTCTGATCCCCCGCCCAGGACTGGGACGCACCCCTCCCCCCGGGGGCGGGGGCCGGGGAGCATCGGGGTCCCCGGCCTTTCCCAGAATGGCACCCCTCCCGCGGGTGCGCACCCGGCCGCGCCTCCCAGAACCCGGGGTCAGACAGGCGGACCCGCGTCCCGCTCCGCGCCTGCTGCCGCGCCTGCTGCCGCTCTGCTCCCGCCCCGGCGAGCCCCCGACCCAGGCGTCCTGCCCCGGGCTGACCCCTCTGGCCCTTACCTCTGGCGACCCCTCACGCACACAGCCTGCCCCCCACCCCCACACACGCACGCACACATGCTGATAACAGCCCCGACCCCCGGCCGAGCCGCAGTCCCCGGGCCAACCCCGGCCGGTCGCCGCGCGCCTGTCCTCGCGGACCCTGGCCAAGAGCCCTGCGCTCGCTCTGCGCGACCCCGGCTCGGCGGCCCCTGGACGGTGGCCCCCTCCTTCGGACCGTGGGGCCGGCCCTGCCCCGCCGCGCTTCCCGGGATGAGGGCTCCCGGCGAGGGCGCCGGCGGAGCCCCTGGTCGCTGAGCGGCCGGAGGAGGCGCGGAGATGGGGGCGTGCGGTGAGTACTCGCCGGCCGGAGGAGCCCCCGCCCGCTCGGGCCCCTGTTTGAGCAAGAATTTACCGCTGGGGCCCCGAGGTGGCTGGGTTCAAGGACCGACGACTTGCCAAGGACCCCGGAAGGGCAAGGGGGTGGGGCAGCCCCCACGTGCCGGCAGGGCTTAGGGAGCCCCTGAGAAAGGTGAAATCTGACCTGGACACGGGGATGCGGTTTGGGGGTTCAGGGAGAAGAGGGGCTGCCACGTGCGTGGGGAGAAGGCTGATACCTGGGTCTTGGAGCAATCACCGGGATCTGCCGGAGGGGAAGCCTCAGTCACGCCGGGATTGAAGTTTGGCCGGGAGAAGTGGATGCCGGTAGTTTGGGGGGTGGGGTGTGCGCGCCGCAGCGGCCGGATTGAATGAAGGCAGGGGAGGCAGAACCTGAACGCTGGGAAGGTGGGGGTCGGGAGCGGCTAGTTGGGGGCAGAGGAGCGGGATGTGTGAACCTGCCCCTCCAAACCCACACAGTCAGCCTGGCACTCTTTTCCAGAATGTCCTGCCCTGTTCCTTTTGCTGTCTTTGCTGCTGCTTCCTCTGGGCCTCCCAGTCCTGGGCGCCCCCCCTCGCCTCATTTGTGACAGCCGGGTCCTGGAGAGATACATCCTGGAGGCCAGGGAGGCCGAAAATGTCACGGTGAGGGTCCCACCTCAGGACATTCTCAGTAGACCAGGGGTGTCCTCCAAGATCTGGGAACCTGAGCCCCTTCGTTCAGAGATGGAGATGGGAAGCCAGAGCCCTCAGGAAAAATGATAAAAGTGGTAGCCCCCCAATGCATGCCTGGAAGCTAGATGAGGGGCAAAGGTGGAGGGAGCTCTTGGGGAGCCTGACACCCCCCTTCCCCCCCACCTGGGGTCATGCATTTCAGATGGGCTGTGCTCAAGGCTGCAGCTTCAGTGAGAATATCACCGTCCCAGACACCAAGGTTAATTTCTATACCTGGAAGAGGATGGATGTGAGTTTATTTTTCCCCTCTACTTGGACAGTCTTGTTTTGCTTACCTGATGGGGTGGGAGGGAGAACCATAGAAGAAGCTGAGGGCTGAATGCAATATGTTTATTCATTTGTTCTTTGTTCATTCATTAATTCATTCATTCAATGAAACTGATTCCAAGCCTTCATTTTGCTCAGCTTGGTGCTTGGGGCTGCTGAGAGGGAGGGGCTGGCCTGGGCCACTGACTATAAGTCGCCATTCCCTTTAGGTTGGGCAGCAGGCCTTGGAAGTCTGGCAGGGCCTGGCACTGCTCTCAGAAGCCATCCTGCGGGGTCAGGCCCTGTTGGCCAACACCTCCCAGCCATCTGAGACTCCGCAGCTGCATGTGGACAAAGCTGTCAGCAGCCTGCGCAGCCTCACCTCTCTGCTTCGGGCGCTGGGAGCCCAGGTGGGTAGAAGCATCCCTTGCACTTCTGCTCCGAGGGCCCTGCCAAGAAATACTGAGACCCCACTGGACCTCCTCATCCCCCCCTCCAATTCTGTCCTCCATCCCATCTCCCTCCAGGGTCCTGGGCACTTCGGTAACCTTCTCTTCTCTCCTTGTCAGAAGGAGGCCATGTCCCTTCCAGAGGAAGCCTCTCCTGCTCCACTCCGAACATTCACTGTTGATACTTTGTGCAAACTTTTCCGAATCTACTCCAATTTCCTCCGGGGAAAGCTGACACTGTACACAGGGGAGGCCTGCAGAAGAGGAGACAGGTGACCAGGTGCTCCCACCCCAGGCACATCCACCACCTCACTCACTACCACTGCCTGGGCCACGCCTCTGCACCACCACTCCTGACCCCTATCCAGGGGTGATCTGCTCAGCACAAGCCTGTCCCTTGGACACTCCACGGCCAGTGGTGACATCTCAAGGGCCAGAGGAACTGTCCAGAGCTCAAATCAGATTTAAGGATGTCACAGTGCCAACCTGAGGCCCGAAGCAGGAGGAATTCGGAGGAAATCAGCTCAAATTTGGGGACAGAGCCTTGCTCGGGAGACTCACCTCGGTGCCCTGCTGAACAGTGATGCCAGGACAAGCTGGAGGGCAATTGCCGATTTTTTGCACCTATCAGGGAGAGACAGGAGAGGCTAGAGAATCTAGGTGGCAAGCCATAAATTCTCTAGGTCTCGTGGGTCTCCTATGGCAGCAAGAGCCCACTGGGCAAAGGGTGGTGGGAGCCATGGAGATGGGATAGGGGCTGGCCCCTGGCTCTCATTGGGTCCAAGTTTTGTGTATTTTTCAATCTCATTGGCAAAAACTGAAACCACAACATGGCTCTTGACTTTTCTGTTTTCCCTGGGAGCCTCCTACTTCCCTGGCCCTGCTCCGGCCCTGGCAGCAGGCCACAGTCCTGGAAAACTAGAGGTGGAGGGGGTCGGCCCTACGTGCTGCCTCTCATGGTCTATCTGACCTCTTGACCCCACTGGGCCTGAGGCCACAAGCTCTGCCCACGCTGGTCAATAAGGTGGTTCCATTCAAGGCTGTTCCTCAGTAGGCAGCTGGCAACCCTCTGTAGTGAGCTACAGCTGCCATCAAGGAAACAGGAGCCAGGAGGAAGAGCCCCTTTGGGGGCTGGTGGGAGTTCCCAGTCCTGGACCCTGGACCCTTATTATTTCTCACTTCTCCATAGTGCTTTTGGCTAAAGCCACATTCCCACATCAGCCTTTGCCACCTCTAAATCCAGCTGACCCTTTTCCTTGCCTGAGGATGGTCACCCTTAATGCTCTACCCCAAAACTTGCAGAAGGAGCCACGTTCCCCAAAAGCGGTCTCACTGAACACTCACTCTGTGCCCAGGGCTATTCTAGGTGGTTCGCTTACTTGACCTCATTTTATTCCTTGCACAGCCTGATGAGAAAGTTTCCACTGTCATTCCCATGGAACAGATGAAGAAGTAAACTGCCCAAAGCCAAGACAACAGGAATCCCCAGTGGCCCCAGTTCTTATCCCTTCCCTCTTCAGCTTATTCTTCCACATAACCCCTACCTGCTCCCTGCTCCCCTGGGATGGGAGACACAGAACAGACTAACTCAGCTCCCGCTCTCCATCCCTACTAATAATTTTACCCAGTACTCCAACATTCCACTTCAAATTCCTTCCCAGAGGGATGCCTTGGTGGCTCAGTGGTAGAGTGTCTGCCTTTGCTCAGGTCGTGATCCCCAGGTCCAGAGATTGAGTCCTGCATCAGGCTCCCTGCAGGGAACCCAATCCTGGCCATTATCATATGTGTGGGGATCAGCTCATATCACAAAACTTAGAGAAGTCAGCCTGCATCCCTGAAAATATGCAAAAGAAAAAGAATTTTTGCAATCTGCAGCAGGACAAATGATGGGTAGGTTGGGGGATTGGATGGTATGTGCTAAATATATGTGTGTGTGTTGCGGGGGGCAGGGGCCAAGCGTGGTGGGAGGAATCAAAGGAGAGGTGGACCCAAAGGAGAATTCCTCCCTCCTCCCCTGCCTGGCCAACCCAGTTCCTGGGGTATAGTGCCCTCTTCAGGCCCCACTGGAAAATGTTAGAGAAATACACAAGTCAAAGAGCCCTTAGGTCTCTGATTATTCTTTGCACATTTCAATAAAAATTTGTATTACAGTTTCCACAGATGGCATTTGGTTCTTGCCCCACTGCTGTGAAACAGTAAGGGAGGATTCTGTCTCTCTCGCTGGCAAAATCGAAGCTAAGAGAGGTGTCCAAGGCATGCAGCTAATAATGGCAGCTAGGACCTGAACACAAGGTTTAGGAATCATAACCTCCAAGCCCATCTTAGCCTGATGTGTCATCTAGACATCCCTGCCCACCCAATTCCTGACTCTTTTTCCCCCAGAAGTCAGGGCCATCTGCCTTATTCCTTGATTTCTCCTCAGACTGCTTACTGCTTTCTATTACAAAAAAAAAAAAAAAAAGGAAAAAACAAAAGAAGATAGAAGTTAATGGAACTGAACTGTGTGACCTGGGCCAGTATGTTAAGACATCAAAAACAAAACTCATTTATTACAATTTATGGAGTGCCTACTATGTGCCAGCCTTTGCACTAAGTACTAGGAAAACATGAAATGACAACCTGTGCCTTTCTCAGCCCTGTGTCTCCAAGAGCAGGCATTCCTCCCAGAGGCAAAAAAACATGAACTCATTAACTGTATAGCCAGCTTGATATGTGACTGCATGTGGACAGGCCTGGATAGGAAGGACCTGGCAAGGGCCCAAGTCCCTGCGAAAAGAACACACATACACAAGGAGAGTGTTGCTAGATTTCAAAGGGTCTTCAAATGTGAACTGGGAATGTGAAGTTTCTGCTGTACTATTATTATTATGATTCATGACAGATTAAACTCTGGCACCTGCATGATCTGCTGTGATTCTCACGAGTCCATGAAACTGAGAGGACTTAGGTATCATCTCTATTTGCCAGATAGGGAAAATAAAACTAAGTTCCACCAGGTAAATGAGGGAACCAGCTCTTCGGACTTCTTGGCAGGCCAGGCACCAGCATGACCCAGTTCTGAGTCAGTGGGTTACATAATTGTTTAATGGAGATGCCTTCTGTTTTTAGAGTGCTTTGTGATTTAGGAGGTGCTTTCCTGGGCATTTTCTTATTTGCTCTCCTAACTGCATGAAGATGGCAGAGATGGTAGAGGATCTCCATTTTGCAGAGGCAGAAACCAAGATCCACAAAGATTATGGGCCTTGTCCAAGCTATAAGACACTGAGAAGAATATAAAGACCAGGAGCCAGGCTCTCCAACTCGTGTTCCCTTTTCTACCAGAAGCAGGGATGGTTGGGAAAGGAAAGTAGAGGGAATGGCTGGAGGGGAGAAAGCAGCTCCAGGTCAACCAGACTTAAGGCCCATTCTTCTCTCACTATCAACTCCTCCTCAAGGGGCACCTGGGTGGCTCAGTCGATTGAGTGTGCAACTCTTGTTTTGGCCCAGGTCATGATCTCATGGGTTGTGGGATCAATGCCTGCTCCCATCCTCTTAGTGGGAAGTCGGCTTGAGAGTCTCTCCCTCTGATGCCCTCAGATAAATAAATAAATAAATAAATAAATAAATAAATAAATAATCTGTTTAAAAAACAAACCAACCTCCTCCCCACTCCATCTCCTGCCTTGGGCTCCCACTTCTTCCCCTGGCCTGGCAGAAGGTACCTCCTATCCTTCCCACCACCGAAGTCTCCCAGTACCATGGGCCAACCCAGCTACAGCCCTAGCTCTCACCTTGACTGATGCCTATTGGCCCAAATCATCTCCCTGGGTCTGAGCATCAGGCTGACCAAATGCACCTGCCTGACCCCAGCCCACAGGTCACCTAAGATTTTCTGGAACTACTCAGAATCCATTTCTCACCATAGCAGACAGTGTTGCTGGAGTTAAGTTAGCTAAACGGGACCTCTTAGACCTTGGAATCTAAGCTGAATATTAACTATATTTTTTCCACCTGGTCGAGGCTAATTTTTCCAAAATTCCATCATAAAATGACATTATGAAAGATTGTTGGCAACAGAAAAGCAGACGGTACTATGGTTTCCTAACTTATGTGAGCCATGCCCAAGTATCCATGAAATCTCGCTCCTTGATTTTTAAAAATTGATTAGTAAAACAATTACATGACCCGCACACAATTTCTGCTTTTAAAAACACTTAGCTGTGGCAGCCCGGGTGGCTCAGCAGTTTAGCGCCTGCCTTCCACCCCGGGCGTGATCCTGGAGACTGGGGATTGAGTCTCTGTTCTCTCTCATGAATAAATAAATAAAATCTTTAAAAAATAATAAAAAATAAACATAAAATAAAAATAAAAACACTTAGCTGGGCTAGTGTCTCCATTTTACAGAAGAGCAAACTAAGGCCCAGAGTGAGTAAAGTGGAAACACAGCAAAGCCAAGAGTGGCTTTAATTCTCTGGAGCGTTCCCCAGGTTTTTCCACATGCCAGGGTCCCTCACACCTATTCCTACAGCTGTTAGGCTTGACAAGTGACAAACCCTCCGGGGCCTTGTGCATTCCCAACCCCTCAAAATGCAGAGCCCGGTGGTTCCCTTCCACAGGGCCGTCCCGTCCTGTCTTGTGTACCAACCCCCACCCCCAGACAGGTTGGAAGCTGTGACTGTCCTGCTCTGTGGGTCTGTGGCGCCAAAGAGAGGTCAGCAAAAGCAGCCCTCAGAGGACTTATTGCCCAACCAGGAGGGGCTGTGGATCAATTGGCTTCTGCTGCTTTTCCCCAGGTTAACCATTTCCTGGCTCTCTTCCTCTCTTGATTGCTATCTTAACTGGGTACGGATGGAGGAAGGGTAGATGAGCATCGAGGCTAAGTATCCTTTACATCCCCCCTTTGATGTAAAGAGAAAGAGGATCTCTCTCTCCCCAGGTGTGACCCCCTACATGATCCTATTGGTGCTCACTTGGGCAGGAGTCCCCAAGACTGTGAGGGTGATTAGGACTTCTCTCTTCAATACCTGATGTATGACTGTGCCAGCTTCTCCCAGACAGCTAGTAAGAATGGCTGTTCCAGGCATCACTGTCATTTGTCAGGGGCAAAGGCCCAGTGCCCCAGGCATAGATAGAGTAGGGAGTTAGCCTGAAGGTTTCTAGGAACACCTGGGTATGGTTGCCTATGGGAAATCTGGACAGGATAGACCAGCTCGCTGCTGACTGGCTCTCCAGCCTAGATACAAGCTGTGTGTGCCGTGAAGTCAACAGTGTTTTTTTAAAGGGGCAAAACGACCCTTCAGTTGCAATCTTATGTAGGATTGCCATTTATGAAACAACTCAAAGAAGAGCTGCTCTGGCCAGGGTGGGGGGGCAGCGGGGGCGGGGCGGTGGTGGACCCTGATCTCTGTTGGATATTCCCATCAGAACTATGGGACTCTGTAGGACACAGCATGGGACTGTCAGCACTGTGCTCTCCTGCTGAGCAACTGACTTCACTTCTCCGGAGCTCTGTTTCTACACATGGAAAATGAGGACAATAATTTTGCAATGAGGAAGACATGAGGTTCATTCAGTTAGCTTAGGCTGCAAGTACTGCTATTTCTGGCTCCAGAAAGCTCTCGATCCACTCATGTCCCCACTCCTCCTGTCTTGATGTTAACGTCCAACTATACCATCATCTCCCACCCTTCACAGACTCCTCTCCCATCTCCCCATCTCCAGTGAGCCCCACATTGGTCCATATCTGCCCAGGCTGCCCAAGCGGCCTTTTTTTTTTTTTTTTTTTTATGATAGTCACACACAGAGAGAGAGAGAGAGAGGCAGAGACACAGGCAGAGGGAGAAGCAGGCTCCATGCAGGGAGCCTGACGTGGGATTCAGTCCCGGGTCTCCAGGATCGCACCCTGGGCCAAAGGGCCAAAGGCAGGCGCTAAACCGCTGCGCCACCCAGGGATCCCCCAAGCGGCCTTTTGAAAATGCAAGCCAGATCAAGTCACCCTGGTTGCTTAAAAACTTTTGATAGTTCCTCAAAGCTAAGACTTTTAAGGTTCTTCAAGACAGGGCCCTACCTCTTCCCAGTGTTACACACACACGCGCGCGCACACACACACACACACACACACACACCGTTCCTTTTTTTTTTTTTTTAGATTTTATTTATTTATTTATTTAGAGAGAGCACTTGTGTGCACACATGCACACAGGTCGGGGGGTGGGTGGCAGGGACAGAGGAAGGAGAGAGAATCTCAAGTGGACTCCATGTTGATCGCAGACCTGGACAGGGGCTTGATCTCATGACCCTGAGATCACGATCTAAGCTGAAATCAAGAGTCAGATGGTTAATGGACTAAGCCACCCAGGCCCCCCCTCCACCATTCTTTAAAAGTGTCATGCTCCTTCTAAGCCTGGAACATTCTCTCTTCCTGGATATGCCTTCTCAACTTATTTGCCTCATTACCATCTCTTTGTGGTTTAGAAAGCTTCTCAAGTGTCACCTCTTTTGAAAGCCTTCCCTTCCTGTTGCCAGTGACCTGGGCCAGGGACCCCCTCCACACACTCCCCACCAAGGTACTTATCTGCCTGGCCACCTGTTGTCAGCCCCTCAGAGGGATGCATGTGGAGAGAAGCCCTGATGATGGTAAAGTGTGGTGGGGAAAGGTAAGAAGGCGTGGGCCAGAGGACGGAGGTTGTCATGAGCACAAGCTAAGGTAAGGGTGAGTTGGCTGTGGTGGGAGTGGCATGGGGGCCTCTCTGAAAGGGGTACTGCTGTGGCCTGCTTGCCACCAGAGCCTTTTCCACTTGCCTCCTACTCCACAGGTAAAACAGAGGCCTCTAGGGGCGCCTGGGTGGCTTAGTCAGTGGAGCCTGCGACCCTTGATTTTAGGATTATTGATTCCCACATTGGGTATAGAGATTACTTCAATAAAATCTTTAGGGATGCCTGGGTGGCTTAGTAGTTGAGTGTCTGCCTTCAGCTCAGGGCATGATCCCGGGGGTCCTGGGATTGAGTCCACATCAGGCACCCCGCAGGGAGCCTGCTTTTCCTTCTGCCTATGTCTCTGCCTCTCTCTGTGTGTCTCTCAGGAATAAATAAATAAAATCTGTAAAAAATTTAAAAAATATTTGAAAAACAAACAGGGGCTTCTGGGTGGCTCAGTTGCCTAAGCATCTGCCTTTTGCTCAGGTAATGATCTCAGGGTCCTGGGACCCAGCCTCATGTCGGGATCCCGGCTTAGTGGGGAGTCTGTTTCTCCTTCACCCTCTGCCCCTCACCCCCACTCTGCTTGTGCTCCATTTCTTTCTCTCTCAAATAAATAAATACAATCTTTAAATAAAGAAACAAAAACCAGAGGCCACTAAACATGCTTTGGCAAGGGTCCCCTAGCTCCTTCCCTTCCCAGAGCTGGCTTGTCCTACCTGTTGCCTGTGTCCTGAACTCTTCAGCTTCTTTCATTTAACAACATGTGCAGGTGGTCTTTCCACTGTCAGAACATACTGATCTACCATCATCCCCTTTTTCTTTAAGTCAGGAATAAACTTTGACAAACAGTGTTATAACATCAAGTAAATATTTTTGTGTGTTTGTGTTTTTTTTAAAGATTTTATAAAAAAAAGATTTTATTTATTTATTCATGAGAGAGAGAGAAAGAGAGAGAGGCAGAGATACAGGCAGAGGGAGAAGCAGGCTCCATGGAGGGAGCCCGACTTGGGACTCCATCCCGGGTCTCCAGATCACGCCCTGAAGCGTGGGCTGAAGGCGGCGCTAAACAGTTGAGCCACCCAGGCTGCTCTCAAGTAAATATTCTTTTTTTTTATTATTTTTATTTATTTATGATAGTCACACAGAGAGAGAGAGAGGCAGAGACACAGGCAGAGGGAGAAGCAGGCTCCATGCACCGGGAGCCCGACGTGGGACTCGATCCCGCGTCTCCAGGATCGCGCCCTGGGCCAAAGGCAGGCACCAAACCGGTGCGCCACCCAGGGATCCCTCAAGTAAATATTCTTGAAATGATTTTTTTAAATTGTGGCAACATACTCATAATATAAAATTTACCTTCTTAACCATTAAATTTTTTTAAAGTTTTTAAAAATTTATTTAAGTCATCTCTACACCCAACATGAGGCTTGAACCCACAACCCCAAGATAAAGAGTCTCATGCTTTTCCAACTAGCCAGCCAGGTGCCCCTCTTCTTAAGTGTACAGTTTAGTGGTATTAAGTACATTCACATTGTGCAACCATCACCACTGGTCATCCACAGAACCCTTTCATCTTCCCAAACAGAAATTCTGTCCTAATTAAACACTAATTCCCTATTCCCTGCAGCTACCATTCTACTTTCTGTTTCTATGAGTTGGACTACCGTAGGTACCTCATGTAAATGGAATCATATGATATTTGTCCTGTGTCAGGCTTGTTTCACTTAGCATCACGTTCTCAATGCTGTAGGATGTGTGAGAGTTTCCTTCACTTTAAAGGCTGAATGATATTCCATTGTATGGGAACACCATATTTTGTTTGTTTTGTGGACTTTTGGGTTGCTCTCACCTATTGGCTTTGGTGAATAATGCCACCATAAACACGGGGGTCCAGGTATCTCTTCCAAGTCCCTGCTTTCAATTCTTTTGGGAAGTGGACTTGCTGGACCCTCCAGTAATTCTAGTTTTTTTTTTTTTTTTGAAGATTTTATTTACTTATTTATGAGAGACAACACAGAGGCAGAAACATAGCCAGAGGGAGAAGCAGGCTCCCCTTGGGGAGCCCGATGTGGAACTCGATCCCAGGACCCTGGCATCACGACCTGAGCTGAAGGCAGATGCTCAACCACAGAGCACCCAGGTGCCCCGATAGTTCTATTTTTAATTTTGGGGGAGCTTCATTCTTTTTAATACCTACTTACTATTCCTTCATATGAAAAATATTCCTTGACTATGATCCAACTTCATATCTACTGGTCAACATTTAGGCAATCTCGATTTTTTTTTCTATTTTAACCAATGCCACAATAATCATCTTTAAAATGCGCCCAGCTTTGGGCAAATACACGTGGATTTCTGTGGGGAGATTCCTAAAAAGGCAAGGTGGGGTCAAAGCCACGCATGTTAGAAAGTTTGACAGTCACTGCCATATTACTTTCCAAGAAGTTTTCACCAACCTACGGTCTTAGCATCAATGTATTTGAGCTTGTCTATCTACATCCTGGCCAACCCTCAATGCTTTCAATCTCTTAAATGGTGGTCAGTGTGACAGTTGTAGATTTGATTAGCATTTCCTTATAACCAGTGAAGCAGAACATCTTTTCCGATGTTTACTGACTCGTGGCACATCTTCCAGTGGGACTTGTCTTTTTCTATCCTTTACCAATCAGGGTTTCCAGTCCCACTTTATTTGATTTGCCAGTTGTTTTGCTACTGTTGCCAGCTATAGAATTTTAGGTTTGAAATGATTTCTGTTGGAATTCTGTAGACAATGTTCCACGGCCTCTTAGAACCTACGGTTGCTGTTGAAAAGCCTGACGCCATGCTGATTCCTGATCCTTAGTATGTGACCTATTTTTCCTATCTGAAAGTGATTTAAGGGTTTTTTCTTTCCTCCCTGCTTCTCTGAAATCTCATGACTTGCCTTCCGTGGGTGTCCTTGCATTCATCATATGAGACTTCTTCTAATCAAGAGACTTGTATCTTAGTCCTGGGAAATATTCTTGTGTGGTTTCTCTTAAGTCATTTCTTCTCTTTGGTCCTTTCGGTTTTGAACTCTTTCAGTTAGATGTTAGACCTCCCGGACTGCCGAGTCTCTTTCTCCTGTCTTTCTTGCTTTCCTTCTCTTCTGCTCTCATTTCATTTCTCTTCATTGGATTTCAAATTTCCACCCTGGTAGTTTCCATTTCCCAGAGCATTCCTGTGTTCTCTGATTGTCCAGTTTTCATGGCATCCTTCAAAGGCTGTCAAGCAAGGAGGGTCAAGGGTGGATAAAGTGGCCTGAGCTCACTGTACCTTCCCCCTCTCCCCTGAGAACTGCCTCTGAGGTTCTGCATGGCTCCTCCAGTCTGGACTCTGGTGCTGTTGGTGGGCGCTGCCTGGGGCCAGGGCCACATGCCTACCCCTGTCAGGTAAGCTGGGCTCTGGGGATGATCAGGGGTGGCTCTGAGGGAGAGTGAGGGGCAAACCAAAGAGGGGTGCAAGTAGGGTAATGATGAAGGGCACAGCCCTATGGAGGAAGAGGGTGATGAACAGGAATGGTGGGGGGAGCCCTTCAGCCCAAGATCCTGGAACTTAGGGGTGTGAGAAGCTCAGTGGGAACAGGACAGAGCCCAGATGGGAGACAGAGGGGGGAGGCAAGGAGCTAAGGAGACAGAGAGGAGAGGTGGGGTCCTCAGAAAATGGGCTGAACCCAGGACAAATTCAGCAGATAAGAGACTTCAAGGTAGAGGCAGCAAAAAATGAAGGATGGCTTGGTGTTCCTATAGGGGGAGAAAGGGCCATCCCTCTGTTATTTATTTATTTTTTTTAGGATTGCATTTATTTGAGAGAAAGCAAGCATGAGCAGGGGGAGAGACAGAGGGAGAGGGAGAAGCAGACTCCGCAGAGCAGCAAGCCCGATGCAGTCTGGAATCGTGACCTTAGCCACCCAGGCGCCCCCCTCTGTTACTCATCTCTGTGTTCAGCAGCCTGTAGTTGGGGCAGTAACTCCCTGCCACCCACCCGGCAGCATGGGACCCACATAGTCCCCATTCTCAGCCCAAAGGAAGGAGCTTCCCCAGGTGCCAACACTTAAGTACTCCTCCAGAATCTCCATACATAGGAACAGGTTCCTTCTAGAGCTCAGCTCTACCACGTACGCCACCTCAGACACAGATGAACCCAGGGGACCAGAGGCCATGTGAGGAGCTTGGAAGGGAGATGTTTTGTCCTTTTTTTTTTAAAGAGTTTATTTATTTATTCATAGACACACAGAGAGAGGCATAGACACAGGCAGAGGGAGAGGGAGAAGCAGGCTCCATGTAGGGAGCCCGATGCAGGACTCGATCTCAAGTCTCCAGGATCACACCCCAGGCTGCAGGCGGCGCCAAACCGCTGTGCCACCAGTGCTGCCCTGTTTTTCCTTTTTTTAAGGAGATAGATGAGAATTTAATGTGAGGAGGCTGGGTGACATTTTGAAAACCTTAAAGAAGGGGTGCTGGGTGGTTTAGTTGGTTAAGTGTCTGCCTTCAGCTCAGGTCATGATCGTGGGGAGGGGGTCCTGGGATCAAGCCCCTCATTGGGCTCCCTGCTCTGCAAGAAGTCTGCTTCTCCCTCTTCCTCTCCTGCTCCCTCTACTTGAGCTCTCTCTCTCTCTTTCTCAAATAAGTAAAATTTTAAAATCTTAATAAAAAAAGAAAGAAAATCTTAAAGAAGAGAAGTAAATATACATCCACTGCCTGCAATCTGGTACAATATGGCTAACATGAAAGGAAATGTCTTCTACCTGTGACTACTCAGAAAGCTCACAATCATCAAGGCTTATGATTCTTGATAAATATTCCTCTATTTTTCCCCTCTTTTTTTTCTCCCAATTAACGCCAAGTAAAGAGAAGCCTCCGGACTGGAAGCCAGGTGACCGCAGCTCTACGGATAACTGTGAGTTGGAAACCAGCACCATTCAGATTCCTCTCCTTCCCAGTGTGGCCACCTCCAGGGCAGGCCTTAGATGACAGATGCTGGAGGGAAAACATGCAGGAGTAGGAGTCCAAGCCCTACCTGGAAGAGTCTCATTCAAATTAACAATCTCAAATTGTCTGCACCGGAACGAATCCTGTCTGCCCGGCTGATTCCAGCCCCTGGGACCACACTTTGCGACCTCAGTCCTAGAAGTCATTCTGCCCTGTCCTCCGCCCTGAAATTCTCCTAAGGGATTCTTTTTTTTTTTTTTTAAGATTTTATTTATTTATTCATGAGAGACACACACACACACAGAGAGAGAGAGAGAGGCAGAGACACAGGCAGAGGGAGAAGCAGCATGCAGGGAGCCCCACGCGGAACTCGATCCTGGGTCTTTAGGATCAGGCGCTGGGCCGAAGGCAGCACTAAACTGCTGAGCCACCAGGGCTGCCCGCTTTTTTTTCTTTTTTCTTTTTAAGATTTTATTTATTTGTTCATGAGAGAACAGAAACAGCAGAGAGAAACTGAGACACAGGCAGAGGGAGAAGCAGGATCCCTGTGGAGAGCCTGATGTGAGACTCCATCCCAGGACCCTGGGATCATGCCCTGAGCCAAAGACAGAGCCTCAATCACTGAGCCACCCAGGTGACCCCTCCTAAGAGATTCTTATTTCTTGGATTCTCTTGTCTAAAGTTCTGCTCTGGACTCTAAAGCTCCTTGTGGTTGCCTTCCCTGAGGTTAGCCACCCCCCAAACCCCGCTTTGGCCATCTCCCCTGTCCTGGCCTCAAAGTGGCACTTTCTTCCCAGCTATTCTCACCCAGTGTGACTTTGAGGATGACGCCAAACCCCTCTGTGACTGGACCCAAGAGTCCACAGATGACGGGGACTGGATTCGAACCAGTGGGCCCTCCCCCACTGGCAGCACCGGTCCCCCCGGGGGGTACCCCAATGGAGGTGAGGAAGCCTAAGGTTGAGGGAGACAGCTGGGCAGGTAATGAGCACAGGGTGAAGGGAGGCAGCTGGAAGTGGATGCCGGGACCCTGGAAAGGAGGTGGGAGGGCAGCCCTCAGGGGTGGCAGGACCTCCTCACCCTCCTCGGCTCTCCCTCTCCCAGAGGGCCACTACCTCCACATGGACTCGAACACCTTCCACCGTGGCGGGGTGGCCCGCCTACACAGCCCCCCACTATGGGTGCAAGGTCCCCTCTGTGTGTACTTCGCCTACCACATGTTTGGGTTGTCGTGGGGAGCCCAGCTCAAACTGCTGCTGCTCAGGGACACCAAGAAAAAGCACCCCAGCCTGCTCTGGAAACACATTAACACCCAGAGGCCCTCCTGGATGCCCACCGCTGTCACCGTGCCTATGGGACTTGCCCTGCCCAGCCGGGTGAGAGTGAGGGCAGAGCCTTGGACCCCCATAGGAATCCAGGTGGGGGGGGGTAGAGGGGCGGGCAGGAGGACCAGAGCACAGAGAGGGTGCAGGGCTGGGCCATCTGAATTCAAGAAAGACACTGGGAGCCTGAGGCAAAGGAGCTTACATACGGGGTGGTCCCCTTCTTTCTCCCACAGTTGACGTTTGAAGGAATGAGGGGCAGCACGGCATACCTGGACATCTCTCTGGATGCCATCTCTATCCATCGGGGTTCCTGCAATCGGGGTAAGGCCCTGTCCCTCCTCCTCTTCTTTCTCTCTGCCTCTACCATTTGCCCAGGGTGGCAAAAGTAGCTCAGCAACCATGACGCTGCTTTCTCCCAGAGTTGAGGCTACTTGCTTCCCTCTACCTCCACATCTAATACTTTGAATCCTGAAAGCAGCCACACCTAAAGAGAGGGTTTTTTCTCTCTCTTTTTAAAAGATTTTATTTATTTATTTGAGAGAGAGAGAGAGAGGAGAGAAAAGGAACAGGGAGAGAGGGAAAAGCAGACTCCTCTCAGAGTAGGGAGTCCGATGTAGAGTTTCATCCTGGGATTCCAGAATCATGACCTGAGCCGAAGGCAGACACTTCCCTGACTGAGCCACCCAGGTGCCCCATAGAGGTTCTTTTTTTTTTTTTTTTAAGATTTTATTTATTTATTCATGAGAGGCAGAGACAGAGACAGAGAGACAGAGACACAGGGATCCCTGGGTGGCGCAGCGGTTTAGCGCCTGCCTTTGGCCCAGGGCGCGATCCTGGAGACCCAGGATCGAATCCCACGTTGGGGTCCCGGTGCATGGAGCCTGCTTCTCCCTCTGCCTGTGTCTCTGCCTCTCTCTCTCTGTGACTATCATAAATAAATAAAAATTTAAAAAAATTAAAAAAAAAAAGAGAGAGACAGAGACACAGGCAGAGGGAGAAGCAGGCTCCATGCAGGGAGCCCGACCTGGAGCTCAATCCCGGGTCTCCAGGATCACACCCTGGGCTGAAGGCGGCGCTAAACCGCTGAGCCACCTGGACTGCCCTAGAGGTTCTTTTTAAAACAGAGTTGTGGTAATACCTTTTCTAGATGAAAAACCTTTCCAGTTTGCCCTGGGCTGTCCCTCTTTTTGCACTGAAAAGTCCTGCATCTCAGGAAACCCTCAGTTCCTGGCCAAAACTGGATGTCTGGTCACCCTGGTTGTTACTCCAGATTCACATAGGATTATGCTAGCTGCTCTCCCCATATGATCTAATTTACAATGGTGGGTACTGTTCCCAATTATAGATGAGGAAATTAATGGGCAGCTTAAGGAATCTTCCCAGGAATAAGCCACTAAGGGATGAGGCTGTATCTGGCTCAAAAGCCCACCATGGCTCAGAGTAGGACATAGACTGGGACTCAGAATTCTGACCCCAAGCTGAGGCATACTCTTTGGAGCTGCATCCTCCTAGAAAAATCTAAATCCTCTCTTCTGCCTTCTTTTTCCCCTCAGTCTGCATGATGCAAACGTGTAGCTTCGACATTCCAAATGATCTCTGTGGCTGGAGCTGGATCCCAACAGCCTCTGGTGCTAAGTGGGTCCAGAAGAAAGGATCGTCCAAGGTGCCAAACGTGGGGCCTGAGGATGATTTCTCTAGCCCTGGTAGTGAGTAATGGCCACATTTCTGCCTTTTGACTTTCTGGGCTTCTAGTGACCTCTGCAGGAGTTTACGATGTTTGCCTGACAACCATGCAATTCCTGCCCTGGGATGGCCTCGGCTGAACCCCAGCAACCTCAAACCTCTGTCAGCTCAAGTTACTCAGCAGAAAGCACATTCAGCTTCCGCCACTGCCATCCCATAAACTCTACCTGGCAGACCCAACACAGTCTGCTCCTCATCTTTCTCTGGAACCATTTATCCATTCATCCATTCATGTATTCATTCGTTCATTTATTTATTCATTCATTCATTCGTTTTTTGAGCTCCTATGATATGCCTGGTGTTGCCCCAGGCCCTTGAGGTAGATTGGCTAACAAAATAAACTAGGAATGGCAAGACATGAGAGGAAGATGGTTCCTGAAACAGTAAAGAAATAAATTATATAGTGATAAAGTGAGAAGTACGATTGGAAAAACAAAAGTCAAACAAAATAAGGGGATTGGAATGCAGGGATAAGGGGGTTGTGAGTTTTAAATGAAGTGGTCAGGGTAGGTCTCATTCAGGTCATATTTGAACATAAACTTGTAGGAGGTGAGGAAGTGATGAAGTGTACATACAGAGGGGAAGAAAGAACATTCTAAGCAGAGGTCCATGCAAAGGTCCTGAGGTGGCAGTGGGCTTGGGGGTGAAGGAGGTGCCAGATAGGGCAAGGGGCCACATGACTAGGATGGAGACCAGGAGCTCAAACCAGTCCCAGGAGGGATCACATGGAGCCAGACCAGACCAGATCACGTGGAACCTTAAAGGTCATCGTTGAGGGAGTGGCTTTTATTCTCTGTGGATGCAGTTGGGGAGCTTCTGCAGGACTTGCAGCAGAGGAGTGACTTAAAATGTTTAAAAGCATCACCTGGTCTAGGTTTTTTGCGTTGAGAATCCACTGAAGAGAACAGCCAATCTTACAGGCAAAGAGGCCATTTGGGGCGCTTCCCGGGCGATACTCTTCCTCTCCCACTGCATCCATGTCCATCTATTCCCCGCTTTCCTCCCACTACCTCACTGTGCTCTTGGCTGGGCTTTTCTTTCTTTCATTTTAAAGTAAGGCTCCACGCCCAGCATAGAGATCAAGACCTGAACTGAGATCAAAAGCAGGATGCTTAACCAAAGGCCTCAGTAAATGTTGGTGGTTGTTGTTTTAATTTTTTTTCTTTTTCCCTCTTGGCTCCTTCTATTTTTTCCATTTTCTCTTTGTTTCTCTCCACTTCTTTCCACCAACCAGCTTATCCCAGCAATGTCCTCCTTGCATTTTCTTTCACCATTTACCATTTCCTTCCTTCCCCTTCCTCCTCCTTCCCTGTTGTTGCCTCTCTTTTCTCCCCATTCCCCTCACCCCAGCAACTCCTCTTTTCTGCCCTCCCAAGCCCAGGCAGGACCATGTGGGAGTCAGGACCCAGCACCCTGCCTGCACAGCCTTATTCCCCTCCCCTGCTACCATTTGCATCCCGGAGTGAGGTCCAGGCTGATTGGCTGTCTGAGCTGCTGGGGTTGGTGGGGTCAGGAGATGCCTACTTCTCTGTGTCCGGACCATTCTTTTCTCACCAGTCTGTGTGAATCAACTATGTCCAGTGGGTCAAGAAAGGAAGAGGATATGACTCTGGGTGACCTAAAGCATTGGAACCCAAGGGACAAGACTTTGGTTGCTGCTTCTGAGAGGATGCTGCATTTCATATGGCAGTGTCTGCGTCCTTATCAGTCTTGCCAAGCAGAAAATTGGCACAGAAATTGGAAGGCTCCAAGGCCTCGGCCAGATGTAGGCCCACCTCAGTGCTGGCTGATCCTAGGCAGCTGTTGGGGCTGTCTAGGCCCAGGACCCCTGCCATCACAGGGCCCCACCCCTGTGCTGGACTCCTTCAGTTTCAGCCACCCCACCTTACTGGCCTTTTACTTCATAGGTGGCTTCTACATGCTCCTGGACCCCAAGAATGCAAAACCAAGGCAGAAATCTGTCCTCCTGAGCCCCCTGAGACATTCCTCTGGCTGTATGAGCCTGTCCTTCCACTACATCCTCCGTGGCCAGTCACCTGGTGCAGCCCTCACCATCTACGCTGCCATCTTGGGTGAGACTGGCAGTTGCTGGCTTTACATTGACCTGAGGCTCATCTCCCAGGGTTGGGTTGACAGGAAAATATGGGACATTCCTCAGGGTCTAGGGAAATCTAGGATATACACAAGATTATTCCATGGAGTGGCATCAGGGAGCCAGGTCAGTGGCTTCTGGGAAAACAGATACAAGTGCCAGGAGAGTGAGAGAGAAGGATGTGCTTGCATTTGGGAGAAGAGAATACACTTCCAAATATTCCCTTTACTATTCATCTTCCAAGTACAGGTTTGAAGTCACTTTTCAGTCCCCTAAATGAGTCAATTCTCTCTGGGAATCCTTCCATTGCAGGCAGCATCCGGAAACACACTCTCTTCTCAGGACAACCTGGACCCAACTGGCAGCCTGTTTCCGTCAATTACACAGGCCAGGGACAAATTCAGGTACAGAGGAGCAGGAGGTCAGGACTCCTTGCACATGGTAGGCACCTCTGATACTGAAATGGATTGAGGGTCTGGACACTGGGAGCAGGGTGCCTGCGTTCCTGAATAGAGTTAAAATTAGATGGCCGGGGGCGGGGATTGGGTCATTTGGATTGGTTTTTCACTTCCAGCCCCCTTACTCTCTCTCTCTCTCCAGTTCACCGTGGTGGGTGTGTTTGGAGAGACCCCAGAGCCAGCTGTGGCAGTGGATGCAATCAGCATTGCTCCCTGTGGGGGTGAGAGCAAGGCCCTGGGAGGACCAGATTGCTGGTCCGGGGGTAGGACCGGGGAGCAATAGAGAGCATGGCCCAAATTGCTCACATCTCTTGTTTTGATCTCCTAGAGGGCTTTCCTCAGTGTGACTTTGAAGATGATGCCCATCCCTTCTGTGACTGGGCCCAGGTATCAGGGGATGGCGGACACTGGACCCGAGGAAATAAAAATATACACATCCAGGGTGCAGGCAATTTCGGAGGTGAGGAGGTTGAGGATCCCTCAAGCCGATGAATTACTGAATCTTCTCCCAGCAAGGGGGTTGGCTGGTGTGATTGATTGAACAAGACATTGTAGGTGGTGAAGATCAGCCAGCAGGTGTTTGCTGGGAAGCTGTCGTAGGGCCCGGGCCACGGAGATGACAGAAGTAAAGTAAATTGAAGATTCTCATGGCTGTGTGGTCACTGAAACCCCCAGAAAATGCAGGCATCTCACTTCACCGAGCCCAGGGCTTCAAAATCCACAATCTCATTTTCGGTCAAGACGTTTCCTGGTGTAGCCAGCAAAGGAGTCTGGGCTGCTGGTTTGTTTCCCTTTCTTTCTGATCCTGCCTTCTTCAGTTAGAAGTCCAAAACAAGCAGGGAGGGGGAAAAAAAGAACATGCTGTAAAGTGGGGAGTTTGGGTGTTTCTATCCAACTCTCTTTGGAAAGCACAGTGTTGAGAGAGAAAACAACACTGGACTGTCCTGTGGAGGTTTGTCATCTTGCCCTTCTTTTGATTCCTGTCTTTTTTTCCCCTGAAGGTCCCTATATTTACGTGGAGACTAACAAGTTCTCTGTGGCAGGCCAGTCTTTCAGACTGGTGAGTCGGCCCTTCTGTGCCCCGGGCGCGATCTGTGTGGAGTTTGCCTACCACATGTATGGCCTTGGAGAGGGCACTAAGCTCAGTCTCCTGCTGGAGAGTCCTGCGGGCAGTGCCCCATCTACTCTCTGGCACCGCATTGGGTCTCAGAGTCCCGACTGGCTGAACACTTCTGTCACCATCCCGTTGGGGCATCAACAACCCATGCAGGTGAGAGGCAGAGAGAGTGGCCCTGTCAGTGTCTGTGTGGAACATGGTGAGGGGGAGCTAATGCCTGGGTTCCATGAGGGCTGAGAAGGTGGGCCTCTGGAAAGGGAGCCAAGCAGAGAGGGTATCTGACTCCTCAGAATCAGTGGGGGCAGAGTGGAATTTTGGGGCCAGAACAAGCTGACCTTCTGTCAGAGAACAGACTGTCCAGAAGAGTCCCTGCGCTGCCAGGGATTCACTTTCATTTTCATCTTCTCTGTCCCTCATTACCTTCAGCTGATACTTGAGGCCATCCGGGGTACCAACACTGCCTTTGTTGTTGCTGTGGGGTTTATCTTGATCAATCATGGGACTTGTCGAGGTAAGACAAAACCCAAGGCCCCAGAAAGAGGGCCAGACTCTGAGATGACCATCTCTTAGACTGTTGAAAATCAAGTTCTCTCTCATGCTTGAGCTTTGACACAGCTTTGTGTTCCATGTTCTGCCCACCTCTGTCTTCCTGGTCTTACCAGGATGCTTGCTTAAGTGAATGTGACTCTGATGCCATGAATTTCTGTGGTTGGATCCACAACCCCTTACCTAGTAGATGGCAATCCTCAAGGGAGGACCGACATCCTGTTCGTGTTATGTATCCTGTATCTGGCACAATGCCTGGCATATATTAGGAGCAGTGTTTGTTGAGTATTTGTTAAGTGAGTGAAGATTGTGGTTGGAAGTAGGAGAGGTGTGAATAAGTTACCCATGAGCCACTCTTAATTCGAAGTGAGTGAAGAGGGTGATGGTATGATTTTGATTAAACTCCAGGGTTTTGTTTTTCTTTGCAGGAACAGTGCCAACAGTGTTTCCTTCCAAATCTCCAGTTTCCACCCTTGGCCCTTCTGAAATCCCTGTCTCCACAGGAAAACCTGTGACTACCATGGAAAAACCTATGGCCCCCACAGGAAAACACACTGTCCCCAGTGAAATAGCCATTGTCCCCACAGAAAAACCCAAGGGCCCCACAGAAAAACCCATGGTCCCCCCAGAAAAACCTATGGCCCCCACAGAAAAGCACACTGTCCCCAGTGAAATAGCCATTGTCCCCACAGAAAAACCCATGGTCCCCACAGAAAAAACCATGATCCCCACAGAAAAAACCATGGCCCCCTCCGGAAAAACTATGGCGCCCACAGAAAAACACACTGTCCCCAGTGAAATAGCCTCTGTTCCCACAGAAAAACCCATGCCCCCCACAGAAAAACACACTTTCCGCAGTGAAATAGCTGCTGTTCCCGCAAAACAACCCATGACTCCCACAAAAAAACATGCTGTCCCCAGTGAAATAGCTGCTGCTCCCACAAAAAAACCCATGGCCCCCACAGAAAAACACACTGTCCCTAGTGAAGTAGCTGCTATTCCCACAGAAAAAACCATGGCCCCCACAGAAAAACACACCTTCCCAAGTGAAATAGCCACTGTCCCCACAAAAAAGCCTATGGTCCCCTCAGAAATGTTCACTGTCTCCTCAGAAAGACCCACCTTTCCCTCAGGAAAATCTACTGCCCTAACAGAAAAACTCACCATCTCCACAGAAAAACCTACCATGCCCACAGGAAAGCCCATTATTCCCACTGAAAAACCCAATGTCCCCACTGAAGAGACCATTATCCCTTCTGAGGAGACCCCTGTGCCCCCTGAAGAATCCACTATGCCCCCTGAAAAGTCCACTGTCCCGACTGAAGAGTCTGTTGTCCCTATTGAAGAGTCTACAATACCCTTTGAAGAGCCCACTATCTCCACAGAAGAGTCCACTGTCTCCACTGAAGAGTCCACAGGCCGCCCTGAAAAGCCCAATATCCCCACTGAAGAGTCAGCTGTCCCCTTTGGAGAGTCCTCTATTTCCACAGAAAAGCCTACTGTCCATACCAAAAGGACCATCATCTCCACAGAAAAACCCACTATCCCCACAGAAAAGCCCACTGTCCGCCCCGAAAAGCCCATGGTCCTCACTGAAAGATCTACTGTTACCACAGAAAGACCTATAGTCCCCACAGAAAAACCCACCATCCCTACTGAAAAGACCACCATTCCCACAGCAAAACCCACCATTCCCGCTGAAAGGTTCACAATCCCTACAGAAAAACTCACTGTGCCCACAACAAAACCGACCAGCTCCACTGAAAGTTCCACTGTCCCCACAAAAAAACCAACCATTCCTGCGGAAAAACCCACCATCCCTACTGAAAAAACTATGGTTTCCACTGAAAGGCCCACCATCCCTACAGAAAAACCCACCATCCTCACTGAAAAGACCACCATCCCTACAGAAAAAATCACTGTCCCTACAGAAAAAACCACCATCCCCACAGAAAATCCCACCATCCCCACTGAAAAGACCACCATTCCCACAGAAAGCCTCACCATCCTCACAGAAAAACCCACTATCTCCACAGCAAAACCCACCATTCCCGCTGAAAGGTTCACAATCCCTACAGATAAACTCACTGTCCCCACAACAAAACCCACCATCTCCACTGAAAGTTCCACTGTCCCCACAGAAAACCCAACTATCCCTGCAGAAAAACCCACCATCACCACTGAAAAAACAATGGTTTCCATGGAAAGGCCCACCATCCCTACGGAAAAACCCATCATCCCCACTGAAAAGACCACCATGCCCACAGAAAAACCCATTGTCCCTACAGAAAAACCCACCATCCCCACAGAAAAACCCACTGTCCCCACTGAAAAACCCACCATCCCCACAGAAAAACCCACTGTCCCCACTGAAAAACCCACCATCCCCACTGAAAAACTCACTGTCCCCATTGAAAAACCCACCGTCCCCACTGAAAAACTCACTGTCCCCATTGAAAAACCCACCGTCCCCACTGAAAAGACCACGGTCCTCATGGAAAAGACTACTGTCCCCACAGAAAAACCCACCATCCCCACTGAAAAGACTACCATTCCCACTGAAAAGAGCATCCCCACAAAAAAATCCACTGTCCCTACTGAAAAGCCCGTCATCCTCACAGAACAGCCCACTGTCCCCACTGAAAAGCCCAGCATCCCCACTGAAAAGATCACCATTCCCACAGAAAAACCCACCATCCCCACTGAAAAGACCACCATCCCCACAGAAAGACCCATCATCCCCACTGAAAAGACCTCCGTCCCCACAAAGAGACCCACCATCCCCACTGAAAAGACCTCCGTCCCCACAGAAAGACCCACCATCCCCACTGAAAAGACCACCATCCCCCTTGAAAAGACCACCATGCCCACAGAAAAATCTACTGTCCCCACTGAAAGGCACACAGCTCCTACAACACCCCAGCTGAGTCCAACACTTGTACCAGTTGGGCCAGCAGTCTTGGTGATGCCTTCTACTACTGCTCCAAGTACCTCTATGACCACTACAACCCCTAGACCTACTCCAGGTATGTGATGGAGCCCTGGACAAATGGGAGAAAGTAAGAGACTCTGAGTAGGAAAGAGAATAAGATAAATGTATGCTTCTAGCAGAAAACTACAGTCCTAGAGGAGAAGTGAATGGGACATGGCAACTTTAGAAAAAATGAGGACCACCCTGACCAAGAGGGGAACAGGGCATAGGTTGTTGGGATGCAGGTTCTTGGGATCCAAGCCCTAGGCTTACAACGTCCTTTTTTAAAACAGAGATATAATTCGTATACCATAAAATCCGTCCTTCTAAAGTGTACAATTCAGTGGTTTTTAATGCATTCATAAGATTGTGCAAACATTAGTTTCTACTTCCTGAACATTTTTATCACCCCAAAGGAACCCCCTACCCATTAGCAGTCACTGAACATGCTCCTCAACCCCCACCATGCCCTGTCCCCGGGCAACCAGTAATCTACTTTCTATGTCTGTGAATTTGCTGGTTCTGGACATTGCGCACACGTAGAATGATGTCATGTGTGGTCTTTTGTGACTGACTCCTTTCACCCAGTATCATGTTTTAAAGGTTCATTCATGTTGTAGAACTTCAAAAATTCATCCATAAGTCAGATCTTCATTCCTTTTTATGGCTGAATCCTATGGATTTACTTCTTTTTCTTATTTTTATTTTTATTTATTTATGATAGTCACAGAGAGAGAAAGAGAGAGAGGCAGAGACACAAGCAGGCTCCATGCACCTGGAGCCCGATGTAGGATTCAATCCCCGGTCTCCAGGATCGCGCCCTGGGCCAAAGGCAGGCGCCAAACAGCTGCGCCACCTAGGGATCCCCTATGGATTTACTTCTTAGAGAACTTGAGTGTGGGGGTAGAGACAGAAAATCTCCCTGAACAAAGCAGTCGAGTGAAGGCTTGACGCAGGCTGTTTCCCTCTTAGCGAAGTGCCCCCCAAATGCCCACTACGATCCCTGTGCCTGCCCAGCATCCTGCGAGAGACCTAAGCCCAGCTGTGGGCCCCTTTGCAAACCCGGCTGTGTCTGCAATTTTGGCTTTTTGTTTCGTGAATCCAACTGCATCAGAGCCTCTTCCTGTAACTGCTTCTACAACAACAAATCCTATAAGGTAAGACCGCCGGGATGCCAAAGCCCCTAAGGGAGATTGCGAGTGGGTTCTGACCCCACCTGCTCCCCAAGGGAGATGAATTCCAATCCATAGGACAGTCCCAAGGGGCCAGCTCACAAGCAGCAGTTACACAATGGCAGAGTGATTCTTTGCAAATGTGGCTTTTTGTTGTCATCTCTGTTCATGTGATAAATATTTGCTAAGTATCCACTTTGGCCCAGCTAGGCTAGGCTGTACAGAAGATGCCATCATCCCGTAGCCCTGTGCATTAGACAGCTGGGTGGTCCAAGGCCTTCATCTCTACCTTGAGGAAATCTGGGGGTCCCTGCATATACAGAGAGCCTTGGATGCTGGGTAGAGCTTCAGGCGTATTTAGGGCAGAACACAGCATTCCAGAATCTTCTTCCAAAGAAATTTGCAAATCCTATCAAAACAGAGGAGTTACTGTTCTTGTCTCCCCTAATTGGTGGCCCTCCTGGGAAGAATCAATGTAAGCAGAGGCTCTGAAGGGACACAGGATCTGGACCTGCGCTGTCCAAAAAGAATAGCATGCAAGCCACACACATTATTTTAAATTTCTTAATAGCCACATTTTTTTAAAGTAAAAGGAAACAGGTTAAATTAATTCCAATGATCTACTCAATCTCAAATATTCTCATTTTTCCATGTAATGAATAGTTATTAATGAGATTGCTTACATCCTTTTTCTCCCCCCATATTAATTCTTTGAAATTCATTGTGTATTTAGCATTGATGGCATATCTCAATTCAGACCAGCCACATTTCAAGAGCTCCATGGCCAGTGTCTGGTGGCCACTATATGGTCGGAGCCACCCTAGAGTCAAGCAGATGGGAGATTTATATCTGAGCTCCAGCATTCATTTGCTGGATGATCTTGGGCCAGGTTCTTTCCCTCTTCAGATCTGTTTCTGGATCGACAGAATGTGCACATAATAATTTCTATCTACTTCATAAGGTTGTTGTGCAGATGAGATTAGATCCAAGTACTTAAGAAATGTTGTTATTATTAGCAAATTATGGTAAATATCATATGTAACCTATTAAAAGTGCATTAAACTATTTGCTAGTGTCCAGTGGCTCCTCTCAGCTCCAAATGTTCTTCCCATTGGTCATCTGAGTTCCTATTTGTCTCTTTGGGGGACCGCTTTCTCCCCCAACTCCCTTTGACCAGGCTCCTGGGTGTCCCTGTGTCAGCATTAGGATTAGCTTCAGCCTCAGAAAGATCTATCACAACCATCAGCATTAGGCATCTATTGCCTGTCCTAGGAGACATGTATGGATTTCTTATGTATTCATTTATGCATCTGATGAATGTTTTTTGAGTACTTTCAACCTTCCTGGAATTGGGGCCACCATGAATAGGACGTGGTCCATGCTCTCTTAATGCTCAGATCCTGGAGGACACTTTGGGTCTTGGGGCACTCTGATACAGCAAATGTTTCTTGAGAGCTCCTGCCAAGCACTGTTATGTGTTAAGGCTGCAGTAGTGAATAAAGAGATATGGTCCCTCACATAGTGCTTGCAAATCCAAGAATCACAGAAATTAACATGAAAGTGCAATTGTGGTAATTCCTGGGAAGGAAGGGTACCTGGATCTGTGAGGATGACCTAGTCAGGGGCGTCTGAGAAGTCTTCCGGAGAAGGTAGTGACCCTTGAGCTGAACTCTGCTGACTGCATGAGAATGACTTGGATAGGAGCAGAAAAGCATTCCAGGATGAGAGTGCAGCATGTGCAAGTGTCCTGTGGTAGACAGGAATATCTAGTAGTGGGTGGGAAGAGGGAGAGTATGAGCAAGGTTAGGTCTGTAGGTGTGGTGGTGAAGGGGGAAGGGCCCCAAGGGCCATGGCATAGTGACTCTGGATCCCCTGCTCCTAGCCTGGGGCAAAGTGGTTCAGCTCTAATTGCACAGAACACTGCCACTGCAGGCCTGGCAGTCAGATAGAGTGCCACCTCGCTAGGTGTGGGACAAACACGGTGTGCCAGCTGAACAACGGCCAGTACGGATGCCAACCCTATGGTGAGCCCCTCCCCTTATGCTACCCCTGCCTTCCAGCCTGTCAGAGTGGGGTTGACCCCCATGGTCCCAATCCCTCCCTCAACCAGAGGAACTGGGGCATGCCACTGGGTGGGTGAAGTGGCCACAGGGCCAGTCCCACCCAGTGGAGCTGCGGCAGTGGCTTCACTTCATGTGCTCCCTCCCCTCGGCAGGCACTGCCACCTGCGCTGTCTATGGAGACCCGCATCAAGTTACCTTTGATGGGAGGCACTTCAGCTTCTTGGGAAAATGTACCTACATCTTGGCCCAAACCTGTGGCAACTCAACAGGTAGGGCCCTGGAGATGCCTGGCCCCTGGCCCAGGGTCTAAGATCAGAACAGCTGAGCATGGGAGCTCAGTGGGTGGCAGGAAAAGGCCAGGGGCAGATGGGAAGCACAAGACGGGAACAAGGGCTTCTGTAAAGTAAGGGTTGACAGGGCCACCCCAGGCCACCCCAGAAGTAGGACACTTGCAGGACCAGACTACACAGTTTTAGTGAGGGCCTGCCCGAGATAATGGCAATAGAGGGAGGAAAGAACTATTACAAATGCCTAGCCGGGGAGGAAGTCCCAGTCCCTTGAGGGGAGAGGAGTCTCAGCAGTCTCAGACTATCCTGGAAGAAGGCAGACAGTCACGCCCCACTCACCTGTGGGTCCCGTCCCCCCTCCAGAACTGCAGAGCCAGTGTCTCAGGGGCCCTTTATTCCTGCCATGCCAGGTGTGGGCACCACCCTCAGTGGATGCTCAGAAATGCTTATTGAATGAGCCCCTGGGTGCTCTTCACCCCTCTCCCCATCCAGAGCCATTCTTCAGGGTGGCGGCTAAGAATGAGGATCGAGGACAGAAAGGCATGTCCTACCTGAGCAAAGTCTACGTGACCCTGCCTGGGGTCACCATCACACTACTCAAGGGCAGGGAAACGCTGGTGAGTCTCCATTTCTCTGCAGTCCCGCCAGCGCCTCCAGGCCTGGCAGTGGCCTGTTCCCATGGGCTGCCATGTCCCAGCCAGCAGCTGCAGCCTCCGACCTTCTCGGGGACGGCTTCCACAGCATCCCATCTATTACCAAGGATTACTGTGGAGGGGTGTCGTGCCTTCCAGCGTGGATGCAGGAGTCTGCTGGGGGGTCCCCTTGACCCCCCTTCTCATCTGTGTCTCGATCTTCTCTGACCCACCTTCCAGGTTGGGGGTCGGCAAGTCACGCTCCCTGCCATACCTTCTAAAGGCATCTTCCTGGCTTCAAGTGGCCGATTTGTGGAGTTGCAGACGTTTGGTTTGCGGGTGAGATGGGATGGTGACCAGCAGCTGTATATGAATGTGCACAGGTGAGGGGTCCTTCTCCTCCCCTTCCCTTCCAGGTACTAACTCTCAAGCCCTGGGTAGGAAGCACTTAACTGACAGGCCTCCCTTTGGATGAGGAGACAGGAGGTCTTAGGGCAGTGTGATAATAGCAGGATATACACACAATGCTTTGGGAATGTGCTAGAAGGGTCTCGGGAGCTTTCTGAAGAGTGTTCAGTTGATGCCCATCAAGAAAGAATGGTTCCAGGGCTCCTGGGTGGCTCAGTGGTTGAGTGTCTGCCTTTGGCTCAGGTTGTGGTCCCACATAGGGCTCCTCACAGGGGACCTCTCCCTCTGCCTATGTCTCTGCTTCTCTCTGTGTGTCTCTAATGAATACATAAATAAAATAAAAAAAAAAAGTGTGGTTCCCCAGAGGAACAAGGAAAAGAATGTCTTTGTAGGTGGTGAGTGGCAGACAGCAAGGAACTAACAGGAATGTGGGAAGATGGGATGTGAGTGGAAGGGGATGAGGGGAGTAGTAAGGCTGGCTCTGGGGTGAGGGCTGGGAGGTCCTGGCACTTGGCACCGGCAACACCCCCCCGCCAGGTCTGCACCTGGTAATCCTCCGCCGCCTGCCACCCGAGCCCCAGGCCCTGTGCTTCTCTGCCACGGTCCCTCGGGCGACTGGAGCCCCTTCTCTCCATCAATGCCTCCTCCTTTTCTCCCCACGGCCCCACAGCACCTACTCTAGGAAACTCTGTGGCTTCTGTGGCAACTACGATGGGGACCGTAGCAACGACAACCAGAAGCCAGATGGCACACCAGCACTGGACGCAGAGGAGCTGGGCAACAGCTGGCGGATGGCGGAGGACGAGGACAAGGAGTGAGGACACCCCCAGCCCGCTTCTGCCCTCCTGCTCCTCTCCTTTCTGAGAACCATGCACCTGGCTGGCATCACCCTGCTTCTTCTTTCTCCTCTCCTGCATGCTCCCCACCTCTGTCCTTCTTTTCCCTGCTCCCCTTCTGGCCAAGTTCACAGACTTCGCACCACCACGCCCTGTCCCACCTCTGCCACTCCAGGGTGACACCAAGCAGCCTACCCCCTGGGGGCCCCGGGCCCAGGTTTTCCCTCTTCCTTTGGGACTTGGGGTTCAGATACTGTCCGCCAGGGGCTGCAGAGAGCAAGAGCCGCTGCAACCCCGCTGGGGTGGGGGCTGGGCCCCAATGGAGGCGAGCCTCGAGGGCATCTGGGGCGGGTCCCTTCTAGGTGTCCGAAGAACACGACAAATCCTTCGTCTTGCAAGTTGGGTTTTCTGAACAGTCTGTCGGGACTCCTGTACTGTGGACGGCTCACGGACACCCACGGAGCCTTTGAGTATGAGGGGGCTGGGTTAGGGCTGTGGGAGGGGGTCACTGGGTGTCTGGGGTCGGTCCTTCTGACCTGGCCTCCCTCCCCTCAGGGCCTGTCTGCCTCACCTCAAGATCTCTCGGTTCTTCAAGAACTGCATTCTTGACGTGTGCAAATCCAAGGGGCTGCAGTCGGGGCTGTGTCTCCACATGGCAGTCCTGACCGAGATCTGCCAGGAGGCTGGCTACCCAGTGAAGCCCTGGAGGGAACCCCAGTTCTGCCGTGAGTTGTGCAGAGCAGCCAGGCCTCTTCCTTGATGCACTGATGCGAGCATAGGGCTGGCATCTTGGGTGTTAGGACAGGGCGGCGGTGGGTGCTGGGTCAACCCCTCTGCTTCCACGTGTGCACAGGGAAAGCTACAGTCAGAAATATTCACCAGTGAGGCACCTGGTGGGGGTCAGTCGGTGAAGGGGCTGCCTTTGGCTCAGGTCATGATCCCGGGGTCCTGGGATTGAGCCCCAGGTGGTCAGGCTCCCTACTCATCGGGGGGTCTGCTTCTCCCTGTCCCCCTCCCTTTACTCATTCTTTCTCTCTCTCTCTTCTCTCTCTCCCTCAAATAAAAAAGAAAAACGGGGATCCCTGGGTGGCTCAGTGGTTTAGCTCGTGCCTTCAGCCCAGGGTGTGATCCTGGAGTCCCGGGATCGAGTCCTGCATCAGGCTCCCTGCATGGAGCCTGCTTCTCCCTCTGCCTATGTCTCTGCCTCTCTCTCTCTCTCTCTGTGTGTGTGTGTCTCTCATGAATAAATAAATAAAATCTTTAAAAAAAAAAAAAAAGAGAATCCACTGAGGAAAAATCACCGTCCCTTGCAAACTCGGAAAGCCCTCCCAGTCCTTGAGGCTATGCAGAGCAATGCACGTCTGTGTATGCAAGTGCCCAAATTGTTGTCCTCCGCATGCAGGACACACAGACTCCTGTCGTGAGTGGGTGCAACATGACTGCCTCGTGGTGCCCCCTACAGCCTCCTTCTGGAAGCTTGCTATAGGGGAAGGACATGCCCTTGATCAAGGCCCCATGGGTGCATTCCCCTGCTGTCACCCTGACTGCTTGTTTTGGGAGTGTCTATACAGCAGCTGAGACGCTTGGATCTGTCTGCATCCTGGGACCTGCCTCTTGGTAGCCTCCTGTAGGCCACTCTCCAGGGCCAGCGGGGAAGCTGAGCTCCTTGGTCCCATTTTTCCCAGTCACTCCCTGCTTCTCAGGATTGGTCAGAAGCCTCTAGCTGTGGGCCCTCTGAAAGCTGTCCTCTCAACAGACCTCCACTCATCCCCTTTTCCCTGTCCTGCCCTCTGCTCTTCTCACCTCTGTTTCCTCCCCCCACCAGCTCTGACCTGCCCACCCAACAGCAGGTACACTGTGTGTGCCAGGCCTTGCCCTGCCACCTGCCATTCCGGGTTCTTCGGCATGTCCTGCCAGAAACGGTGTGTGGAGGGCTGCGAGTGCAACCCGGGCTTCGTCCTCAACGGCCTCCAGTGTGTCCTCCCATCCCAGTGTGGGTGCCTCGAGCCCACAATGGGCTACCTCAAGGTGAGCCTCTGGGACTCCACCATGCCACCTCTGGTTCTGAAGTCTGGGCAAGCCTGGGTGCAGGATGGAAGGCCAGGAGCTGAGGCATGGAGGGCTGTGGGTAGTGGCTCTCCGACTCGGATCTGATTCCCTATTTCTTTCTTCAGCTCTAGTGCTTTTCCCACAGAATGGGATGGAGTCCTAGCAGCTTGTCTCCATGCTGCCAGCAGATCTGAGACCCCTGGCTTTTTCCTCTTCATGCACCTGAGTCATTTTCCCAGAGTTTCTGGTCCTCTGGGCTCAGGCACTTCTCTTCTCTGTGTTATCTGTGCAAACACAAACATCTTTCCAAACACTATGTCTTCCTGGGCCATGAATGACTTTGCTGAATGACTTTGGCCCCAGCCTGGGCCCCTGTCTGCACACTACCTCAGAGGCGGTACTTGGAGCCAGACTCTCATCTGTGGTGCTTTTCTCTTCCTTCTTTGCCTGTCCCTCACCCTGTCCCTGGGAATGGCACTGGTGTCCGTCACAGCCCTTGGTCTGGCTCCAGCCCGGCCCACTGAACACATCCGCGCCTTGCTCTCCTGTCAATGTTACCTTCTCTGCAGCCCCTTTGTCTCTGCACTGCCTCCCAGCCACCATGGCTCTTGGAATCCTTCATCTGCTCTGAGGCGCTATTCAAATGCCGCAGCCTCCTTGAAGCCTTCCTGATTAGTTAAGTCAAAAGGCATCCCTCTAAACTTCTGTAGCAAGTGCTTATTGTTCGTGTTAATGGTGGGAAAGCCTCCTTGCCACCCCCCACCCCTGCCATTGTCTTCTTTGGGTGCATATTGTATTGGAGTATGTGATGTTTTAGTTTACCTGTTTACTGCCCTAACCCCCCTGCCCCCCATTGTGAGCTGTTAGGGCAGGAACAGTGTCCATTTAGTTCATTCTGGAATCCCTAACACCTAGTGCAGGTAGATAAATATCTGTTGAAATAGGGAAGGAACAAACAAATGAATAAGTAAGTGAATGCCAGACTTTGGAAGGAAACCTGGAGCTTCAGGATGACCGGAATGGCTCCCCTGTGAGCAAGCTGGGAGTGGCTGTGGGTCAGCAGTCAGACTTGAGAATGACCTCTTAACCTTCCCTCCTTCTGTCTGGCAGGTAGGGGAGCAGTGGTTCAAGCCAGGCTGCAGAGAGCTCTGTGCCTGTGAGGGCAAGAATAGAATTCACTGCCGACACTGGAAGTGCCAGTCCCAGGAGGTCTGTGCTCAGTACAATGGCACCTATGGCTGTCATGCCCGAGGTAAGCACCCAGGTGGAAGGTGAGCCGGGGAATGGGGTGGGGGTGCCCATGTGGGCTAGAGCAAGGTCATGGTTCTGCCCCAAAGCAGGCACCCCAGAGAGCTGGGGCTTCACAGGAGGCTGGAAGCCTTTGGCCCAAGCCAAAGCAGCCTCTTCATGGACCCAGAGAGGTTGGGGCAGTCCCTGTCCTTCACCTTTCCAGGTCAGGCCAACCACATGGATGAGTCGTGGATCCCGTTCCAACATGGATTCACCAGGATGGCAGCTCAGGGTTGGGAGTGCTCTCTGAATTCCATATCCTCCACCCCAGAGTCTGCCACCTGCGCTGTCTCGGGGGACCCCCACTACTTGACGTTTGACGGAGCCCTGCACCACTTCATGGGCACCTGTGCCTATATCCTGACCCAGCCTTGCCAGCCTACACCTCTAGAGAACTTCACGGTGAGCACCACCAGTGAGTTTCGCAGTGGAAACTTGGAGGCCTCCTACGTCAGAGCTGTCAATGTGCAGGTCTTCAACCTGAAAATCTCACTGATCAAAGGTTACAAGGTCATGGTACGTGCCTCTGCCCACCTCCCCGGGGCCCCTACCCCCAGCCTGGTCAGAGTCTGTCTCTCTCCCTCCTTCTGGGGCTCCTAGAGACTCTGGGAATAGCCCACAGCAGACCCAGTCCTAATTTCGGAGATACTTCACCATCCCTGTCTGCTCCCTAGTCCTGGCCCCGTTGTCCTTGTCCCAAGCAAGCCTTTCCCTACCGCGTCTTCCCTGCCTGTGTAGCTGAATGGTCGCCGGGTGGCCCTGCCTCTGTGGCCTGCACAAGGCCGGGTGAGCATAAGGCCCAGTGGCTCCTTTATCCTCCTCTACACGGACTTTGGGCTTCAAGTACGTTATGACGGGAACCACCTGGTTGAAGTGACTGTGCCCTCCTCATATGCTGGCCAGCTCTGCGGGTTGTGTGGTGAGTTCCCTGGGCATCTGCAGGCCAAGTGGGGACAATGGGTACCTCAGTGGTTGAGTGTCTGCCTTCAGCTCAGGTCATGATCCTGGGGTCCTGGGGTCGAGTCCCACATTGGGCTCCCCGCAGGGAGCCTGCTTCTCCCTCTGCCTATGTCTCTGCCTCTCTCCATGTCTGTCATGAATAAATAAATAAAATATTAAAAAAAAAGATGGGGACAATGGGCAAGAGTCTGTCTTGGTCCTGTTCATCCACACATTTAATTAGGTGTCCTCAGGGCTTGTCTGCCCAGCAATTGTTTGAGGTTGCTGTGCGTGAGGGTAGGTGTTAAGGGAAGCCAAGGTGAAGAGAAAGAAAGGATAAACCTTGGTCTGTTTGAGTGAAGAATTCAAAGCGGCTGACTCTTCTGGGAGGAAGTTGGTGGTCCTGGGGTGGGTCTAGTGGCAGGGTGCCTCAGTGGCCTCAAAATGGCCCCTCCTCCAGGCAACTACAACAACAATAGCCTGGATGACAATCTGCTCCCCAACAAAAGGCCCGTGTCTGGCTCTGCCTACCTGGGGGCCGCCTGGAAGTTACCTGAGTACTCTGAACCAGGGTGAGCTGGGAATGAGGGGAGCCCGACCTGGGGAGGAGTCTCAGCAGGCAGCCTGGGTTGAGAGGAGGGTCCTTTGTCTGCCCCTGATCTCTCGGAGCCTGGAATGGACCAAAGGTTTTTCCCACCTCCTCTACCCCAGCTAGCTCCTATGATTACTGATCTATCTCTTTGGGAAGTCTATCCTGAGAGCTGACCTTGTTCTTTCCCGCTGTATCTCTGCCCTTCCTACCTAAGGGAGCATTTTCTTCTCTTCCCCTGTCTTTATTCCCCTCCCACTTTCATGCTCCACGTTTTGCTTCAGTTTTGGGGTGGAGTTTTCCCCAATGCTAAATTCCTGTCCTTTCCTCTCTCCTCATGTAGGTGCTTTTTGAGGGGTGCCAAGCCCTTCAGATGCCACAGTGCCAGTGAAGCAAACAGGTGGCGAAAGGGTTGTGATATCTTAAGGAGCTATAGGGGTAAGTTACATCTCCAGTGAGCTGCTTTTTCCTCCCCTTGGTGGGAGAGGAGGGGGACCGCTCAGAGAGGGAGGAAGGATGAGACGCAAAATAGACACAAGGTCAGGAGGAAGGCAAATGAGAGGGAAAGCAGAGGCGGTGTTCATCTCAGGAGCTCTGATGGATGGGTCGTTATTTTGCATTTCAGACAGTGGGTTCTCGATAATTACAGGACTTTTAAAATTTATTTTGAGAAAGAGAGAGAGAGCGCAGGGGAGAGCAGAGGGGTGGGAGGGGCGAGAGGAAGAATCTCAAGCAGACTCTGTGCTGAGCACAGAGCCCAATGTGGAGCTCGATCTCACAAACCCTGAGACTCTGATCTGAGCTGAAATCAAGAGTTGGGTGCTCCACCGACTGAACCGAACCCCCCGGCGCCCCAATAATTATGAAGTTTGATTGAAATGGATGTTGAGGGGCACCTGGATGGCTCAGCGGTTGAGCATGTGCCTTCAGCTCAAGTTGTGATCCCGGGGTCCTGGGATCAAGTTCCGCATCAGGCTCCCTGCAGGGAACCTGCTTCTCCCTCTGCCTATGTCTCCACCTCTCTCTCTGTGTCTCTCATGAATAAATAAATAAAATATTTTTTTTACAAATGAAAAAAGAGGGATCCCTGGGTGGCGCAGCGGTTTGGCGCCTGCCTTTGGCCCAGGGCACGATCCTGGAGACCCGGGATCGAATCCCACGTCGGGCTCCCGGTGTATGGAGCCTGCTTCTCCCTCTGCCTATGTCTCTGCCTCTCTCTCTCTCACTGTGTGCCTATCATAAATAAATAAAACAAACAAAAAAAAAATTTAAAAAAAAAAAAATTTAAAATTTACAAATGAAAAAAGAAAACAAATAGTTGCATGGTTCTATTCTTTTCCAAGACAACACTCGGTATGTTGTTTCATCCTCCAGGACCCTTTTCCCAGTGCCACAGCATGGTGTCTCCCCAGTCCAGCTTCGTCAGCTGTGTGTATGGTCAGTGTGTGACCAAGGGCGACCCCCTGACCCTGTGCCGCTCCCTGCAGGCCTATGCATCCCTGTGTGCCCACGCCGGCCAGGCCCTCAGCTGGCGGAATAGCACCTTCTGCCGTGAGTGACCCCACCACCTGCTCTTGGAGATGGGAAGAGGCCACCAGATCCCTCTCTCTCTCCCTCTCATTAGAGTCTGCCTTTCTGTTCTCCCTTCATAGCCTGCTCTCAGCCCCCAAAGGGAACCCTCCTCCTTTGCCCTCTTTCCTCCAAGGCCAACCCTCCTCTTCAACCCATTTGCCTGCCCTGGGAGCCTCCTCCTTCTGACTCTCTCCTCAACAAGACCTTCTACCCTTATTTGGTTACTGCCTCCTTCCCATCTGACCTGAGCCAACTCTGTTCCCTTCCTTACTCTCTTTTCCAGGAACTTTTTTTTTAATTGTGCTAAAATATACATAACATAAAATTCCCCATTTTGATAATTTTTAAGTATCCAGTTCTGTGGCATAAAGTACATTCACGTTGTTGTGCAACCAGGACCACCATCCATCTCCAGAAATTTTTCATCATCCCCAACTGAAACTCTGCACTTGTTAAACACTAAGTCCCTGTCCTACCTTCCCCAGCCCCAGCACTCACATTCTCTGTGGTTATTCCGTCTCCATGAATTGGACTCTATGGACCCCACATAAGTGAAATCATACAGGATTTCTCTTTTGGGGACTGGCTTGTTTCACCTAGCATGTCTTCAAGGTTCACCCATGTTGGAGCATGTGCCGCAATGTCTTTTTTAAGGCTGGATAACATTCCACAGTGTGGATAGACCGCATTTTGTTGATCTGTTCATCTGGTAAACATTCCCAGAACTCTTGATGCCCCAAGATTGGGGGGGCTGGAAATCACTGCCCTTTCTAACACTGGTTTCTTCCTAGCTCTGAAGTGCCCTTCTGGCAGCAACTATAGCCACTGTGCCAACCCCTGCCCTGCCACCTGCCTCAGCCTGAACACCCCAAGAGACTGCCCAGCAGTGCTGCCCTGTACCGAGGGCTGTGAGTGCCAGAAAGGCCACATCCTGAGTGGAACCTCCTGTGTGCCCCTCAGCCAGTGTGGCTGTGTTGACCAGGAGGGTTACTACCACCTGGTGAGGGGCCAGAGTGCGACTCCACATGTTTGGGGGCAGGAGGTCTCAGAGCCTGTGAAGAGTTAGTGTGGACCAGCGAGCTCTAGGGGCTGAGCAGCAAGTCTAGAAGTCAAAAGGTTGAGAATGGCTAGGGGTGCAAGCAAGCAGTCAAAGTAGCAAGCCTGGAGGGGTGGGTGGGGCGGGGCAGGAGTCCTGGAGGAAGTGGTGGGTCAGGGGTGGGGGGGGCGGGGTTCTGTCCAACTCTGGTTTCTAAACTTCTATTGGCTCTGCTGATGCCCCCACCCCACAGGTTGGAGAGAGCTGGTACACAGACAGCTTCTGCTCCAGGCTCTGCACCTGCTCCACTCACAACGTCATCTCCTGCCACCAGGCCACCTGCAAGACTGGCCAGTTGTGCCGGCCAGTGGATGGGTTGCTACGCTGCCAAGCTTTGGGTATGAGGCCCTTCAGTGCATGGGAGGACCATGAAGTCACAGAGACTGCTCTCCCCAGCTCCCCCTCCTCCCCACCTCTCCCACATCTGTAGCACTCTGGCTCCTATCCCTGCTGTCTCCCAAAGAGCTTCTGGTGGGGAATGACGACCCTTGTGCCATCGGGAAAGGTTCCTCGGGTTCACTCATAATTCTCCCAGCCATGAACTTTGACATTATGAAACTCTCGCTGGTACAGGAGCACCCACTGCACCCCAAGCCGCCTCCTAGCCTGGCCACTGAGATTCGCTTCTTTTCTTTTCGCCTTCCTTCCCTTTTGGGTGGAGGGGGGCTCTCTCACCTTCATGTCCTCCCCTGAAAGGTGGGGGGAGCACTTGTTCTTGTGCAGGCTAGACCACTCCTCAGCTACCCTTCTCTCTCCGCCAGGTATGGGAGTGTGCCATACCTCAAACTACTCCCAGTACGTGACATTCGATGGCACTCACCATATCTTCAGGGGCACCTGCACTTATGTCCTGGTGAAAGTGTGCCACTCCACCATGGACCTGCCTTTCTTCAAGATCAGTGGCAAGCACAGGAAGCAGAAAGGCCAGTCTGATGCTTCCTACCTCTACCAGGTCAATGTTGACATCTTCAATACTCAGGTCACCTTGAAAGGTGACAAGCGTGTGCTGGTGAGCCGGGTGATGTAGGTGGGGAGGGAGGACACCAGCCCCCCTCTGGGGAGGGTGCTCCGTTCCTTCTTCCCATTCACCTGCCCTGCCCTCCTCTGTAGATCAACGGCACACAGGTTACCCTTCCCTCGACCACCCAGATCCAGGGGGTCCGAATCACTACCAGTGGCATCTACACCTTGCTCAATGTTAACATCGGGCTGCAGGTCAAGTTTGACGGCAATGGTTTCTTAGAGGTCGAGCTCCCTACAGTCTATTACCAAAAGGTGGGGGAAACCCTTGGCTGTTCTCCCGGGCAGTTCGCCTCCAGAGGGCGCTAAGCCTTCTCCAGACCCAAGTGGTCCTTCCCCAGAGAGGAGGATGGCTGGGAGTGCACCTTTTTCTAAAGGGTGGAAAGGCTCTTTTGCCTCCCTGCCCCCCACCCACCCAGCCCCCACTGCTGAGAACCCCTTTGCCTACCCAGGTTTGCGGCATATGTGGAAACTTCAATGGTGAGGAAGAGGATGAGCTCATGATGCCCGATGATGAACTAGCCCAGAATGACAGTGAATTTGTTGACAGTTGGCAAGATAAAGAGTCTAACCCAAAGTAATTGTCCCCCAAAGTCTCTACATTCCTGTAGGAACACGAGTCAGGACCCTAGGCTATATGGAACACCCAGGGATGGGAAGACTGGAGCATTCCTGTATGTGTGTGACTCAACGAAGGGTGGCTTCTGGGTCCCAGGAAGCTGTCTGGGGACATATGAAAAGTCTTCCCTTTTTGGCTTCAAAATGTGGGAGGGGACTGAGGCTGCAAGGAGGGTGCCCAGAGCTGAGACCAGCTTCCTGGTGAAGACCAAGGGGTCTTCTGAGCCACTCAGGAGTGCCAGAGGTGGGGCAGTGGCTGTGCTTCTGATGACTCTTTTCTCTACTGCAGTTGCCAGCAAGATGACCAGAAGATCCAAGCAGAAAGGCAGAAGTTAGATATAAACTGCAGCACAGCTGACATAGCGAGAGCTCAAGAACAATGCCAGGTGGCCTTTGAGGCTCCAGCCTGGGCTCAATGTGCCACCCGTGTGGTCCCCAGGCGCTTCCTGCTCCTCTGTATCCAAAAGCTCTGTCGTTTTGGACGCCTGAAGAGCGCCCTCTGTGGGTCTTTGGAAACCTTCGGAGCCGCCTGCAAGGCCAAGGGGCTCAAGCCCCCAATCTGGAGAAACAGCAGCTTCTGCCGTGAGTGTCCCCTATGTCACCCCAGACCGCTCCCACACCTCGGTTCTGTCTTTGTGTCCCTTCAAGCTTCTTGTCTTCCTTTCCCCATTGTTTCCAACCTCTGCATGACTTCATTATTCTGACTTGGCTCCTTCAGAATACCCGCATAGTCAATGCCCATACCACCCCCTATCACCCACTGGGACAGCACAGGCTGCTTCTCCCCTGTTTCTCCACCATGCTGTTTTTCCAAAGGAGATATGATTGTATCACTCCCCTGCATGGCTCTCATGGGCAAGGTTAAGTCCAAGCTCCTTTCTGAGACATCTGAGACCCTGCCACCAACTGGCCTGGCCTGGCCTCCCTTGCCTCTTTGCCTGTGTGCCTGCACATCACCACCAAACCACCCATTCCTCACACCCCTTGGTCTGGTTTTTCCACACCCCTTTCTGCTTCTATCCACACTGCTTCCTGCACCTGGAAAACTCTTTCTTCTCTCTCCTGGAAGACTCCAAGGCATCCTTCCGTAGCTCTTAATTTTTTTTTCAAATTATAATTCACATACAATGATATTCACCACTTTACAAGTATAAAATTCACTGTTTTGTAGGATTTTTACCAAGTTCTGCAACCATCACATTATATAATTCCAGAAACTTTTAAACTTTAAGACAGTGATTAAAGTGTGTTTTAGTATGTGATGCATTCACATGGTTCAGGAACTTTTTAAGTATTAAAAGATTGCCAGTGAAAGGCACCTGGCTGCCTCAGTCAGAAGAGCGTGCGGCTCCTAATGTCAGGGTCATGAGATTGAGCCGCATGTTGAGAGTGGAAATCACTAAAAAAAAATTTTTTTAATAATAAAAAGATTGCTAGTGAAAAATCTGCCTCTCATCCTGACTCCCTGGGTCCAGGTTCCAGCCTGCCCTTATTACCAGCTGAATATTTGTCCAAAGATATTTTACCTATGCCCATAAAAACAAATACAAATAGATTTTTCTTTTTTTCTTTGCAAACAGCATATGAGACATGGTGGCTTGCACTTTGTGTTTCTCACTTGATAATCTAGTTTGGAGATCCTTTCGGGTCAGATCTGTTAAGGAGATTCTCATTCTCCTTTGCAGCTCTGTGATATCCCATTATTACATTATAATTCATTTGTCACAATATTTTTAAAGATTTTATTTTTAAAATTAGTTTAAAATAGGTTCCACACCCAGCACAGAGCCCAACTCAAGGCTTGAACTCACGACCTGATCAAGACCTGAGCTGAGATCAAGAGTTGGATGCTCAACCAAATGAGCCACTCAGGTGTCCCTTAAAGATTTTATTTTATTTTATTTTTTAAGATTTTATTTACTTATTCATGAGTGACACAGAGATAAAAAGAGAGGTAGAGACACAGGCAGAGGGAGAAGCAGGCTCCATGCAGGGTGACTGACATGGGACTTGATCCTGGGTCTCCAGGATCATGCTCTGGGCTGATGGAGGCGCTAAACCGCTGAGCCACCCAGGCTGACCAAAGATTTTATTTTTAAGTTATCTCTGCATACAATGTGGAACTCAAACTTAGAACCCTGAGATCAGGGATCCCTGGGTGGCGCAGCGGTTTAGCGCCTGCCTTTGGCCCAGGGCACGATCCTGGAGACCCGGGATCGAATCCCACGTCGGGCTCCCTGCATGGAGCCTGCTTCTCCCTCTGCCTCTCTCTCTCTCTCTCTCTCTCTCTCTCTCTCTCTCTCTCGTGTGTGTGTGACTATCATAAATAAATAAAAATTTAAAAAAAAGAACCCTGAGATCAAGAGTCGCACACTCTATTGACTAAGCCAGCCAGGCACCTCTCATTTGTTGTAATTTATCTAACTAGTATCTTGTTGGTGGACTTTGTAGTTGTTTCCAATTGTTATTGCCAACAGTGCTGCAGTGGATCCTCTTAATGCAGTTATGATTTTGTATGCGTGCGTCTGCCCATAGGATACATTCCTAGGAGTGTGATGCTGGATGAGGACCATGTGCATTCGCTCTTCTGAGAGATGTTGCCAACTGGCTTTCCACAGGGGGGTGAAGAATTTATATTCCCACCAGTAATACGAGAGTGCCTCATTCCCCATAGCCTCGCCCAAACAGAGCACTGCCACACTTTTGGCTTTTCGCCAATCAGGATATGTGAAAAATACAGAGTCTTAATTTGCATTTTTCCTGTTATGAATGAGGTTATGCATTCTTTCATCTGTCTGGGAGTTGTCTGATTTCCTTTGCTGTGAGCTATGCCTTTGTACCCCTTTACCATTTTTTCCACCTGCTCATTAGTCTTTATCAAACTATCCTATGGAGGTCCTTTCTCTATTGCAGAGAGTAGCCTTTTATTCATTTACTTATTTTAATTAATTAATTAATTAATTAATTTTAAGCAGGCTCTATGCCCAGCATGGAGCCCAACATGGGTCTTGAATTCACAACCGTGAGATCAGGACCTGAACTGAGATCAAGAGACAGATGCTTAACTGACTGAGCCACTGCCCCAAGAGTAGCCCTCTATTAGTGTTATGAGCTACACACATTTTTCCAGTTCTTATTTTTTCATCTCTGACTTTTTTGTCATGCAAATAAAAGATACACACACACACACACACACACACACACACACACAAATGTGGGATAGTGTATATTAGTCTTTGTTCTGTGGCTTCTGCATTTTGAGCCATGGTGACAAATACTTGACTCCGAACTTAAAAACCAATTTGCTCATTTTTAGCTCCAGCATGGTTATGGTTGTTGGTTGGCTGGTTGGTTGGTTGGTTGGTTGGTTGGTTGATTGGTTGGTTGGTTTCTTTCTTTCTTCCTTTCTCTTTCTTTTGGTAAGCACTACATCCAATGTGGAGCTGCTGACTGAGCCAGCCAGCCTCCCCTACCCCTTTGGCTTCGTTTTTTTTTATTATTATTTTTAAAAATATTTTATTTATTTATTCATGAGAGACACAGAGAGAGAGAGAGGCAAAGACACAGGCAGAGGGAGAAGCAGGGTCCCTGCAGGGAGCCCAACGCGGAACTTGATCCCGGGTCTCCAGGATCACACCCTGGGCTGAAGGCAGCGCTAAACCGCTGAGCCACCAGGGCTGCCCTGGCTTCGTTTTTTAGTAAATTTTTAAAAAAGATTCCATTGATTTATTCATGAGAGACACAGGGAGAGAAGCAGAGACATAGGCACAGAAAGAAGCAGGCTCCATGCAGGCAGCCCAATGTGAGCCTCAATCCTGAGACTCCAGGATCATGCCCTGAGCCCAAGGCAGATGCTTAACCACTGAGCCACTCAGGTGTCCCATGGCTTCTTTTTTTATATTTAAATGTTTAAATCTGGGGATCCCTGGGTGGCGCAGCGGTTTGGCGCCTGCCTTTGGCCCAGGGCGCGATTCTGGAGACCCCGGATCGAGTCCCACGTCGGGCTCCCGGTGCATGGAGCCTGCTTCTCCCTCTGCCTATGTCTCTGCCTCTTTCTCTCTCTCTATGTGACTATCATAAAATAAATAAAAATTTAAAAAAATGTTTAAATCTCCAGAGATTTTTATCCCGGTGCACAGTATATGGATCCCGTGAGTTTTTTGTTTGTTTTTGTTTTATTTTTTATTTATTTTTAGTTTTTTTTTTTTAATTTACGGGGGGGGGGTCTGATGTTTTTTTTTTTTTTAAGATTTTATTTATTTATTCACGAGAGACACAGGGAGAGAAGCAGAGACATAGGCACAGAGAGAAGCAGGCTCCATGCAGGGAGCCCGATGTGGGACTTGATCCCGGGACTCCAGGATCATGCCCTGGGCTGAAGGCAGACGCTGAACCACTGAGCCACCCAGGCGTCCCTGTTTGGTTTTGTTTTAAAGATTTTATTTATTTATTTTAGAGATAGAGAGAGTGGGGAGGAGGAGGAGCAGAGGAAGAGAGAGAGGCACACTCCGCACTGAGTGCAGAGCAGGGCTCAGGCTCAGGTTTCGATTCCACGACCCTAAGATCACAACCTGAGCCAAAATCAAGAATCAGATACTTAATCGACTGAGCCTCCCAGATGCCCCAATGTTTTTATTTTTCCCCCAAATAAAATGACCAGTCTTGGTATTCTTAAATGACCAGTCTCTTTCTTCCCCCGCTGACCAAGATGCCATGATTTATCCTATACTAAATTCCGTACGTATTTAGGTCCCTGTCCAGGCTTTTTCTCCCTTCCATTGCTCTGTCTTCACTCACTAGTAACCCAGTGTTGTTGTTGTCATCCTTGAGAATTTCACCGGTGTTTTAATTTCTGGTAGGGACATTCACTACGCATTGCTCTTTTCTTTCTTTCTTTTTTTAAAAAGCATTTTCCTGAGTTTTCTGGTTTGTTCATATCTTCCTTTCTACTTTAATATCTTCTTGCTGTACTGAAAAAAAAAATCCTGCTGGTATGTTTCATTGGGATCGTCTGAAATGTATACTTTAACTTAGGGACAACTGACTTCTTTATGTTGCAGGCTCTTGCAAACCCGTGAACATTTCCATGGGATCACAAGTACTTGGCCTAAAGGGTTTTATTTAGCAACGCCTGGGTGGCTCAGTGGTTGAGTGTCTGCCTTGGGCTCAGGTAGTGATCCCAGGGTCCAGGGGATGGAGTCTTGCATCAGGCACCCCGCAGCAAGCCTGCTTCTCCCTCTATGTCTCTGCCTCTCTCTGTGTCTCTCATAAATAAATAAAATCTTAAAAAGGGGGGGAGGGGGCCTTTAACTCCTTCAGCAAAGTGCACACCTCCCTGCGCTGTGCTCCTATCACACACGCATGCCTTTCACAGGCTTACTGACCATGCACATTAAGGTCACTGGGGCTGCTGGCTAACCTCTGTCTCCCACGCTGGACTGGGGGTGGTGGTGGTGCGTTCTTACTCCTTTCTTTCCTCGAGGCATGGCACAGAGCTCATGCTCGGTAAATGTTTACCCCCCCTTCTCCAGCTCTGAAATGTCCCGCCCACAGCAGCTATTCCACCTGCCTTCCTACCTGCTCAGCTTCCTGCATGGACCAGTGCAGTGGCTCCCAAGTCCCCTCCGTTTGCAAGGAGGGCTGCATTTGTCAGCCTGGCTATGTGCTCAGTGGGCAGCAGTGTGTGCCCAGGAGTCAGTGCGGCTGCACGGATGACTATGGCAGCACCTTCCCAGTGAGTGGGGACAGGAAGCAGGGGTGGGGGCACCTCAAGGTTGACATATTCTCCTTCCTTGAACTCTGTCAGCTTGGGGCACCCATGTCTCTAGGGCAGGTCCCAGGGTATGTGGGCTGGTGACAGAGCTGGGTGCTGTCCAGCCAGGCCTGGGCTGGGGGGTGCGTGGTTTGGGTTTTGGAACTGAGGAATCCAAAAAACTGGGATGGGGCGTGGTATCGCAGAAGAAGTGTGGCCTTGTATTGAATCCTGTGGGTACCACTCACCAGTCAGGGGACCTGTAACCTCCGTTTTGTCATCTGTAAGATGGGTACTTCCTGAACAATGTATGTAAAACAACAAATGTGATGCCACTGGGAGGGACATTAGGGACATCAGGGGACAGGGGACATGTAACTGCCTCTGGCCCGGGTCAACGCAGCCATTCAGACTGCAACCTAGGCTGAGCAGGCGAGAGGAAGGGGACTGACCCTTCCCTCCTCACTGCCCAGTTCTGCCTGTATCTTCTCTAGGAAGGTAAGACCTGGATTGCCATTCACTGCACCAGAAGCTGTTCTTGCACTGAAGGAAGTGTTCACTGCCAGCAGTTCTCTTGCCCTGCTGGCTCGCATTGTGAGCCCAAACCGGGTGGCGTTGGCAGCTGTGAATTGAACAGTAAGAGGGGCCATCGGGGAGGTGGAGCAAGAGGCAGGGCTGGAAGGGGCTAAGGCTGGAGGGGTCTGGAGAGGAAGGGGCCTCATGCGGGCTCTCACCAGCTCTGCAGCCGACTCTGGGATTTGCTATCTTAAGGGCAAAAAAGAAGGAATAGGACCAGGTTTTTAATTGGGGCTAGGGAGAGACGAGGTTGAAGATCAAGTGTCCAGGGAGCCCTCGGCTAAGGGCGGGGGGTGGGTGACTGGAGACATCAGGCCCATAGAGGGATTCTGGTGGTTGTTATATCTGGGCAGCATCCCTTCTCAGTGTTGGCCCTTCTTGGCAGGGTCAGAACAATGCTCCATTTACGGGGACCCCCATTACCGTACGTTTGATGGCCTCGGCTACCTCTTCCGGGGCCGCATGACCTACACTCTGATAAAGACCATAGACGTGCTCCCTGCTGAGGTGGTGCCTCTGGTTGTGGAGGGGCGCAACAAAGTGTATTCGTCCTGGAGCCCGGTCTTCCTGCACGAAATCATCGTGATTGTCTACGGCTTCACAGTCCAGCTCCAGGCTGATCTGCAGCTTGTGGTAAGAGCCAGACCAGGCCAGGAGGGTCAGGGGAGGCAGGCCGGCCCGCCCGCGGGAGGCCGGTGACAACAGGTGAAGCCGGGACTCTGTGTTCCCCAGGAAGTTCCTGGCCAAGGTGCCTGCCTCGTTATCAAAGTCAGAAGCAGTGCTATGCTCATGTCGTGGGCAGGGGCAGAGGAGGGCAGTGGGACTGAGCAAAAGGCTGGAGAGAGAGAAGGAGAGAACGCATGGTGCAGGGGTGGAGGCGGGCTGAGATAGTACTGGGGGCGTCCACTCTGTCCCACTGTGTTGCAAGACTATGGCTGCGAGGGAGCTGACCTCAGGGAGGCCTTTGCTGTGAGGGATGGCAAAGACTACTACGGTATCACGTCCCACAGAATGATGGCACTCAGATACCGAGCTGCGCAGAGGGGCAGAGGAGACGCAGCAGAGGGTCAGGTTGACTCTCCGTGGCTTCTGTCTTCCTTGTCCAGGTCAACAACCAGAAAATGGCCATCCCCTTCACGCCCAACAACCATCTGCATGTTACCATGCGGGGCCATCGCCTATATCTGATAACAGACTTCAAGATGATTGTCACCTTTGATGGAGGCAAAAACGCAGGTACCTGAGAGTGGGGATAGGAAGGAGAGGGGACATGCCTGGGACGAGGCCGGGCAAACCCCACCATCAGCGGGCCACCCATGGAGAGGAGACCCCTGCATGGGACTGGGACCCCAGGCTCCAGGGGAGGGGCCAGGAGGGCTGGAGAGGTGGTGGGGAGCCTCACTTCTGAATATCCCTTCCTCCTACAGTCATCACGCTGCCCAATATGTATAAGAAGCTGGTGCTTGGCCTGTGTGGGAACTTCGATGGGAACAAAAGGAATGACTTTATGCTGCCCAATGGCACTGTCACTGACAGCCTTGTCAGCTTTAGCCACAGTTGGGAGGTACAGAAGATCACGGGAGGTGGTCTCGCCCGCTTCTCAAGGTGAGAGGGCTGGGGCTCTGAGCAGGGAGGCTGGGCCCTGGAGAGGGGAGCATTAGCTGGTAGCTGTCCACGCCCTCTTACCTCATCTCCTCAGCAGAGCAGGACACCTGAGGGCGAGAGCCCGGGACTTGCCTGATCTTCTTATCCTGCCATTGCGTCTTGGACCGATTGTGGGGACACCGGCCCTGCTGACCCCAGGCTGTGTCCCTGCCTTTCCACTCTTCCTCCCCAGGTCTCCCCAAGTTCACGGTTCTCATGGGTCTCACCTGGCGCCCTCTTGTTCTCTGCCCCAGGGCCATTCAAGAGAAGGAAGAGAAGGAAGAGGAGGAGTTAGGCTTCCACGCATCAGAATGCAGCATGGAGCAGCTGCAGCTCATCAATAGCACCCAGGGGTGTAGGGTGCTGGTGGACCCCTATGGACCCTTTGCTGCCTGTCATCAGACTGTGGCCCCGGGGCCTTTCCAGGAGTGAGTCAAGGGCCCAGGCATGGGGGACTGGCCTTTCTTTGGGTCCTGCTGCCAGTTCTGGGATCCGAGCTCTGTTTGGCTCACTTCTTTCTCTCTGTGGCTTCAGTTCCTGTGACACCCCTCCCCACACACTCACACTCACACACGCACACACGCACACACTGCCTGACGTCTTCCTGCTGGGGCTTCCAGGTCCTCTTCTGCAGGGCCAGGTCTCCTCGCCTCCCCATCTCTGACAGCCCCTCACCTGTCCTGCTGCCCCCAGGCACTGTATGTTTGATCTGTGTGCCGCCCGGAACTCCAAAGAGCAGGAGGAACTGCGCTGCCAGGTCCTCAGTGGGTACGCCATCATCTGCCAGGAGGCGGGCGCCACCCTGGCCAGTTGGCGGGACCACACCCACTGTGGTGAGGCACTGACCTTCCCCAGCAGCTGGTCCCCCACCCTCTTGGCCATTCCTGCCATCCAATGTGCTCTGCGCTCCCACCCTTGCCCCCCTTGGGCTTCCCCTACCGCCCCCCCCCGACTCACCCTGTCTGTGTCCTCCCAAGCCACCCTCCCTCTCTGCCCCACCCAGGAAGGCACACCCTCCACCTCCCCACCCCTCATCAGTCCATCCTGCTCCTCCTAGCCAGTGCCCAGCTTTGCTCCTCCACTCCCTTAGCACACCTTAATGTCAGACAGGAAGACACCCACAGCCGGCCCACTCTTCTGGCCTTGGCTTCTATCAAGCTCTGTGTTCTGGTGGCTGACTTTGTGCCCCCATTCGGCTGCCAGCCCCACATTCCCCGAACCTGTCGGGTAGGCCCCAGTCCAGCCACCATGCTCACTATGACTTTCCCATCAGCCTTGGCATGTCCGGCCAACACCGTCTATCAGAGCTGTATGACGCCATGCCCAGCCTCCTGTGCCAACCTGGCAGCCCCCAGGGACTGTGAGGGGCCCTGCGTGGAAGGCTGTGCTAGCCTCCCCGGCTATGTCTATAGCGGTGCCTGGAGCCTTCCCCTGGCCCACTGCGGCTGCACCAACAACGGCGTCTACTACCAGGTGGACGCTGGGAGGGGAGGCCTGATGGGGGCAGGAGAGCTGGGCAAGGGAGGAAAAGCCAGATGGCCTTCTCCCGGCCTTTCTCCCCCTCTAGCGCGGTGACAGCTTTGTGACTGAGGACTGCTCCCAGCGCTGCACCTGTGCCAGCTCTGGTGTGCTGCTGTGTGAGCCACTGAGCTGCCGTGCTGGGGAGATCTGCACCCTGGGGAACCTCACTCGCGGCTGCTTCCGAGGTGAGCCCAGACCTCCCCATTGCTTCAAGCTGCCGCCCCCACTCTGAGTGGGGTAGGGGGTGCTGCACAGAGGATCGTCCCTCCTGGTCCTGTGCTCGAGACCCTCCCCCTTGCTGTCAGGAAGTTTACCACTCAATCCGGCTCTTGCTTCCTTTTTTGGGAAGCGCAGAGGGAGGAAAGAGCTGCTATCTGCTAGGCTCAGTGCTGGTGCCTTTTCCTGGCATTAGCTTTCTATGACCTCCCCTCTGTCTGGCTGCAGGTATCCTCCTAGAACCCCTATAACTCCCTTCATCCTCACAGAGAGCCCGTGTCTACAGAACCCCTGTCAGAATGATGGGCGGTGCCAGGAGCAGGGAACCCACTTCACCTGTGAGTGTGAGCTTGGTTATGGGGGACACCTCTGTACAGAGTCTCGGAATGTGCTACCTCCCCAAAAACCAGGTAAGAACTTCACCCCAGGCCCTGTGTCCCCCAGCCCCTTCCCTACCACTAGCTGCTGGAGCGTTACTCCATATATAGAACATTAATGTATAATAGATATCTATTATAGGTCTATAACATTTTAGTATATATGCTGCCGAAGCAAGCACTATAGGTCTATAACAGATAGATAGTATATTATTCATATAATGTAGATTATATAAAACATAATAGTATAACATGATCCCTAGAAATCAGCAGAATGAGGGCTCTCAAAGAATCTGAGTCCCTGTACCCGTCCCCTACTGACGTACAGTAGCCCCTGCTAATCTGTGCAGAGTCCTTGCCAAGACCCCATCCAATCACAGACCATACTGAACCCCATGCTTTTTCCTACATGTACATACTAATGATGATGTTTTATTCACAAGTTAGGCACAATGAGAGATTAACAGCAATGACAAAATAGAACAATTATAACCATAGACTGTAATCAAAGTCACTCTATTGTGGTCTTTCTCCCAAACTATCCAATTGTATTGCACTCTCCCTTCTTGTGATGATGGTGAGGTGAGGGAATGAATTGGGGTGAATGATCGAGGCCCTGTGCTGCTGCATTAGGCTACTGTTGACCTTGTGAGGCTGTGTCAGGAGGAGGACCAACTGCTTCTGCACCATGGGTTATGGTGGGTGGCTGAGCCTGTGGAAAGCCAAGCTCTCGGTGAGGGAGGACTGCTGTACTCTGGGATCCTCTCTCTGAAGCCCAGCTCTCTTCTCTAGTTTTTTTTTTTTTTTTTCTCTCTTCTCTAGTCTTGCCTCACCCCACTCTCATTTCCCCATTTTGTGTCCCACCAAAACCTTTCCCAGTAACTTTTATTTTCTCTCCTCTTCCAAAACTGGACTTCTCTTGAGCCTCAGGGCCAGTGGTTTTTCACCAGCTTTATCTCCCCTCAGAGTGGGCCAGGGTGGGGTGGGGGTGGCTTTTTCAATCTGTTCCTTTCAGGACTTCCCCCTCCTCTACCCTCCACCCCACCCCCCACCCCCACTGCCACCCCCTATCCAGAAATTTAGATTCAGTAAGTCTGGAGTGGGCCCAGACATCTGCATTTTTAACAAGCTCCTGAGTGACTGATGGAAATGATCCCAGGGCTGCTCTTTGAGAAGCACTGGCCAAGATGGTACCCTGGACTTGAGGGGACCAGCTGGCTGAACAACCTCCTTAACAAGGCTGATGAGAGTTGTGTGTCCAGAGACACAGGATCCTAGGGGTATGGTGCTGAGGCCTTGGAGCAACAGCCTTCTGGAGGAAGACCTAGTCCCACCCAGAAAATTAGGAGCTGCTGTCCTTTCTGGGTGGCCACTTAGGATCCAAAGGGAGTGTCTCCTCCCCCATGTCTTCTATCCCATGTCCCTATGTTCTGTCCCCTGCACCCCAGAAGCATCCAACTTTGTGGCCATCCTGTTGGGGATGCTTGTACCAGTGCTGGTCTTAGTGCCTGCCGTGACCAGGGCATGTGTTTCCAGGAAGAAGAGGAGGAGGAAGAGGTGAGTTCTGGGAAAGGGGATGAGCAGGGGTGGGTGAGGATGAGTCAGCAGGGGAGCGGGCACCAACCCTTCTCTGTTCCCCACAACCTCCAGGGAGAAAACGCAGAGCTAGAGCAGAGGCAGGCTGGCAGACACTGGTGAGAACCATCCCCACCCCAGAACTCCAGCAGCTAGAAGCTGAGTCTGCCTCTGATACAGGTTTGCTCGCTTTCTCCTCAGATTTTGTTCTAGAACATACCCTTCAAGCCCCTCAGTTTTGAATTGTCCTCAAAAAATGAGAGAAAATAAAATGTATCTTTTTTAATGTTATTCATTTGAGAGAGAGAGAGAAACAGTGAGAAAGAGAGAACTTGAGCAGGGGTGGGGGGCAGCAGGGGAGGAAGGCAGAGGGAGAAGTGGACCCACCCCCTGATACTGGATCCTGGGACTCCAGGATCATGACCTGAGCTGAAGGCAGACCCTTAACTGAGCCACCCAGGAGCCCCTAAATGTTTTTGAAATGTGAATTTCCATGATTGTGGTAGAGGAAGGGTCTTGGGGGGTGAGATAGGAGCGAGGGGCACAAGTGTGCGGGAGGTCGGGGAGGACTACAGCTAGGTGCCTGCAAAAGTGTCCTGGGTGGAGGGGGACCGGAGGAGGACCGAGGTTGGGCTGTTCTTGGCCTGTTCTTTGGACAAAGCTGCTTGGGGGTGAGGCTTCCAGCCCTCCAGCCTCTGGAAACAGGAGAAAAAGCTGCACTGTCCCTCTTCACAGGAATCCAGGGCTAGTGGAAGATGATCCTGGACGCTGACATTTATTTTTTTTCTATTTAAAAGATTTTATTTATTCATGACACAGAGAGGCAGAGACATAAAGGGAGAAACAGGCTTCCTGTGGGGAGCCCAATACAGGACTTGATCCCAGGACTCCGGTATCATGACCTGAGCCGAAGGCAGACGCTCAACCGCTGAGCCACCCAGACATCTCTAACGATGAGATCTAATCACTGGGTGCTGGCTAAGGATGGGGAATGTAGCTTTTTAGGAAGGGCAAGACTGCCTGTGACCCTCAGGAGGCCCCCACCTTCTGCACACATACCTTTCTCCAAAGGGTCTAGGGGCTACTATAGCAACTGCTGGTGGGATCCAGGGTGCCCAGGAGTTTGTGCCCCATCCTAGCAGGGCTGGCCAGCTCACCTCAGCCTGAGGCCAAAGGGCAAACATTCTGACCTCTCTCCCAGGGTCCCACACCGCCCATCAGGCAGGTCCTAGCTTGTGGGTGGGGGTGATCAGGTTTGAAGATCCCAAGGGATGGGGGATGCCAAAGCAGGCAAGACACTGGGTTCTGTGCTTATTCTCTGAGATGACTTTGCAGCTGCCTGTTTAAGGAACAGAGGTCCCACCTGGGTGGGGGAGGGCCCTGGGTAGGGAGGGATGGCCCCTGACCAGGCTAGCGGCAGGGTGTAGCCCATGCTCTAGAGCTGGGCACGGCTGGAGGGCCCCATGAGCTGGCCATGCTTTAGCCTGGGCATTGTGGGCCTCCTTGCTACACACCTACCCCCACTTGAGCTCTCTTCACCTCATCTTTGACCTTTTGTCTCTGTTACTCATCTGTCCCCTGTCCCCTTGACCTCTGCTCCCCTCAAGAACTAAGGTCACCTTATCTAGCTCAGATGTCTGGTTGGCAGGGAAAGGGGTGGCTGGGGTTGGCATCCTCCAGATAGGCCTCCTGCCCCTGGACCCAGACCCCCTCCATCTTCGGCAGGACAGAGTCCCTCCCGTACCCTCAAGTGTACAAAACGTGGGTGATGGGTCGAGGGAGGGGATAGAAGTTCCAAGGTACTAGGGACTCCAGAAGAGGCTGGTACTGGTAGGAAACCGCAGACAGGATCACCACCCAGGGCTCCCTGGGCTGGGAAGGGTAGAAGCTGTGATTTGAGGTCCTGCAGACCCCAACACAACAGGGACAGCTGAGGCAGAAACAGCAAGGCTACCCCCGCTAAAGAGCGCTGACCCCTGCAGGTGACCCTGGTGTGGGCAGACCAGGAGGGAAGGAACAGAAGACAGGAACAAAGACTCAAAGGGGCTTGACCCCATTGCTGTCTTCCTGTTTGGGAGCAGACACTCAGGTAGTTTCCCTTCCCCTTCCCAAGAGGCTGGGAGAACTTGCCTGGGCAGCACCTTGAAAGGGAGAATTGTCTTCCCGACTAGGCCCAGCCCAGTGTGTGTACCCGTGGGGGGTCCACATCCTTCACTACAGCTTTCTGCCCCTCCCCCACAGCCCATGCAGACTCTTCCCATTGCCTCCAAAACCAACCCTAGCTGTCAACATCTGGCCTACATCTGGCCCCTTCATCTGAGGGAACCCCTCCACCCCAGCCGATGCCCCCTCTGATGCCCCCTTCTTCCATGTCAAGGGGCTGCAGGGCGGGGCTATAAGCTCAAAGCTTCCCTAGTCCCCCATGGCCCCCTACCAGGGCTGGGGAACCAGGACAGGGGAGGGAGAGAGAGCCCCACCCCGGAGGTGCCCCGGGCTCTTGGCAGAGCCATCTGGAGCCGTTAGAAGCAGCTGCCAATGACTCATCTCCCACTGCCCCCACCCCACCCCCTCAAACACACCCTGGGGCCGGGAAGCAAGCCCGCAGCCCCCCACAGCCCTGTCTCCAGACCTCCAACCACTCCCCCATACCCAGGTCCTGCTCTCGGCAGAAACCTAGTCGGTCCCCCACTCCCAAATGCCCCCAGGACTGCAAAGCTTCCCATTTTCTTTTATTTATACAAAAAAAAATTGTTTTAAATATAATTTAAGAACCCCTCCAAGCACCGGTGTCTGTCTCTAGTTTCTACCACCACCTCCCCCCCCACTCCCCCTCATGGACACAGCGCGAGGGTACTTGGGGGCAGGAATGTGTCTGAGAGCTGTGGTGTGAGCAAGGCACTGTTCTGGAAACAGACACGATGAGTTCCTGTTTCACCCTCGGCAAAGGAGACAATAATGAAACAGGCCCCCCCAACACAGAAAGTTATGACAAAGACAGCAGAAAAACAAACAACAAAAAACAACAAAAAAGGAGTTGGGGCAGGAAGAATAAGACAGAAACAAAAAATAAAACAAAAACCTTCAATATGAAGGCAGCAGATGGGGGAGGGGGCATTTACAAGGGGAAACTGAGTTCGGGAAGACAGCAGCAAGGTTGGGACATCCAGGTCCAATGATTTGGTCCCTGGGCCACGACGCCCCTTCCCGCCTCCCGCCACAGCGCGACCGCTCCGCTCCTGAGCTCACAGGCTGGTCACCCTCTTCTCTTTGGTCTGCAGGGCAGTGCATTGGCCCTTCATGGTGAGGGGGGCACGTGAGGCCCTAGCTGGGGATCAGAGGGAGGCTGCGGGAATCGTGCCGACCATCCCGGGGAAGCTGCAGATTACAGGCGCTTCCTCTCTGGTCACACCCAGTCCCGAGAGACCAGCTTCCCGCCTGGGGGGGCATGTGATTCCTTCGCTCCTACGGCAGAATCCCCAAATCCTGCCTCTCAAAATTGCCAGCTCCCCACCCCCACGGGTTCAAAGTGCAATCCAACGGGGCCCAGGTAAAGAGGCCCCTTGGGTCCCCATCCGACTCTGCCCCAGGAAGAAGGGGAGCTGTGTCCCCAAGCTGCGAGTGCCCGCCGCTCTGGAGCAGTGGGGCCAGGCAATCAGGTGCAGGTCAGTACTGGGGGGCTGGTGCTCCCGACCCGCCTGGGGCTCCAGGCTTGGCCTGGGACTTCATGTGCTGGACGCTGGCCAGGATTTTCTTCTGGTGTCCCGCCAGAGTGACTCCAATTCGGAGCAGGTCCCTAGGGAAAAAGGGAGAGCTAGGTGAGGCCACAGGGCTCCTGGGGAGGCTCTTAGCTCCAGACACCAGACCCCGCCTCAGGACCGTCAGCCAATCAGAGGGCCAGCAGGGGAGGGGCACACGTCATTAGTTGCCAACAGGGGCGGGCAGTTTCCAGAGGCTTTAGGAGCAGGAGGCTGACAGTCCTTCTGCGCAGCCGCAGTAGAGGGTGGGGCTAGGTATCCGAGCCTGGCTGGCCAGAGGTGGGAGGTGGGGGGCTGCCGCTTGGGGCTCCAGCAAGGATTAGGGAAAGGCAGAGAAATCAGCGAGGAGGAACGAATGAGAGAAAAGCGCACAAAATGAGGTTGGGGGAAGGGGCTGCACAGATTGCTCTAGAGGAGAAAGAAGTCAGAAGGAAAAGGCCTGAGAGAGGAAGAGCGGGTGGGGAGGAAGGGGCGGGTGGAGGGAAAATGAGCAGGGGAGCAGCGGCCACCCCCCACCCCCATCCTGAGGCCTGGAGCCTGAGATAAGGGAAAAAGGCAACGGTGGGAAATGGAGAGTAAGGACCAGTGTCAGGGCGTTGCTGGAACAAGGGAGGGAGCAGGGGGCCCGTGACCTACCCAGTGGGGGGGGGGGCAGGGGGGACGCCTCCCACTCTCTGGTTCCAGATTTCTCTTCCTTCCATGTGTTATTCAAACCTGGGCTGAGAAGACAGCCTGGGCGGGACATGGGAAGGCAGAAACGTAGAAAACCAGAAAGGCCAAAGAGGCAAACACAGTGTTTGGGAGGCATTGGAACCATAAAACCATTTAATATTAAAGTTGGAAATGATCTCTGAAACCTAATCCAACCTTCTCCTTTTATGGGTGGGAAAACAGCCAGAGTTGACACTTTGTTAATGTGAGAGCAGAGTCTGGAATGTAGATAGATGCACCAAGATAAATACCCATGGCAGGACAGGAGCAGGATGGCCCAGGGGTGAGGTAGGCACTGCTGGCCCGGAAGATCCCCTGGGCTCTCAGCCCCCAGGGGCTGTTACTTTAGGGGTGCTCTCAATAACAGAATTGGCACCAGGAGGTGCCCTCAAAGGTTCCTGCTAAACTCGCCAGCCTGATTCTGGTCCCCAGGTACCCCTTAGACTGCTTGGCTTTCAACCACCATGACTTACTCAGCAGAGATCTGGCTGACCAGTTCGAAGGAGCCAAAGCCAGCAGCTGCAAAACTTTCTTCGTATCGTCCCATCTTGATGGCTCGAAGCCACTCACCCACGGAGCCAAAAGCTGAGTAGTGAGGCTGCCGCTGATCCAGGAGTGGGTGTGAGGCCCTGTAAGGCAAGGATGGAGAAGGGTGCACTGAATTCCTAGGCTACGTCAAGGTGGGGACTTTGCACCCAGACTTGGAGCAGTGGACAGGGACAATGAACAAGCCCACATAACGCCAGAGGGCTGGATACTTCTGAGGGGGAAGGAGGGGTTCTCGAGTGATGGCAGAGTGCAGGAAGGAGGCCCACCCTCCGGGGTCCTCACCCGCCATTCTCCCTGGCCACAATTTTGAGACTGGCCGGGTTCCGGATCATCTTGTCAAGGGCGCTGACCACCTGGGGGAAGCGGGGACGTGCATTCCGGTCCTTCTGCCAACAGTCCAGCATGAGCTGGTGCAGGGAAGTGGGGCAGTCTGGGGGCGGGGGCAGCCGGTAGTCCTGTTCAATGGCATTGATCACCTAGAATGACAGGTAGAAGCACTGGGTGAGGATCTCCCAGGGAGAACAAGAATGCCAAAGGACCCCCAGAAGATGGTGACTTAGCAGATGCTGGGAGAGGTGCCATAGACCAGAGAATGGCAGATCCAGGGTCCTCCTGGCTGGGACCAAAGCTGGCTGGGGCTTGATGCCCCAGTGGCTCTTGGGCCATGATCTAGATGGGTAACTTCCCAACCCTGCTCTCCTCCTCCGTGTCCTTCTGTGACCAGATATGCTGTATGAAAGTCTTGGATACAGAAACAACTCAATTTTGTGCCTCAAGGACCCAACAGTGATGAGCTCTCTGGGGACCCCACTCCCTACCCCATATCCCCAGCGAGAGAACGTTCAGGAAAGCTTGGTGGGACCATGGGACACTTACATCCTGATTGCTCATGTCCCAGTATGGCCGTTCTCCAAAGGACATGACCTCCCACATCACAATTCCGTAGCTCCATGCATCACTAGCAGATGTGAACTTCCGGAAGGCAATGGCCTCGGGGGCTGTCCATCGGATGGGAATCTTTCCACCCTAAAGATGGAAGAGGAAAAGGTGAGCTGAGGAACTTATTGGACCCAGGCATTCTACCCCCTGCCTTTGCCTTTTCCCCAGGTCTCCCTTCTCTCTGGAACTCAGACACGCAGCTCTTCAACTCTCTTCTTTTCCTGGACACTGGAAGTTGGGTTCCCTACCTAAGCTGACTGTCCTCTCCCTGGTCTGTGCCTATATCCTGTCCCTGAACTGGAACTACCAATCCCTCTGCCTCCCACCTTTCCAACCTTCCCTCCCCACCTGCGTCTAAGAACCCAGTTCATACTTGGGTCCCCTAGCCTCACCAGAGAGCTTGTATAGGTGGGATCAGAAGAGTTCTCCTCCAGGAACCGGGAAAGCCCAAAGTCAGACACCTTGCAGACAAGATTGCTGTTGACCAGGATGTTGCGGGCAGCCAGGTCTCGATGGACATAGCTCATTTCAGCAAGGTACCGCATGCCAGAGGCGATGCCCCGAAGCATGCCCACCAGCTGGATGACAGTGAACTGCCCATCATTGAGCTGGAGATCGGACAGGGGAGAGGGCAGTTAGGGCAGCTCACCTGCCATTCCCCTGGTCTTCCACCCCCTAAACCTTATCTGCCACTTGAAGACCCATCTCACACTCACCTGCAGGGCAGGCCTGCTGACTTCCCAGGTAAGTCCCCTGCTTTTCTCTTACCCTGAGCTCTCAGCTCTCACTGCACTAAACTGACATGACACTTAAGATTATAAGGAGGGTGGCAGCCCGGGTGGCTCAGTGGTTTAGTGCCACCTTTGGCCCGGGGCCTGATCCTGGAGACCCAGCATCAGGTCCTGCATTAGGCTCCCTGCATGGAGCCTGCTTCTCCCTCTGCCTGTGTCTCTGCCTCTCTCTCTCTCTCTCTCTCTCTGTCTCCCATGAATAAATAGTAAATAAGTAAAATCTTAAAAAAAAAAAAGATTATAAGAAGGGGCTCCTGGGTGGCTCATCGGTTAAGCATGCTTCTTGATTTCAGCTCAGGTCATGATCTCAGGGTTGTGAGATCAAGCCCCTCATCCACACTCATCACAGAGTCTGCTTAACGATTCTCTCTCCCTCTGCCTCTGCCCCTCCCCTCCACCTGGTCTTGCTCACACTTGCTCATGCTTTCTCTCTCTCTGAAGTAAATAAATAAATCTTAAAAAAGATTGTAAGGAGATTGCTTTAACATTTTCTTCTATTTAGTCTAGTACAGAGCTCTATGTCCAAGGCATACTCAACAAATGCTTTTGATCTAAGTATGTTCTTTTTATGACAGCAACAGAGTTCCGACAGTTGGAGTGTGCTCTGGGCAGTCTACAGGTGTAGATGCATTTGAACTGAACCAGAGCATCCTTGCTCAGCCCTTTTGGACCAGCTGTATGTAGCTTGCGAGACACTGAGACAGCACCAAAACCAAGACAGAAAGTTTGACCTTGACCTTTACAGAGTCTATTCTCACCAGATAAGCCAGCCAGCCAGTCACAGTGAAAGAATCCCATCTTCTTGGGGATCCCTGGGTGGCTCAGTGGTTTAGTACCTGCGTTCGGCCCAGGGCATAATCCTGGAGTCCCGGGATTGAGTCCCATATCGGGCTCCCTGCGTGGAGCCTGCTTCTCCTTCTGCCTGTGTCTCTGCCTCTCTCTCTCTGTCTCTCATGAATAAATAAATAAAATCTTAAAAAAAAAAAAAAAAGAATCCCATCTTCTGGGTTCAGCAAGCATGCAGGGACCCTTGGCAGCCATAGTGCCAGGGTCAGAGTCCAAAACCTGAATTCTGAACCTATCCTCCAAGCCTGCACCTTCTCCAGGCCTGGGATCTCACCTTGTGGAAACACCGCTGGCCAGATGCTCAGGCCAGACTCTGGAGTCTCTGTGATTCCTCTCTCTGTCACCTGCCACTTACAATCCATCAGGAGGTTTCTGTTGGACCTGCCTCCAAAACATGTCCCAAATCCAGCTACTTCTCCCCACCCAGCTGCAAACCTTACACCTCAAAGGACTGTAGGTCTTCTCACTGGCTCCTGGCTCTTGCTCCCTAACACCACCAAAAGGAGCTCCTAAAACCACCTCCCTCCAGCTGAAATCCCTCCAAAGCCTTCCCCTTGAACTTCTAATCAAATCCAAATTCCTTACTAAGGTCACGAGATTCATGTGGTCTGACCACCATGTACATCGAGATCTACCTCTGCTCCTCTGCTTGGGTTAATTTCACTGGCCTTTCTGCCATTTTTTAAAAAGATTTATTTATTTATTTATTTATTTGACAGAGAGAGCAAGTATGTGTATGAGCAGGGGGAAGGGCAGAGGGAGGACAAGCAGACTCCCCACTGCTCAGGGAGCCTGACTTGGAGCCTAATCCCAGGACCCCAAGATCATGATCTGAGCTACAGTCAGATGCTTAACTGACTGAGCCACCTAGGCCTTTCTGCTTCTTGAATATGTCGGGTTCCTGCCCACTCTGGTTCCCCTAGTGTGCTTCTCCCTCCCATCCTCTCATGGTTGGCTCTTTCCCATCTACCCAAATATTATTATTTTTTTAAGATGTTATTTATTTATTCATGAGAGACACACACAGACAGGAGAGACAGAGACAGAGAGAGACAGAGACACAGGCAGAGGGAGAAGCAGGCTCCATGCCCAGAGCCTGATAGTGGGACTCGATCCTGGGTCTCCAGGATCATGCCCTGGGCTGAAGGCAGATGCTAAACCGCTGAGCCACCTGGCTGCCCCCCAAATATCATTTCTTCTAAAATAGATCCCTTTCCCCTCCTGGGAACTGGACCTTTGTCTGATACCAATGGAACAGACTCTTATGTTGACAGTGGAAGGTCAGGCTGTTATCACAATACTCAGGGCCTGCCTTGGCAGCTCTCCTGGTAACAGCCAGGTAGCCTATCTCTGGTTGGGGTGCCATGCAAGATACACAGCATCCCTGATGTAGGCTGGCCATGGATATTTATTTTTGGACTTATTAGAACATTAGATATATCTTCCCTTAAAGGAACTAGAGAAACAAGCTAAATGACCCCACAGGGAAGAGGCTGATAAATCCAGAAGGTGAGACATTCAAGGGGATGAGGCCCAGCTTTTCAGCATGTCAGTATCACAATAAGGGACTGCCCTGGATTTTGAAGAGGCTCAAAAAAAAAAAAATAGCCACAGGGTGCAATGTTTGATGGTGAACTGGACCCCAGTTTGGAGAAACCAGGAGAAGAGCTGTGTGGGGGGACAACTAGGGAAATGGGAATGTTAACTGGGTATTGGATGATCCCAAGGAAGCATCATAATTCTGTTAAGTGTAATGCTATTTTGCTCTGTAGGAAGATGTTTTGCTTTTTTAAAAAGGATGTAAAGTTAAAAAATAAAATAGTATTGAGTAAAACCTGTTTAAGTGACAAAAATAAAGTAAGCTCTTCCCCATCATCTCTAGTCACTTCTCCAAAGTATTTGTTTTTTATTGTTTTTTTTCTTAAAGATTTTATTTATTTATTCATGACAGAGAGAGAGAGAGAGAGAGAGAGAGAGAGAGAGAGAGAGGCAGGGACACAGGCAGAGGGAAAAGCAGGCTCCATGCAGGGAGCCTGATGTGGGACTCAATCCCAGGTCTCCAGGATCAGGCCCTGGGTTGAAAGCAGGGCTAAACCACTGAGCCACCAGGGCTGCCCTGTTTTTTAAAAGCTTGTTTGTCTCCACCACACTGTCAAGTGCAGAGATGTTCATGGCTTTATTCCCAAGACCTAGGACAATGGCTGAGGCACCAGATGGTGCTCAGGAAGTATTTGTCAAGAGGACAAATGACCACCCCTCCAAATCCCGGGTCTGCTGGCCCCACAGACAGGCCTTTTCCACTCAGAGACACAGGAAAGGCCAGTCCTGGGAACTCAAGCTGTCCTGGGAACTCCCTCCAGGGAGAACAAAGGGCATTGGGGGTATGATGTGCACCCTACCACCTGTCCTGATTCTGAGCTCCTTGGCTGTGCTGGGGGAATATGGGAGGACCCAGAAGGCTAGGAGCCGGGGGCTTACCCGCAGGAAGGAGTCCAGAGCGCCATTCTCCATGAACTCGGTGAGGATCATGACAGGCACGCTGTTGGTGACCACGCCCTCCAGGCGGATGATGTTAGGATGCTCGAACTGGCCCATGATGGAAGCCTCACTCAGGAACTCCCGCCGCTGCCGCTCTGTGTAGCCCCCTTTCAGGGTCTTGATAGCCACACAGCTCTCTTTCTTCCCTGGGGCCTTGAGCCGCCCCCGGCACACCTCGCCAAACTCACCTTCAGAAAGGATGCCAAGAGTCAGCCCTGCTTCGCGCCGCGCCCCCCACCCTCCGACTCCCCAGCCCAGACCCTGGGTGTCCACCTTCCCTCTCACCTGCGCCGATCACCTCCTCAATCTTGACATAGGAAACGTCGATCTCTTTCGCAAATTCCCTCACAGCCTCATTGGGGTCTTCATAAGTGAAGGGGTCAATATAGACCTTAGTACCTGAGAAATCATGTGGGCTCCCATTAACTGAGAGGTAGCCTCCCCCTGCACTCAGATGCCCAGATTCCCACCTCTTGCCCCAGTCCCGTTTCCCTCAGGACAAGCCTACCCACCGTGCCCGATGAGGTACTGTCCATGCTTGTCCGAGTACTCAGCTTCTCTCCCGTTGCTCTGCTTCCTGTGGCCGACGGGAAAGAAACGGTAAATGGACTCAACACATCTCGAGTTCCCAGAGGGACAGGATGGGCACAGGAGGAGCGGGGGCGGGGGGGTCAGAAAAGCTTCCAAGGGGAAATAAGTATTCTGAGGGCACGGAAGGAGGCTTCCCTGGAGCAAGAGGGTAGTTGGTCATCTACATGGGCCTCCCCACGGGCCTCCAGGTGCCCAGAGTCCTTACCTGAGGCAGAGAACAGCAATGACAATGACCACCAGGACCAGCACCACACCCACGACGGCTGTGCCCGCGATCAGGGCCAGCTGCTCCCGCCAGCTCTCGTTCTCTGGGACAGAACAACCCGCGATCAGAAGCTGACGGCCCCCAGGGACCCTGCAACCAGCTGCAAGGCTTGAGGTATTGCTTTCCAGCAGCGTGGGCACCTCCGCAAGGAAGTTTCCCAGCCTTGTTACAGCCAGAGCAGGCTTGATTTTGTTCAGTTATAAATAATGGTGACCACAGAAGGTCCCAGAAGCTAAAAATGAAAAGGTCCGTAACCAAAACGTGGAAGTAACTCAGATGTCCGTCAACAGATGAAATGGACAAATGGACAAATAAAACAGGCTATTGCTATACGATGGAATATCTTCCAGCCATAAAAAGTGCTACACACCCCAAATGTGGACGAACCTGGCACATGTTGTGCCCAGTGAAGGAAGAAGCTGCAGTGTAGGACTCCATTTGTATGAAATGCCCAGAAGAGGCAAATCCATAAACACAGAAGGTAAATTTGTGTTTGCCAGGGGTGCGGGTGATTGAGGCAGTATCTTTCCTTGGATGCTGTGATATCCTAAAATTAATTGTGGCAATGGTCACACAACTCTTGACATATGAAAAACCACTCTAAATGGGTGAATTAATTGTATGGTATGTGAATCGTGCCTCAAACCATTCAAAGGTTTGAAAGTCTCTCAGCCAACAAGCATATTATAATGAATCAGTGTCACCTCCGGGCTTCCCGCATGGAGCCTGCTTCTCCCTCTGCCTGTGTCTCTGCCTCTCTCTCTGTTGTGTCTCTTGTGAATAAATAAATAAAATCTTTAAAAAAAAATAGGTGTCACCTCAGTTCATCCTTTGGAGGCTGTGAGAGAGACCTCGTGCTATTTCCAATCTGGGGAGGCGGGGTGGGGCTTAAGGGTCAGGCTTTGGCGGAGAGTCACACAGCTGGAAAGCCACTGGGCAGGTCTTCCCTCCGTGCTGCTGGTTTGGTTTCTGCAGCCTATGCTCCCCTCCACAGGCCAAAATGCCTCAGGGCTGACGGAGCACAGGAATGTGACTTCAGGGGTCCTTCGAGGGCACAGGCAAGGCCCCCTATGCAATGGAGGGGCAGTACCCTGGCCGACGCCCTGGTCCCGGGGCTCACCGTCCAGCTGGGTCTGGCTGTGGTGCTCCTGGCCAAAGGGCCCGTAGCCGGCTTCAGAGCGTGCCCGCACCTGGACCAGGTAGCTGGCTCCCCGTTTCAGTCCCCGCAGCTCTGCCCGGTTTTCCGACGTCTTCAGGAACCGCACGCTGCTGGGGCCCTCTGTGCCCTGTCCCAGAGGAGGAAGGGTTGGCCATAAGCCAGGGCTCTCTGGTTTCCATTGCTCTTCCCACCTCTCCCCCTCCCAGACCCTGTGTCCCCATCTCTGCATCGTGGTTCTGCTATGTGGCAAGTGTTTGGCTTTCGTTATAGCATTTAATCCTCACAGCAATTCTGTGGGGTCGGTATTATTACTACAACTGTTTTACATTGGGGATGTTGGACTCAGGGAGGCCAAGGGGGCTGGCCCAACGTCACACAGCTAGTACTCAGCACAGCTGAAATTCAAACACTTCTCAGATCCCTGTAATTCAGCCAGCCCCCAGAACACATCCCACGGCCCACCCCAAACCCTAGGGGCGAGTTTGGGTCTCACCTTCTCGTGATACTTGACCTCATAGTCCAGCACAGCTCCACTGGGGGCCCGGGGAACAGCCCAGGCCAGGCTCAAGCTGCTGGGCGATGACCGTGTCACCCGGATGTCGGACACTGGGGGTGGTACTGTGAGGGAGACGACCCATTAGGATATTTGCACACGGCAAGTCTGTCTTTTAACTTTCCCAGCTCTGCCTCTGTTGGCTACACTTGTCTCAGATCTCCAGCTGCTTCAAGGGCTCCCACTGACTCTCTACCCCGTCCTGAAGTCTGCACCTCTTTTTCTCTTCTGCTTGCCTCTCGCCCTGCAAGTCCTGACGTTCCATGCTTCCCAGCAACCCCACTGTCCTGCCCCTGCCTTTTTCCCTTCAGGCCATCTGCATCCCTCCCAGCTGACCACCAGCTCCCCATCTCACCCTCACGGTCAGTGGTGACATTCACAGCCTCAAATGGGACAGGTCCAGTGGCCAGAGAGGACACCCCGTTCAAGGCGGTGACCTCGAAGGTGTAGGTGAAATCTGGACGCAGCCCACGAACTGCCACCCAGGGTTCCACAAGGTCCCGGGGGCCAGGGTCAAAAGTCAGGTCTCCTCCGCAGGGTGTACAGGACCCCCCAGGGCGGCACTCCCGGCAGCGCAGAGCATAGGTGAGATCCTCTCGGCCCCCGGACTCCAGGGGGGCACTCCACTCCAGGCGCAGGGAGGAGCCATTCAGGCGGGGAACCACACTTCTGGGAGCAGAGGGTGGCGCTGTGGGACACCAGGGAGGCAGAGGCTGACTCAAGCATCAGGGAAGCACCTCAAGGTACACAGGTATCCTCACTGGCTTCTTATCTTGGCTGGGCATCAGCAGGCCAGGGCCAATAGGAGGAAGGCTGGGGAGGCTGGGGGCTATGGTAGGTGTCCACCCGCCACCTCAGGGGTCACTGGTCACTTACTGGTACAGGGTGCTCCCCGGAAATCTGTGCGGGCCCTGAAGTACCCAATGCGGCATTGGCACATGGGTGAGCCGATGGTGTTGGAGTGGCTGTTGGCTGGACACGGCTGACAGGACCCCTCCCCGGACAAGGGCTTGAAAGTGCCTTGGGCACAGGCTGAAAGAGAGACAATGATTATCGAAAACATTCAGCTGCTCTTAAGGGTGCATGGAGTGCAAAGTGGGGTACAGGGAGGGAAGAACTCAAAAACCTAACATCTAAGAGAAGAAGGAGACCCTCCCTACAAATCAGGGATTTGAAGCTTTGTTGACCTCAACACTACCACCCGGCCACTGCCACACCCTGTGGCTGCCAGGTGAAACCAAGAGGTCCCTGCTCAGATCTATGTTGTTAAATGCACACCACAGGGTACCTGGGTGGCTCAGTCAGTTGAGCATCTTGACTTCAGCTCAGGTCATGATCTTGGGGTCCTGGTATCGAGCAAGGAGCCTGTTTCTCCTTCTACCCCTGCCCCTCCCCCTGCTTGTGCAAGCATGCTCTCTCTCTCTCTCTCTCATATAAATAAATAGAGTATTCAAAAAAGGGATGCCTGGGTGGCCCGGCGGTTAAACATCTGCCTTTGTTGAGTGTCTGCCTTCGGCTCAGGGCACGATTCTGGGTCTAGGGATCGAGTCCCCCATCGGGCTCCCTGCAGAAAGCCTGCTTCTCCCTCTGTGTCTCTATGTCTTTCATGAATAAATAAATAAAATCTTAAAAAAAAAAAAAAGAAATGCAATGACCAAAAACATGAAGAAAACAAGTTCGTGCCTTAGGAGTACATGTGTTTCTTTATTTACAAGATAGAGCAGCCCCTGTAATCCTAAAGTCATGATAAGCAAAAAAATGGCATTTGGACATTCTTGCCTAATTTTTAACAGGCTGAGAAAACAGCCATGATTGGAAGGATGTGCAAGTCTCAGTCCTACTGTGAACCGTTGGCCTCTATCACTGTCATTCCACATGCAAGGCCAATTTCAGGTGGAGGTGAGTGACAATTAGGTCATTTTTTTTTCTCTACCCAAGTTCCTAGATCCCTTACTTTCTATCTACAAAACCCAGGTTCTGAATGCCTGCTCTAGAGAAACAGCTAAGTGAGAATTCAGTATCAGTAAGTTAGAGGAAACCCATAATGTTGGGCAGCCTGGGTGGCTCAGCGGTTTAGCACTGCTTTCAGCTCAGGGCCTGATCCTGAAAACCCAGGATCGAGTCCCACGTCAGGCTCCCGCATGGAGCCTGCTTCTCCCTCTGCCTCTCTCTCTCTCTCTCTGTGTCTCTCATGAATAAATAAATAAAATCTTAAAAAAAAAAAAGAATCCCATAATGAGCAAGAAATAGAGACTATAGATGCCTTTGCCCTCAAAGTCCAACAAGGTCCCCCCATGCTGAGGACACCCTTGCATCCCTCATACAGAAAGATGTGAAACATAATGAGGAGAAAGAGGGTGGAAGAGCTCAGACCTATGCTGGGGCTCTGAAACGGGCGCTCTGAGTGCCCTTGAGAATGAACAATGTTCAAAATGGAAATTCGATTGAATCCAAGAGTGAGGGTACAGGACCCTGCCCACACGGATGTGCGGCAAGCTTTACGGAAAAGACACCAGCCCTTACCTCGGCACCTGGTATTCCCCTCTGCGGCCTCGAAGCCAGCAGCACAGCTGCAGCCCGTGACCGGCTGCTCAGCCCACTGGCCATCCTCCCGGCAGTAGAGGCTGGGGCTGGGGCCAGGAGTGGGGACGGCGTCGGCCACACAGCTCCCTGCCACAGGCACCACAAGCTCCCGAGGCACCGTCTCCGGGAAGTATGTGAGGTTCACAGTCAGTTGGGAGCACTTTTTATAGAAGAGGTGCAGGGAGAGCAGGGCCATGCAGGCACCCTGGTCCTGGAAGGCCAGGTAGAAGCCAGCCTTGGTGAGTGGGCCCAGACGCAGCGTCTTGATGTTCACCTTCCCTGTTGCCTCAGCCCCAGGGCGCTTCCGGGTCAGGTGCTCAGCAGCCACGGTGTCCACCTGCCAGGTGAGGAAAGAGACTCATTGCAGCTGTCCTCCACTCTCCAAAGACCCGGTAGGTGGGCTATTCTCGTCTTCCCAGCTCACCCTGTCCATGATCACCTCAGTTCCTGTTCCAGAGCCATTTTGCTACCTTTCCCAGCATGCCCTAACATTACCCATTGACGCTTACTGAGGTCCTATGATGTGTCCAGCCTCCATCCTGTACTCCCTTTCTGTTCACTCATCCTACAGACATTTATCAACACCTACTCTGAGCCGGGCCCTGGGCTTGGAGCCAAGGAAACCAAAATGAAGGTAATAGGTGTTAAAAGCATGATAAGATCTATGACAGGTGGGACGCCTGGGTGGCTCAGCAGTTAAACATCTGCCTTTGGCTCAGAGTGTGATCCTGGAGCCCCGGGATCGAGTCCCACATCGGGCTCCCTGCATGGAGCCTGCTTCTCCCTCTGCCTGAGTCTCTGCCTCTCTCTCTGTGTGTGTGTGTGTCTCCCATGAATAAATAAATAAAATCTTTGAAAAGGAAAAAAAAAAGATCTATGACAGGTAAAGTGCCTATGACAGGGCAGGCACCATAGCAGAGGCATCCCAGGGGAGCTGAAGCTTCTGAGACAAGTAGGAACTGGGTAGAAGGAACAGAAAGGAGGCATTAGCAGATGCATAGAAGGTCTCTTTATGAAAGGCAACGTGTACTCGGAGAATGTGGGACGTGGCAGAGGGTGGCCTCGACAACCTCCCTGGGGGCCAGGGTGGCAGCTCAACCCCACATAGTAGACCACGTTCTTCCCTCCCCGGACTGGAGCCTCCTGCTTCCAGGCCCCAGTGCCCCGGCCCAGGACCCTGGAAGCTCACCTGAGACTACAGACCCAGCCCAGCCCCACGCTGGCCCACCGCTGCACCCCATGTGCCCATGTACCTTGATATAGGGGTTCTCCATCCAGGCTGGTGTGAAGGCTGTGGCCGTGTCAGCATCACTCTCGAAGTAGAAGACGGTGAAGGTCTCCTTGCAGGAGCGGCCAGCCCGCGTCAGGGAGAGGCACTCAAGCATGGTGAAGCGGAGTGTGGCGTACACGTGGACAGCTCCACGGCGCGGGACCCAGCCAGTGCGCAGCCAGTGGGCCAGACCTGGTGCCCGTTGCACATCACACACCTCGTAGGTCCGAACGCTGTGCTGCTCCTCATCCAGGCCGCTCAGCTCCTCCCACTGTGGGGAGCAGGGGGTCAGTTTATGGAGGGGAGGTCCGTGGGAGGTTGGCTGTGCTAGACGGAGGGGACCTCTGAGAGCAAAAGGGCTCAGAGAACATCTGTTCCAGCTGATGGTATGCACAGTGGGCCAGCATGGACACTCCTTGTCCCTCCTCCCTCATCCCTCCAAGTCCCGGCCCCTGGGCCCAGCTGTTACCTGCCCATCCACCTGAGGGAACGTGACCCACTTCAGATCGGCAGTTTCCAACTTTGTGTTCAATAGGGTCTCTAAGACAGACAGACAAATGAACAGATGGATAGTCAGCACTGGATGAGAGACGTCGGGAAGACTAAATCCCTGGGAATTGCCTGAGACAGGTGGGTCCTCTTGGCTCCAAGCTGGTGCAACTGGGGCCAGGTGAGTGGAGAGAGGAACAGGGGAGCAAGCCCTGCCCTCTGCTGCTCCCCCTTCTCAGCTTTTTTTCTGAGTGCCAACCCCACCTCTAACAGCTGGCAGGCACCCAGCTACCCTCTCAGGACTCCGAGATCTAGGCCTCTGAGAACTGCTGGTCCCTGAGAAGAGGAGAAGATCCAAGCAGCTCAGGCAGGGTTGAACTAGACCCTGGACCTGGCATGACCTGAGAAGGGCAAAGACCTGTAGGCACGGGGATACCCCTCCTTACAGGGCCAGCCTCGTGGCCAACCCATGGTCCCTTCCCTATATTCAAAGCAGCTGCCTCCTTCCCCCCAACTCCACCCCTCTTTTCTGGGCCCACACCCCCTTTTTGGACCAAACCCTCCAGGCCTTCAGATCCTGGAGGGTGGTACTGAGCTCATAAGGTCCAGCCCTACTCCCCCCACGCCCCTCCCCCGCCCCCTGCCCCGCCCCCCCCAAGAGCTCACTGCTGTCAGAGGAGGAAGTGCTAGAGGCCAGGACGCTTGGGTTCCCGCCCTGGCCCCTGCCTGCAGAGGCCTCACATCTGGATTTAGTTATGAGAAGGAGAAAGGGAGGAGATTTTAGGGGTGTATGGAGGGGTGAACACACCTGGCTCGGCCTGGGTCTCATGGGAGGGGTGTAGGGGGGAGGGAGGGTGAGGCTCTGGCGGAAAGGGGGGATTAGGAGAAACATCACAGGCCCTGGCAGTGCAGGGTGGAGGGAGGGCAGGGGAATCCCCAGGGAGGCCCGTGCCATGTGGGGGACCCCCAGCAGATCCAGCAGCACACCTGGGAGCAGGTCCTCCCCACGTTCCTCCCCCCGTTCCTCCCCCCTAGGGCTCCTGCTCCGTGGGGGCTGTGGGAGAGGAGGGAAGGGAAGGTGGGTGGGTGGGGCAGGCAGCCTCCTCCCAGGGACCAAATGATGTCCACCGGAGGGCAAGGGGTCAGGCAGGACCCCCAGCCAGCCTCAGATGAGGCCTGGTTCCCCCGAGGGGGGGGTGGTAGGAGCCAGCCCAGCATGCTGGGGACAGGATGCCCGGGTTCTGGGAAGGGGTGGCTAGAGGCTGCCGTCTCCACCCTCCATTGTTCCAGCCAGGATAGTGTTTTCCTGTCTCCAATTTACACACTGTCTGTTTCAGGGCTGTCCTCAAGCTCTGAGAGCCTCACTTTCTCTCCGGCTCAGAGACCCTGGTCTGATCTGTCACTTGTCTTGCCTCTCACCTCTCTCCCCTGCCCTCTGTCCACCTCCCTTTCAGAGTGTTGCTGTCCCTTCTCTGTTTTCTATCTCCCGCCTGCCACCTCCCTGGGGGCACGTGGCCCCGGGCAGGTGACTTAACGCCTCGTTAAGCCTCAGTTTCCCCATCTGTAAAATGGGGGCAACAGTCCCTCTCCCACTGCCAAGCTGTTAGGAAGGTGAAGAAAATGTAATGGGCTTAGCACTGGCCTCGGGCTTGGGAAGCACTTAAGTGTCAGCATGGAAGCATTCGCCTTTCTCCTTCACCTTTTTTTCCTCTTTTCACCACACTTCGCCCTGGGGAACTGGGGGGGGGGCTCTCCCTACTTTGCCTTTCTTCTTCCCTTCTTTCTCAGAGCTGGGCAAGGGTCCCCTCTCCCCATCTCCAGCCTTTGATCCTCGGCCCAGAGCAGCACAGCCCAGGCTGGGGGAGATGGGTTTCTAACTGCTTTTGATTCCTCCTCCTCAGCAGACCCCCACGACCCCCCCCACCCCTTTGATACTAGGCAGTGAAGAGGGGAAGGAGGCAGCTCACTGAAAAGGAGATTAGGGCCTTATGAGAAGGGTTTACAGGGCTCTTGGCTCCCCCCTCCAGGGGGGTGAGGGGAGGGAAGAGACTTACAGGGGAAGAAACATTTGGGGTGCGGGGGAGGGTATACAGAAAAATCAGAAATTTAGAGAGATTGGCAGTTAGGCTAAGTTCAGGTGCCATGGGGACTGTGAAGATCAGTTTCTGCTGGCCTGTAGGGGTGCAGAAAGGGACTTGGGCAGGACTTGGGCAGGACTGGTGCCGGACTGGGGTCTAGACAGCATTTAAAAGGCCAGGGTGCAGCCTGGGGAAACCAGGGAGGGGGGGCCTCATTCCAGCAGAGACAGTGGCTCTGGGAGAAATCCCGGCGTTTGGAGAGTGAGTGCAGACGGTGGCCGTCCTGCCAGAGGCGCGGAGAACTGCAGGATCAAGGTGTGAACGCTGAGGAATAGGGGGTGGGGGCAGTTTTCTGGCCTAGCACAAAGTTCTGCCTTGTCTGCAGCAAATCCCAGAAACGTTGCCTCATGTTTAGCAGAAGTGGGAAAAGGGACAGAAACTTTGGAAGATACTGGAGTAGGGGAGAAAGGAAAGGCTGCAAAAGGCGTGCGGAATCAGGGTGAAGAGTCTGGGAAGCTGGGGCAGAGGCACGTCCCGGGACGGAGCTCCACTTCTTCTCTTTCCCAAACAAAAGAAACCTCCACTCCCCGCTGGGCCGCCTCCTCCCCGCCCCCCGCCCGGGCCAGCACTATTGGTCCGAAGTGTTCGGGGTTGGGGTACCGGGGTAAGAGCAGAGTGGCCAGCCCCTTCACTCCGAGGCCCAACTTTGGGGGCCCCTGGAGTGCCGGGGTGCCCCCTGGGAAACTCACCTTCCAGAGCCGCGGCGAGCGAAGCCCAGCAAAGCAGAGCCCGGAGCTCCATGGCGCCGGCTCTCTCGGGTTGGATCCGATCCGAGCTTGGGGGGCACTAGCCCCCCCAGGTCTGGACCCCCCCCGAGAGTGCAGACACCAACTCCCCGCGTGGGACTCCCAGTCCGGGCCCTCAACGCGGGCCCATGCGGGCGCCCAGGTGTGGCCCCGCGTCCCCGCCGCGCGCGCGGGCGGGCGGGGGGCGTCTTCGCACTGGCTGCTCGGAGCGGACGCAGAGCGGGACGTGCCTGGAGTCTGGGTCCCTCCGGGGCCTCGGGGTCCCGCCCCGGCTGGCTGGGGGTGGGCCGGCCGCTCGCGGTCTCCCCCCCTCCCAGGAGTGGTGCTGCTCGCGCCGCCGGGCCGAGGACGCTCCGCGCCGGCCAGGAGGATGGGAGCCGAGCGGGGACGGAGCGGGAGGGAGGGAGACTGCGGCGCGGGGCCGGGCGGGCCGGGGCTGGGCCGGGTTGGGACTGGGCCGGGCGGCGCCTGGCCGGGGAGGGAGGGGAGCGGGGGGCGGGGGAGCTCCCCTCCTCCCCCAGCCGGGGCTCGGCGTGGGGGCCCGGGCGCGCTGATTGGAGCGCGCGCTGCTGAATAATTCATGAGGGAAGCGGAGCGGGGCGCCGAGCTGGGCAGGTCGGGAAGTTGGGAGAAAGTTTGGAGAAGGGGGAGGGGCGGCGGGCGCGGAGCCCGGGGACCGCCCGGACGTGCAGCGTGGCCGTGCGCCGTGACGGGGACCGCGCGTGTCGGGGCCGGGGCCCGGGGACCCCCGGGGCAGGTCCGGGCCCAGCACGCGGCAGGCAGCCGAGAAGCACATCCAGCAGCCCTGAGGGCCTCCCGGACGTGCGCGCAAATGTACACCGCACGCTCGAAGCCCGCTCCAACCTTCCTGCGGACTTCGGATTCGACTTCTGGATGCGCCCAGCGCCACCCTTGACGCAGGGGACCACGTTTGGGGGAAGCTTTTGAGGATGGAGGGTGGCGCATTGGGCCTCCAGGCAGCGACCCTAGCTTAGATGATCCTGGAGCGAACGTCACACAGTCATTCATCAAACACTAGGTATTGAGGACCCACTGTGCGCGCAACCTAGCGCAGGAAATTGTGGGAAGTGGGGCAACTGGTTTGAGATGGGGAGGAGTATAGAGAAAAGCGAAACAGGAGTAAATAAAAGGTAGGTGGGACCGAGAGAGTAAAAGGTCTGGATGGCTTCCCAAATCACCGTCTTCACTCTCACTTGGAGATCTCCTGGTCGCCCGCAGCTCTGACCCCTGGGGCTGGGCCGGGGTGGCTGCTGTCTTTCCCGAGGCTGTTTCCTGTCTGGCTCCTGGGGGCCCTTGGGATGTCTGGGAGGGCTCTTCCTCTCATTGCCGCCACCGCCCCCCCACGCTATCCTATCAGTTAGAGGGGAGGGTCCGGGGAAAGCAGTGCTACTCCCACCAGCCCCCTTCTACGTAAGCGCGCCTTATGGTGTGGGTAGTGGGATGGATGGGGTCGCTGCGGGATCCCGCCAGTTCAGAGCTGGAAGGAAAGAGATTATATTCAGAAATTTAAAGGAGACAGAGTCGGGAGTTCCTGAGGAGCCCAGAGAGGGAAGGAGGAATCCTTGATGCTCCAGGAGGTTGGGGAAGGTAGTGGGGGGTGGAATGCCAAGCGCCTCTAGAGAGCACAGCCAGGCTTGCAGTGACCTCTTGTCCCAGCGCACTTATCTCCCTGCCACAAGTGGTGCTCCCCACACCCCTGCCTTTCCTTGCTGCCTGTCTGGGTCCTGCTCCGGGGTGGGGGGTCACAGAGGGCAGGAAACAGCCGGCTTGGCTGGAGCCAGGCAGACCAGGCCACACTGGGAATCCCCTCCTCCCTCCCTGATTCAAGCCCTGTCTCCCTTCTCTTATTCAGCTTCTCCTCCAGGTTGTCCACCTCCTCACTCAGAACAGGAACACACACACACACACACACACACACACACACACAGAGGCACACACACTTGTCCTCACTGTGCACTCAGATTCTTTCCTTTAAAAATCATGTCTCTGAAAAAAAGGAAAAAAAAAAATCATGTCTCTATCTCCCCCTGGGCTCTATGCTCAACCTCCTTTGGCCCTTGATTGCTTGAATTGTCTCATTTGATGGGAGATGCAGTTCATCCTTATGGGGTTGTGGAGGGTGGTGCATGACGGGATGGTAGAGAGAGACCCCCCAGGTGCACAGAGAAATGAGGCAGGGGGGAATGAGGGCTGATGACACAGTGGTGCAGGGGTGTAACAGCTCACAGCAGATTCGAACCCTGTATCTCTGAGAACAAGGCCTCAGCTAGAGGGAAGAGGACAACTTTGGTAAGAAAATATCCAGTGGATCCTGTGTAATAGGGTCCTCAGCCCCCACCTCCCAGCATATAATCCAGTTCCTAAAATCTGATGCATATGTATACCAATCAACAAAAGAATAAATAAATGGGATGCTTGACTGGCTTAGATTCTTGATCTGGAAGTCATGTGTTCAAGCCCCATGTCGGGTGTGGAGATTACTTAAATAATAAAAAAATAAAAAAGATTTTTAAAAATATTTTATTTATTCATGAGAGACACACAGAGACACAGGCACAGGGAGAAGCAGGCTCCATGCAGGGTGCCCGATGCGGGACTCAATCCTGGGACTCCAGGATCACTCCCTGGGCAGAAGGCAGGTGCCAAATCACTGAGCCACCCAGGGATCCCCAAACTTAAAAAAAATTTTAAAAAGTAAAAGAATGAGGGCCCCTGGGTGGCTCAATCAGTTAAGCATCTGCCTTCGGCTCAGGTCATGACCTCAGGGTTCTGGGATTGAGCCCTGCATCTAGCTCCCTGCTTAGCGGGGAGTCTGCTTGTCCCTCTCCTTTTGCCCCTCCCCCTGTTCTCTCTGTCTGTCTCTGTTTCTCAAATACATTTTAAAAATCTTAAAAAAAAGAACCAAAAGAATTAATAAAATAAACCCTTTATTAAGCATCTGCTATGTGCCAAGTGATCACTGTGCTAGTTTGAAGATTTGTAAAGCATGGCTCCTGGTCTCAAAGACCTATATATAATGGAGCAGAAATCCCATTAGTTCCCCTTTTCATGGAGAAGACATCTGAGATTTGCACTCCAATGCTCAGAAGTGTCTATCCTGTGGGTGTGAGATCATTTCCTCTACCCTCCAACCACCCAGGACCACTTTCCTAGAAAAGCTAATTCGGTATCCACTGTATTACATTACATAGATGAGCAGCCATGCCACTATCTGGATGGATGCTTGTCCCATAGACCCGAACAAATTCTCAGGCCCCCCTTTCCTCATTATTAGAGCACGTTCACTATCCACCCACCTCGATATTAGGCGATCACCCAGTTCCCTGCCCATGATCAGTATGTTGCAATCACTGATCCCCATGGCAGCACCTGTGTGGAGCACCACCCCCCTCCAACAGCTGGTTGGGCTTTTAGTTTTGTTTTCTTTTTAGATTTTTTATTTTTAAGTAATCTGTACCCCTAATGTGGCGCTTGAATTTACAACCCCAAGATCAAAATCTCATGCTCTACTGACAGAGCCAGCCAGGGGTCCCAGGCTTTCTTTTTTGCTATCTACACCCCGACAGTTAATTTGGAGCAGCATTGGAGTTAGGACTTTTCCTATATGTAGTGAACAACAAATCATCCCCTTTCACCATAAATTACAGAAGCTGTCACTCCTCTTCCCATATTCCAGCACCCTTTTGGGCTGGCCTCACCCTGTCACATCTGGAGTTAGGTTTACTGGAAGCCCATTAGGTTTAAGCTTTTGCACCCCTCACCCACCTGGCTCCTCCCACTGCCCTGGTTAATGAGTGCCATGGATTTAAACAGTTGTTAGGTGAATTCCAGCACAGAAATGTTTGAAGTGGCCTGAAATCTGGCTTTTACACAAAAGGAATTTGGTAGAGGTTTCCACATTGTCAAGAATGAGCTGTAAAGCTCAGTGAAAACTTTGAGTAATGAAAGAAAAAAATTTCAACCAGCCATACTAGAAGGAAGACAGAAATAGAAAAGTAGGAAATATTACAAAGTCACTATCATATGAAGACGTAGTTCTGAGTACACCCCCAAGAAAAAGGTAGGACATGAATCTATTATACACGGATGTTGAGCAATTATTTACTATACCTATCCTGTTTTTCTAGATTTGGCACTATTTATAGTATTTGTCACCCTAATTTTAGCAAACTGGCTGTGGTTTCTACATTTAAATAAACATTTAATTTTTTAAAAGATGTTATTTATTTATTCATGAGAGACACAGAGACAGAGAGAGAGGCAGAGACACAGGCAGAGGGAGAAGCAGGCTCCACGCAAGGAGCCGGACGCGGGACTCGATCCCGGGTCTCCAGGATCACGCCCTGGGCTGAAGGCGGCGCTAAAGCGCTGAGCCACCCGGGCTGCCCTAAACAGTAATTTTTTTTTCTAAACAGTAATTTTTATACCTAATTTTATGTTCATAATTTTGTTTTTATGAGCCCACAACGGGCTCCCTGCATGGAGTGTGCTTCTCCCTCTGCCTGTGTCTCTGCCCCTCTCAATGTGTGTCTCATTAATAAATAAAATTTTAACAAAATAAAAATTTAAAAAATTTTATTTATTTGGGAGTGAGAGAGAACGAGCAGTGGGGAGGGACAGAGGGAGAGAGAAGAGAAGCAGACTCCTCACTGAGCAGGGAGCCTGACATAGGCTCGATTCCAGGACTCTGGGATCATGACCTAAGCCCAAGGCAGATGCGTAACCAACTGAGCCACCCAGACACCCAGGATTCTTTTTAAAAATGATTTATTTATTTTAGAGAGAGAGAGTGGGTGGAAGGACAGCGGGAGAGGGAGAGAGAACCCCAAGCATACTCCCCACTGAGCAAAGAGCCACACACAGGGCTCAATCTCATCACCCATGAGATCATGACCTGAGCTGAAATCACAAGTCAGACACTCAACCACCTGAGCCACCCAGGTGCTCCTCTCTTATTGAGGTTTTGCTATGGACCAGGACTGGAGATCCAAAGTCATCCTTGACAGCCCAGGGAAAGAAATAGCCATGAAACTTCAACAGAACACAGGAGGCTGGGGCACCTGAGTGGCTCAGTTGGATGAGCATCTGAGTCTTAATTCTGGCTCAGGTCATGATCTTAGGGTTGTGAAATGAGCCCCATGTCAGGCTCTGTGCTGGGCATGGAGACTGCTTGATTCTCTTTCTCTGCCCCTCCCCTCCCAGTGTGTGCACTCTCTCTCTCTCTCTCAAAAAAAAAAAAAAAGGCAGAAGGAATAGCAAATGTAAGACTGTGGACATGGTGAGATTGCCCCTGAGCTGCCAGAGTTGAGGACATTAGGGTGTACATTTCAAGGACAGTGACAATGGATGAGCTGGAGAGCTGAGCAAGGACCAGTCTCTGCCATCACAGGACATTTCAGGAAAGTAGGTTTGTCTTAATCACCTTGGGAACC